GGCCCTAGGCGAACACCTCATTCACCTAGTGGTTGGGCCAACCCATTAAGTTGTACTTGTCTATGTGTTCGCCTGTTGTTGTCCTCACCAGAATCACTAAAAGTTGCAATTTTCTGTTGCCAGTATCTGCATTAGTTGCTCATCAGGTGTTGTGATCATTATCAGCCATTCTGAGTGCCTAAATCCATGTTCGTGTCTCCAATGTTTGATCATCAATGCCAATTTTAGTGTTTTTAGTCCAGTTTAGTATTGGTTCAATGATTTTCAACTTAGTTTGGTGCTAGTTTAGTAGTTTTAATTTCGGTTTATTTTTTATCCATTTATGTTTTAGATCCCAGTTTGATGTTGGTTAATGGTTTGTAGCCTGCTGTAGTTTCGTTTTAGTGTTTTTAGTCAGGTTTAGTGCCGGTTCATTGTTTTTTGGGCTAGTTTGGTATCGGTTTAGTGGATTTTATCATGGTTTAATTCTTGCTTCAGTATTTTCAGCCAAACTTGGTGTCAATTCAGCGTTGTTCTGGCCAGATTGGTGCTGGTTTAGTGTTTTTTTCATCCTGGTTTAATTTGAGTTCAGCGTTTTTACTCGTCTTTAAAGGATTTCGGCACAGTTGATGCTGATTTAGTGATTTTCATCTTGGTTTAATTTCGATTCATTTTTTCAATTTGGTTTAGTGTCGGTTCAGTAGTTTTCGGCACAGTTTGATGTTGGTTTAGTGGTTTTTATGTTGGTTCAATTTCGGTTCAGTGTTTTCAATCTAGTTGAATGTCAATTCTGGAGTTTTCATACCGGTTTAGTTTTGGTTTTGTGGTTTTTAGCACCAGTTCAACCTTTTTTTTTTTTTTTGGGTAATTCAACTTCAATTCTACTTAGTTTACCCTTTTTTTTTATTGTTGCAACTTAATTTATTATTGTTGTGGTGTTGTTGGTTGTGTTCGTTTGCATCATTATTGTTGGTGGTGGTGCTAGTGTTGTGTTTGTCCTTTATCATCACCATAGTTATTTCTTTGTGGTACCCTGATTGCCGATTTTTGTTGCTTGTTTTGGTTTGATTGTTTGTTGCTTCTCTAAATCACAAAATGGATGTCTTATACTTGACATGGAGCAACCACTTGTGTAGGGGAAGTATCGTGGACTAGTCAATGACCGATACCGCGACCTTAAGTTCTATTTCCAAGGCTCATTTGGTGCTTCCAAACACTGTGAGAAAGTGATGATAAGAACCACATCTATTTTAGATGAATTTCATTGCGTCCTCTATGACGACTTTCCTCAAGTCAATTAGATACATGAGAAAAAACCTTAAAACACACCACTTTTCCATGATCTATGTAGTCAACAAATTTAAATGCGTATTTGGGTCAGATCCACGATAGCTTTTCAATTATACCATTGAGATCATATTTTTTAATTGCACGCATCTTAAGAGTGGAAAGTATATAGTGTCATTAAGATTCTTCGAGTTAGAATCTATGGTAGTGTGTGTCGATTAAATAAGTCATTGAATGGTTTGAAGCAGTCACCCAGAAATTGGTTTTTTCCTTGTTGACTATTTGGAGATATTGCGATCAACTCAGTAATTTTCTCACCAAATCATTGGGGTGATCTACTTTTAGTAGCCTTTACTCCAAGGTGGGCATTTTTTTATCTCTATACTCCAACTTGAGAGAGAGTGTTAGAGCATTACTTTTCTATTGTTCTACTTTCCTATTATGTCCCTTTGCGATGTTGCCGAAATTAAGTTTCCTAGTAACAGTTGATTATAGTTGTTTTGGGTTGATATATTCTGTATTTACCAAAAACAAAAGTTACTAATCTTACATTGTACTGGGGTATCAGCCCCAGATGGCGGTAAACAAAAGTTTCTTTTCTACAATATGCTTTTTCCTCTTGCTTCAAAAATACTTTAATGTGATAGCATATCAGTTTGTATGATCTTATAATTTTGTTCATCCAAAGCAAAGTTTTTCTCCTGGATATCTATGATTGTGAGAGCAAACTTTGAGAACAAACCAAAGGTTTAATGCTTTAACTTAAGACTATTCAATTGGGATGATCTTAGTACTTCGTCATGATAGTAGTAGCATTCCTTTGTGGGTCATTTAAGAACTTAAAATTCTTTTTGTGACATCAGAATAAAGCCTCCCTGGTTTAGTCTTCTAGTTAGTAAGAGGAAGCATGTTAGGAAGGAGAGTAGGAAATGGGAGTAAAATGGAAATTTCTATTGTTGGGAATATAAAGGAATGAAAGAAACCAGGAGGAAGACTGCCCCTGGATCCACTATTTACATTGTATCCAATAGTGGATGAAAATAGGGTGAATTGTTTTTGGGCCATTTTAATCCATGAAACGTCACATTTGTCTTTAATAATTACTTGTGTTTTTAAATGTTTTGACTTTTTTCCTTATGCCTTTTTCAGATATGTGAAGAGCCGAAGTGATAAGCAGTTGAGAAATCCTAATAGCGAGAATGATGCAAGTGCTTGTAAGCCTGAAGATATGGCAAACGGAATGCCAATTGTGCCTTGTGGCCTTATAGCTTGGAGTTTGTTCAATGATACCTACAGCTTCTCACGCACCAACCAGATATTAACAGTAAACAAGAAGGGCATCTCATGGAAGAGTGACAGGGATCACAAGTTTGGCAAAAATGTCTACCCTAAGAACTTCCAGAGTGGAAAGCTTATAGGGGGTGCAAATCTCAGTTCATCCATACCAGTAAGTAATCACGTTTAGGTTAGCACTCTAGATTGGGTGAGGTGTAATGTGTCATCATGCTGTTGCATACTGGTTGAGGCCTTGGTCATAATTTTCTATAAAAATGAATTTTAATAAAATGACTAAACTTTTTAATTTGGAATTCCTTTATTGATGAGGGTAATCTAATTTGGTTGTATGCGTTCATGTAATAGTTGAGTGAGCAGGAGGACCTCATTGTTTGGATGCGAACTGCAGCTCTTCCAACATTTAGGAAATTGTATGGGAAGATAGAGGTGGATCTTCAGGAGGGGGAAGTCATAAATGTGACAGTAGAGAACAATTACAACACCTATAGTTTCAATGGCAAGAAAAAGCTTGTGCTTTCTACCACCAGCTGGCTTGGTGGGAAGAATGACTTTCTTGGTACTGCATATCTCACTGTTGGTGGGTTATGCTTCTTGTTGGCTATGGCTTTCACAATTGTGTACTTAATTAAGCCAAGGTGAATTTTCTGACCCTCATCTATCCTGCTAGTTCCTACTTTTCTAATTTTGCAGGGGTCAGGCTCTAGAACAGGTGCCATCCTATTTAAACTCCAACTCCCTTTGCCAGTAGTTCTGTAGTCTGTTTCATGTACAAGTGTTAACCATACAACGGGTTTCCAATGGTTTCCTTCTTTCAATGCCTTAGTATTAAGCAATAAGAAGTATCTTGAAGTCAACAGCAGTTGAACTTTGAGAATTGATGATTGGAGTCACTTGGCTACTGGAGTTGATTAGCCATAGTGTAGAAAATTGAGCCGGCTATTATATATAGTCATGAGTGCTCTTGTTGTGCATTTGAATGCAGATTGATATTCAGCCTTTCCATTTTACTTTTGCCCCATTTGACTTTTAGGTACCCTAGTAAGCGGCATATATCACCTTTGGATCCGTACTGATCCAATTTTGGTGGTCAAGCTGGAAAATGTTACCCACTTACCCTTTATTCAGTAACAGCGCAATGCCTATTGTGACTTAGAAGTAAATGGAGTTGAAGTGACGTCAACGTAAAAGCATAGTTTCTACCATGTTTGCAGCAAGAACTTGGAACTTAGGCTGGGGTTACCATGGTTGTCTTGGTATGATGATTGATGATACATGTCTGGATTTAATATTTGGCCTATATTTAGGGATTGTGGCTCCTAGACCTCTGTTCCATGCATCTAGCATGGCCAAAACTCATCTCGACAGAGGATTATGTGCACTTAGCCTGTCTTGTTAAAAAAAATGCTTGTGCATAGTTCATCCTAACCTTGAGACCCAAGAAAGGGTGAAGTTCAAGGGGTGGAAAATCTGAACTGTTCAAGGGAAAATTTATTTTGGTTGATTTGTTCTCTTTCAGGCGGCTTGGAGATCCATCTTATTTGTCATGGAACCAGAACCCTGGTGGTCATTAATCAAGCTCATGAAGCCTCTTTTGTTTGCTTGGCTTGAATGTTTTATTCATGGTCGTGGATGTAAATTTAGCTGTCAAAATAACTGTATGCATATCTCCAAACTAGAGCATTTTGATTATGTAGAAATTTATTTGTGGGACGGAAACTTTAATGTGTTATTTCAGCTGTATAATCTAGTACAGTTGCAAAACTTTTTACTACATCGGGGCTGATAAAAAAATGGTTGAAAATGATAGAACTTCTTGCACTTGTTTTAATTAGCAATGGCCAATATTTTCTGGATGTGGTGAAGCGTTCACTATGCTCTACCTAATTGCTGGTGGCTGTGAAGGGTTCATTTTTTTTTTGGTTTTCTAAACTTAATTTACTGAAGTGCCCAAAATATAATTTCTAAAACTAGCCTTTTTTTTTTTTTTTGGGCAGGGGGGGGGGGGGGGGGGGGTATTCATATTCAAAGAGAGGGTTGCACCACGAATGGATTTTTCGATCACCTATCAAAAAAAATTCATCTACTAATTCAACGATTACATTATTGCATCAGATGGCATGTTCCTTTTTCCTGGAGTTGCTAGAGAGCAGATTGAAAAAGAAAAAGGGAAACATAGAGAAATCTGCTTGCATATGTAACAAAAATAAAAAATAAAAAATTGGAAACAGAAGCATATATGGCCAAAATGGGTGGCCAGCGCGAAAATATGACCAAAGGAGTGGCGAAGCCTTTTATGACACCCTACTAGGCTAATACAATTTCTCTGGCTTCACCCTGACCCCCTGTGTAAGTTGTCTCCGATTATATCCCTCTGTCCAAACGAAGAGACTGGGACCTCATGGGTCCATCCCCATCCTTATGTGGTGTAAGGATTGTGTTTATGACACTCTAAGCAAGATGTTGGAGAGGTAAGCTCCCTCTGGATAGGATGGATCAAGTGGATGATCACATGCTGCTCCAGCCTCGCGAACAACTGCAATTTTTCTCCCAGCTGTTGATGCAGCACCCTGAGGAAAAAAGGGCCAATAAGATATGCTTCCAAATGCACAAGACAAGGGTGGAAAAAGACTGGCTTCTCCAAAACCATTAGAAAAGCAGGGAGATAAGTAAGCGACCATTTCTGCTCCATAATTGGCTTATCCATTCCAATCAAAAAAGCACGTTCCTAGATAAAGCTATCATCAACAACCGCAATGAAGTCAGCGATACAAGTTACATCTCAATCTATTGATAACCAACTTACCATCTTTATCATTCATAACAACCAAAAACCGGAAGACTACCATTACAGCAGTAATAATTTACATTATAGAACCTTGGACAACTAAGAAACATTTTAAAAACAAGTGTAGTTGAAATGTGAATGTTAAGATTAATGCGTGGTAAAACAGAAAATGACAGAACTAGAAACGGCTATATTCATGAAACAGTAGAACTAGAACAAATTGAATATACAATAAGATAGAATTTGATTTGGGAGTTTGATCATATTTATAGAAGATCTGTTACTGCACCCGTGAAAAAGAGTGGCGTGAGTACTAATGCCACGGGTAGAGGTAGACCAAAATTAACGTTAAATGCAATAGTTACAAAAGATATGGTTGTTTATGATTTAACAGAAACTACGACCCTTGATAGAGCATGTGCAATAGTAACAATATTCATGCAGCTGACCTTGAATAGTTAGGATGAGATTTTGCTGAATTGAGATAAGTTTATTTTACATCCCAACTTCAATTCATACTCCGATGTTCAACTTTATTTTTATTTACAATATGCGTGTAGTTTCATAAGCAAGAAGAAAAATCCATAACAACCAAATCTCCGAATCCATATAAAATTATTACCCCTTGATCTTTTTACATTCCTCCGGTTTCAGACCCTTTTTGAATCCTAGTTACAGTCGTTGAATGACATGAGCAACATCTAAAAAGGAGGCTATAGTTGGAAAAGGTAGGTAACAACAATTTTTTCCAATCAAACCTACCTCACTAATCTAGGAAGCACGGATTCTAGGCGGGAGGTCGACGTGGTAGTGTCGGACATGTGTCCTGGACACAGTGTCCGGCACTTCTACCAGTGTCCTGAACAACGAACAAAGATTTTTTGTAGCTGGATACGGCTCAAATACGTGGGGATACGGGGAAAAAAGGGGTGAAAATAGAAAAGGAAAAAAAAATAATAAAACAACGTTATGTCAATAGAGAGTAGAGAAGAAGAGGTGAAGAGACGCACTGGATCTGCTTCAATGATGCTTCGAATCTACTTCAAAGGGAGGTCTGCCTCAACGATACTTCGATTTGCTTCACCTTCAATCATTCAAGGATCTACTTCAAGCCATCTTATTCTTTCCTTCTTCTTCTTCCTCTCCCCTCCAACAACTTCATGAGATCGTGAGTTGTTGGCAGCCCTATGCCTCTTTTATATTTTTCTTTTTCTTCTCTCTTGCTCTCGATCTCTCGATTGAACAAACTCAACTCCTTCTTTTAATATATATATATATAATTCATTTATTAGTTGTCAAACAAATTAACCCACAACCCACTTTGGTGTTAACCTACTAGCCAATTTAATATTAGCTCATTGCCCAATTGTAAGATATTAAACTACTCAATGATTTTTAGGTCTTATTATTAATGTTATTTGTATAAAAAATATATAATATTATTTTAATTAGTCGTATATTTGTCATACCAGTGTTCTATATTTTGAAATTTTGTCATATTTTCATGTCCATGTCATATTAGATACAACATTCGTGTCCATATCCGTACTTCCTAGCCACTAATAGTGTGTGCGAATAAGCAAATCAGAGAACAAAAATAACTGTTACGGGTTCCTCTAATCACAGCACAAGGATTCAATTAACTGCTGAACACAACCAGAACCAATCATATTTTTTTAGGTCAAATCCATGCTTGTTAATCATAAGAGAGTAAAAGCTCTCATTTAAGCCCTAAAAATTTTAAAATAAGCCCATGAGACTCATCAAAGAAATGCAAATTACAATTATATTGTTCAATTTGCAGCGAAGACACTTTTCAATAGACATATATAGTAGAGGAGTCACCACTCAAGATATGTCAATGGACATTTTATCTGGCGTAGTCATGTCTTATGATATTTTATTCAAAAAGGACGGATACGAACATGGGTGTCGTATCAAATACGATATAGACACGAGAATACGATAAAATTTCAAAATATAAGACACGGGTACGGCTAGGATACAACTAATTAAAATAATATACAATTTTTTCATATATAGAATAACATTACTAATAAAATTGAGCAATTAAGTAATATTTTATAATTGGACAAATGAGCTAATATTAAATTTGATTAGTGGGCTAAATATTATTGGCGGTGGGCTAAATTAAATTGGGGGGTGACAACTAATAAAATGTGATTGTAATTGAACATTAAATATAAGAAGTTTAAGTTATTTGTTGATTGGACACCACACCACCACAACGTGCAACTTCAAGAGAGAACGATGTTGCTAATGAGCAACTAGGGCAAACCGACTCACATGAATCGCACAGAGAGAGAAAGGGTCGGTCTATGAGAGATCTGATAGCATTAAATCTCTAGAAACATCAGGAAGAACAATCCTAGAGTGCTCAGGCTTGTGGTTGCTCTGTGAGTCGTATAAGCAGAGGAAGAGGATGAGATCTGTGGTAGTCCATAATGTCTTCCCCCCCCCCCTTTTTTTTTTATTTCAACACAGATTTGTGGTTATGGTCATATCCCTCCCGTATTCGAGTCGTATCCATCCACAAAAAAATGTTTGATCACTATTTAGGACACTTGTGAAAGTGTCAAACACATGTCTGGCCGTATCCCACGCGTATCCTTGTCGAACAAGTGTCAGACACAACCACGGTGACCCTCGGAGGAGTATCCATGCTTCCTTGACTTTATTAGAAACAAAATTCTGACTTTACGACAGATCTATATAATAAAACCAAGCGCTCTAAAGACATAAAGTACAACAACGACTCAAATCGTTTATCCGACGCCTTGCCTTACATTTTTATCTTTTAACCACAATCAATCTGTCTATTTACATTTGACTTTTTAATCACAATAAACATGTTAACCACAATAAGCATTTTACCATGATTCCTTTTTAACAACATTAAATATTTTAACCACAGTAAAAAAAAATAGTACATAACCCCAAGGCACGTGTATATTTTTGTGTAAGGTTATTTGTAACATGGCCAAAAAACTGTGAAGCATAAAATTTAACTATTAGTCTTGGTAGGAAGTTTCTGAAAGAAACAAAATAAATTAAGGTCTGTAAATTATCATGATCATACTTTGGGTGGAAGGTATGTAATGATGGTCATGGTGCTGATAGTGAATCAGTTATTGACAGTGAGAATGACATTGATAATAATTGGAAACAAAAGACACCTGCCTTTTCCCATAACCATTCCAACATTATGGGCATGTATTGTAATAAAGCCTAAAACACAATTTTTATGATTGTTACAAAAAAAAAAAATGAATTGAAGATAAATGCATAAAATCAGCACCATTTAATTCCTAACATAACATATCAAAAACATGGATATATGAGATAAAAACATTGTTGAGGTAATTATCTCCTTGATACAAATTAATTCTACCCTGTCGGTGAGGGAATTTAAGTGGAGGTTAAATATATCCAAACAGAAATCAAGAAACGACTGCAACTTACCTGAAGAATACGCAAGAACATCCCACTTTGGGTCATGGCTCCCGAACATGAGCAGGTCATGAGAAGACCACCCCTTCTTGTCAATCGCATGGCTAATGAGTTCAAATTCCTATACATGCCAGATGCACTCTGTAGAACCTGGATTAAATCCTAATTTAATAATCAGTAGCAAAATCCTGAAATAATAATTAATAGGAAAATGCTATAATGAAAGTATGATTGATTATAAAAACAAGTTAATCTGTCAAGGTAGCTTGGATGAAAAGACTCCAAAAATCACAACCTCAAGGTCCCAAGTTCAACACTCGTAAGGGACTCTTGGTTCATTAGACGTGTCTGGATTGCTGGTGATTTTGCGTATTCAACAAGGTTGTGTTGTAGGTAAAAGGGAAAGAGGTTGGGACAATTCTGTCATAAAAAAACCTATATCATGCCACTGAGGCCTCAAGTTCTTCCTGTCAACAACTCGGAAGTGATACAATGCATAAGATCACAAAGAAAGACATAGAACCATCCATTACCTATGTTTCACGTGCCACATCTACAAAAATGTGGACACACATAAATATCTATAGGTGTGTGCACATAAATATAATGTATAATAAGGATTTTGAGTTGATACAAATAAAACCATGCAAGTAAAAATACCTTTTTTCGTGGTGCTAGTTTAGGGGGGTCCATAATTACTATATCCCATGATTCTTTCCTAGAAATAGCATCCTTCATAAAATCAGTTGCTTCTCGTCGCAGAAATGATATTTTCCCAGGATCCAGGTTATTTAGGAAAATGTTTTTGTTAGCAAGCTCCAAAGCAGGCAATGATGTGTCAACACCTGTCAAACAAGGAGAATAATGAGCTAACGTGCAAACAAAATCTGAATTCTGAAGGTGCAAAAAGATTTCAAGGATCAACCACTTCTGCTATTTTCCAGAAACAAACATGTAAGCCAATTTCAGATACGCTTTTAAGGGTAAAACAGCAGAGAGGATGAAAATCCATGCAACCTCAGAAGAAGACTTCTCTACAAACTTTTAGTGCTTATTTTGGTTTCTGACATAATGCTATCTGATGTTTTAAGGATTACTCCAGGATATAATGCTTACGATACTAAGCTCCAACCCAATCCATTGATAACAGATACTATGACTGCATTCCAGGAATTCATATAGAGCTTAACTCTTGATTAGATGCATGAAAAGTTACTATAAAAAGCTACCAGGCATGAATTTTCCACTTCTTTTGTCATTTTCTTTTACTATATTGCACATGATACTTTGGAAAGGATGGTGAAGACAAGCAGAGGTGTGTGTGTGCCTGTGTGTTTATGTTCTCTCTTTTTGAACAAGAGGGGCTTGTCATCGCTCCACATGCTCCTCCTCCCACACGAAACAAAGCCTCCAATGACCACCACAGAATTTCCCGAGAAATAAAGTCATAGGCACCAAAAAATGAAGAAAAAGAAAGAAGCAGAAAAACATTGTTAGTGACGAATTTAAAGTGGTTGCCCTTTGTATAATTCAATTATGTGGAACTTTTTACATGGCCTGAATCAACATCATTTATTCAACACAGGCAATTTTAAGCTTCCATGTATTGGCCCCAACTTTACTGAACTTTCTTCAGCATTTGAGTTTGCAAGCATTTTTCCAGGAAAAAAAAATGCTAAATAGAATTTACGGACTTTCAGTCAAGACTGGAGAGGCATAGCAACCATGTTCTGAATTTTAGATCTTGTTCGTTGATACACAACAAAATCAAATAATTGTTAAAAGAAACCGACAAAAACACAGACGAAGTGTAAAACCCGGTAAAAAAAAAATAGTATGCTTATTATTATTAAAAATCTTAATCTAAGGGGTAAAATAACAATTAATGGTTAAATTATGGGTCAAAAATGAAATTTTCTAAAAAAATAAAGTTATACTATATATATAAGTGGAAGACAAAAGTCTTCCACTTTTCTTCTTCCAATGTGCTGCCGAGAGAGTGAGAGAGAGAAAGGTGAGTATTGTTTTATTTTTTCTCTTTTCTTCATTCTCAGATCTACGAAAATTGGCCCGTTTAATCGCTTCGAGCCAAGAATTAAAGTTGTTCTACTCAGCGAGAACTACGCAACCACACCAAATATCGTATTTTTCTCCGAAAGAATATCAAAAGACGATAATCTAGGCCTAAAGTTTGGAAAGTTAAATTGGACTTTCTCGGAGTTCCAGTACATGGACTCACGCTACGAGAGGTAAGGTTTCCCCTATTTAAATTTATTTTCAACCTAAAATATGGCATATGAAATGGGTAGGCTATGGGTGTATATCACATGTTAGGTCTTGACTAGTATAACTAGTGAGTCAAATATATGATTTATAATTAACTTTGTAATTAAAAAAATCCTATTATGATTAACTTGGTGTAAGTTAATGTTAGTGGTTTAAAACATGTTAATTGTACATTAGCATTATTTTATGTTTTAAATGGCATATCAAGTTTAATGAAATTATTAGCTTGTTATGTGATTATAGAATAATATGTATGTTAAATGATTATTTAGCATATAATTATTGTGGTGGACTTGTGCTTATGTTTATAGAATTGATAAACATGTTGTCATATTGAAAATGTCATTATATTGTATTCTTTATGTAATGAACATTGTAAATGGTACCAAAGGCAATTGCACATTAAAATGTCATTATCCATCGGTTACATTATATTCATGGGTATTAACATGAGTGGGAGTGTGTGTATGGGATGAAATCAATCACCACATAGGTGGTTGATTGTGGGCTCGAAAAAGTCGCACCAAGGTCTGGCTGAGTCACACGAAAAATTAAATGGATAAACGTGTCAGGGATAGCAAGAAGAGCTAAATTCTTCCTCAGGTGGAAAACCCGCTTACTTGGTTTATACACTTTTCGGTGGTGAAATTCCAGAAAAGTGTAACGGCCAAAACAAAGCCACAGGTGGAATGTCCTGAGAATCCATTGATGGTTGGTGTCTCATTGGTGTAATACCATAAATCATCTTCCCACAAAGACACAAGAAAATAAATTAATTAGTCATTGAGTGTACATAACACTAATGACGGGGTTTGGAATGTCCGGATACATACGCATGACATTGCATGTGTTGTAGGAGCTCAGGATGGGGCTCGGTGTTGATATTGTGTTCGTGAGTCTCATCTCATGGTATGACATGATTTATGACATTTGTTCATAATAGACATATTTGAATGATTACATGAAATGATTGTTGTATGTGACATTTCATATGCATTTAGTTTGAGAGGTATTCTCTATAGGAGTTATCCTATGGAGCGTTAGCTCACCCTTTATAGGAACATTTTTCAGGTATTGCACAAGTGTCCACCGAAAGTGAGGCCATGGGCCCGCTTTGACAACAGAGCCGGTTTGTGGCTCTTCTTTTGACATCGTAGTCCCTTATTTATAATTACTTTTGACCTTGTGTAATTTTTGTAACAAAAACTTATTTATATTTAAAAGGCATATATAAGAGACTCTTTTGAGACATTTATTCTTTTATGAATGAATGTACATAATGATGATGATTATGGTAGTATTCGATATTATACAATTGTGAATGGATGGATAGACCCGGTGTGGTCAATATTGTACGGGTTGCATTTTAGGTAGAGCTTCTCGTACAAAGGAGATTCTGCCCAAATTTTGTTAAGTTATGGATCTCGGTAAATGGGACATAACGATGTGGTATCGAATTATATGGTATCCACGGGTTGATAGGTGATCAATCGGGTAATTACAGACACAAATATTTTGGCGTGTCACACGAAGGATGTAGATGCAGTCATGATTTATACCTCTGACATTCACAGCACCACCACGTGCTGCATTTAGAGAAAAACCGCCAGTATAGCAACACATATCAAGAACTCTCTGCCCCTCTGCAATTGTTGATATGAACTGACGATTCTCACGCTGGTCAGCATAAAATCCTGTCTTCTGGCCATCCGGTGATATTAGATATGAAATCCCATTCTCGATAACCTGGTGAAAAAAGAATGAAAAGGTGGCAAACACTAGATAAATAGAGCTCCGAAGGGAAAATTCAGACACCAATTAAAATCAGAAATTCCGGTCAATTTAGGATGTTTTTATGCAGTAATGCATGAAAGAACGGCCTAAGAACAATAGAAAAAAAAAATTTAATAATAAAAGTGAAAAACAGGATATTTAAGTTCACGAATTGATTATGTGTGAGCAGATGTTTGACACAACTCAATGGCTTCAAAGTGCAAGAATAAAAAGATGAAGGGGAGGTTGGGGTAGCTAATAGAGACAAGCTTATTAGGAACCTCGAAGATATTTATCTTATTTTTTCAATGGACTTCGGTTCGGATATAAGCTTGGAATAGGGCCATCAGCTCTCCACAAAAACCCAACAAGCAAAAACATTGCTTAGGGAATAAAGGGATTCAATAGTGTTTTACTGAGTTGGTGATGGTGGATATAACTGAAAAAGAATATGGTATCCTTTCGGTAATTTGAACAGATTCATGGCATTCTTCTTGCAGATTTTTTAAATCTTTTATCCTCGTAATAATCAAGTTCATCTTTAATATGTCTCACTTCCCTCAAACATATGACAGAACTAACATGGCATTAAGGAATTAACGGAGGTTGGATAACATATAGGATAAAAATGCCATATGTCATGCCTCTGCTTGCAGACGAATGAAAAAATTGTGATTCTCTCTCTCAAAGATCTGCATAGTTGGCAAAGGGGGCTCTCTGCATTTGTAGACAATTCAAATACAAAAAGAAAAAGTCCCGTACACGGTGCATGGAAAATTGGACAGAGTATAGGCACTAAGTGGTGTCCTCCAACCACTCTACCGTATATAAGAAGCAATCAATTTAATCGATTGTTACTACTCTCATCAAGCCACACAATGAGAAAAGTGCATTGTTAACCCACATCAATATTATAAACATACATATCAAAAAACAGTCCATACAGAACAAAAGAAGCACCTTTCCAGCTAAAGAGTCTAGACTGGAAAGCTGATATGCAACACAGTCCAGGATAGACCTCTGGTGTGATATGCTGGACCCATGACATAGGAAATTATATGAAGGCAAGAACCCTATCAACAATGTATGAAATTCTGAAACTGATGGGAAGTACGTACATTTTATTTCTCCATGAAGGGACAATAAGGAGAGAAAAAAAACCATGCTAATAAAGGGAATGATCAATAAACATAACAAGCACCTCAAGATTTTACTTCTCTATCACACAAAAGAACTATTTTGGACGTGCCATGGAGCTTCACCAAAACTTGAAGACGGAAGCATCACAAGTAGGATTCATTATAGAATATAAACTACCTCATGACTACAGGCTAGTGTACATGGGTACCGATTTCCATGCTCTCCATCTGCATCGATGAGATACAAAGAAGGGACACACCCTTAAAACCTTAATATGGGTTAATTGATGCCCATGTTGGATATGATGCAAATGGAAGCAAAGGAATTCAGCAGCAATAAATCACAAGAAAGGAAACCAAGGGTCGATCGTTCTCGTAATGTTTGGGTAGCATACATATATAAATATATCAATGGTGGGAGACATAGCCACTGGTTTTCTAAAATATACGTTTCCTAAAAGGATATAATATATAACCACTTACATAGGCTGCTAACAGTATTCCAATCTCTTCAGATTATCATAACTATGTTTTATGTATTATATTAATTTTGTCAAGTCTACTGTCTACGGAACCGTAGCAACTATGCCTAATAGAGCCTAATCTTCAGATCCTTGTTTTATTGGCAATGTTTCAAAATACTTCATATTCAGAATCTTGGTCATTATACTTCTTCTAGGGAAATTGTTTGAAAAATGACTACACTATTCAGCATAATGTATCAGTTAACAAACATTCCAGAAAATCAACTCTTACAATCTGGCGAGGTGTCAGCTTGCATCACAGAATTCTAGAAAGGCACTAAGCATGTCAAAAGGTTTCTACCTTCACCATTTCAAGAGGAGTATATGAATCGATTTCCTCCAAATCAGCAAAATTGATGCCTTCTTCCCTCAAAATCTCAATAGACGGTCTCCAGCATATACTGTTTATTTTGATAGATGCGCTAATGCACGCCTTTATTTGTGCCTTGTACTTTTCAACCCAAGCAGCTGATGACGCTATCACGGCTAAATCTCCAAAAATGTCAACAATAAGGCCTGATAACCTGAATCAAATCAGAGGTAAACATAGTAACTTAGTAACTAAGCAAGGAAAGGACTATGAGATTTCCCCTATGAAAAACTGCACTAACAAATGTGCCCTACCCTTGGATTTACAGAACTTCATGCAATGAATGCCAAAATTTTCACATATGAAATCCACTACAGTGGTATTATTTTTCTCTAAATGGCTCAGGAAAAAGTGTCGCCGTAAGACATTGTATGCAACCTCATGTAATTGGGCAGGGATCTATCATTCATTGAGATGGGATGTGTGGTGGACCTAGACATATGAATGTTACATAAGCAATGCATTGACTTAATATTCAACACATTATCCAGTAAACTGAAAGCATAAATCAGGATTCCCCTCAAATTAATTCCCGTAGTATGTGTTTAACAATCTTATCACTGCTCCAGCCTGGTGAAGGAGGAGAGTAGCATGCCCAATCTGTGTAAAAAATTTGACTCTTCATAACATATAAATAATAAAAATAAAATCCTTGAATATGACCCAGAAAGAACTGATCGCAAGAGAGGATATGTAAGAAGTAAGACAAGCTTTCCCTCGCTGATAACAAACTTTTGAAAATTTCATTGAACTCTTCCTACAGTAGATACCAAATACTGAAGTCCTATCATATCCAACAAACTAATAATCTGACTACACTAGAACTGGTCATGAATAAATTTGACATTGCAAAATGGCAGTTTGAATCAAAGATAGAAAAATGCAAAGGATTACAATCACACAAGGTACAATGCTTATAAAATTCAAGACAAAATTGATCAGTTTTTCCAAGAAAATTCACAACATTCTCAAATTCAAAAGTGAGGGATTAATGTAAATAATGTGTCCATCAGCTAACAACTTAAGCTTTTGAAAGTAACTGGTAGCCTAACATGGCATTAGAACTTTGGTTCTTTACTGTTTTGATTTAAGTCTACTCCTAAATGTTTGAACCTCTGTTTTGTTAGCATATTTGTATTATATTTTATTTTGTGTTTGCTTCCTGGGGAATAGGATTAGAGGGAAGATGTAATAGTGTGATATGCATTGTTGTACACATTCTATAACAGCTTAAGCTTTTGTAGTAACTGGCATCCTAACAAGTAACAACAAGAAACCTGAAACAAGGATTGGAAGCCAAATATACAACTAATTAGTGTCAAATAGAGATGGAACACAACCATTTAAGCAAGCATTTTTGCTTACAGAATATGTGTATCCATATATGCATTGTAAAGTAGTAGGCAGTAAAACTTACAATACTCTATCTCATCACAGCACAGAGATTTGAGTCCGAAGCATTAGCAATAAGCCCCAAATATTATGAAGAATAAGCTAAGCAAGTGTATCGATAAGGGTACAAGGAAATATACCTATCTCCCTCACTGTTGACAAGACGATACGCATTTGTACTCACAGAGGGAAGCCCCAAATTCTTACGTAATTCAACTGCGGCATGAATTCTTGTCTCGAGAAGTTTCTCCACATTCAATGCACAAGAAGGATCTCTACACCATTGGGAGTAATAACACAATTAGGCTTATGCTTTGGAAGATAAGGTACCATAATACCGAGGACTCGTTGGCAAAGATACCCTGCTGTTTCTTCCTCCAGCTGCATGAGGCGAACACAAAACATAGAAACTGAGTTGTACAAGCCCCAACCAATTGGATTCTCTGTGCCATCAGCCACCAGCACAACATCTCCTGTCTTTGGGGGTGGCCTACCAATTATTCTATCAACAGCCCCACTGTACACCATTGGACTTCCATTCCTAAAGAGTTGTGTTTTCCCTTTTTTCAGGACAACTTTTGCAACATCTGCCAAATCAAGTCTATATGTTAAACAACAACCAGGTATGAATACCTAGTACTTACATAACTATTACTTAGAAAATACAATTTTGCTGTTTAACAGTCTAATCATGACACATTTTGTTATGAAATATCGAAGACTCTGTTGTATTTTCAAGAGGGAAGGAAAGGAAAGAAAAGTAGTTTGTATGATGCATTGACTCGGAGGAAGCATATTGTATGATGGTCGCAACAACAACAAAATGGTGAACAAATGAGGGGTAGATCGGAAAGTAACATGTTAAACTAAGCACTCAAATATTCCAATGGCTTGACTGATTGAAACCAGCGTTTCAACACCGGTCAGTTTCCTCCCCGTTTCATATTATGAACATTTACACTTCTATACACGCAAATACGTATTTATGTACTATAACGGTGGAGGAGAGAGAGAGAGAGAGAGACCCTTGGGGTGGTTTGAAGCGATTTCTTGAAGGGTGGTGGTGGCGGCGGCGGTTACTGGCGATGATGAAGGAGAAAGAGACCTCAACATGAGGCTGAGGCCCACGGTAAGCACCATCAGCTTTGTCTCCGAGTTAGCAGTGCCCAGTGTCGGTGGGTGTTGTTAAATCAGGAGGAGGAGAGGGAGCGCCAGCGCCGATGCAGTGAGCGTTGGGCCGCATTTATCCAAGGAGATGGCTTCACAAGTTTTCTCTTGCACGTATTTGTTAAATTTATAGTTTAATAAATTAATTCACTATCCAATCACATTCTTCGACATTGATGATATATATACCTAAAAACACTCTTGACCTACAAAATTCGCCAGGATATCCGATAATATTTTAAATAAAAGAAGGGTACGTGATGAATAATCATATCACATAACACGATCTGATAATCTCTATAAAATTAAATTAATATTATTATAAAATTATTCTGTCATATATTTTTTTATAGTGACTTTTCTTTCTGATGAATAGGTTGTTTAGTTCACATTAAACTACAAATTAAATTTTAAAAAGAAATATCAAAAAATCCAACTAAACTAACATTATTAAACAAATATCTACTTTGTAACTGCGAAGACAATTAAGATAGAAAGAGTCATATAGGAGAGAAGAATCTTAGAGTTTTAAAAAAAATAAAAGTCCAACTAGAATCGTCGAATAAATAATTCTCAAATGATGAGTCACAAAAAGTTTAAAACAAACAAATTAACTAATTTATTATATAAATATATAAATATAAGCCCATGTCTCACTTTCATTAATTTCCCACTACTCTTCAACTCCTCTAAATATAAAGGGTTTTTTTGTAGATAAGTTTTCAAAAAATCAAAGGTGCTAATGTATTAAATTGAAGAGGTTGGTGACCATCTCACACTAATGTACCCCTTCCCTTCCCTTATAGGTGGTTTTGGCCATTGAATGAGATCCATTTGATACTTTTTATTTCAATTATTTTTAAGGGTAAATCACCCCCTCATAAAAAAAATGGCATACCCTTGACCAAAATTAAAGAACAAACAAATAATGAAGAGAATTTGGATTCCCTCTCCCGCCCATTGAAAAGAATGTGGTTTGAATATTTCGTAGATTTAGAGAAGATGGTCATGAAATTATGGTGAAAGTTTCTTAAGAGAAATGGATTGTTTTGCTTACTTAAATACATAGCTCTCAATTATTCGATCAAGGAGCCTTTCTTTTTTCACCTGGAATATCATTGCTTCATTATTTTGAGTTGGGCAAAAAAAATGTCTGCTTTTTAAGTGACAATGTTGAGATATACACAGGTAAAAAAAAAAGATTACTTTAAAAGTGACAAATAATTAATTTTTAATTAATAAATGTTGGAAAAAGGATCGATGGACATTTTTTTTTATCCAAAAAAACATGTTTTGAAGAAATTAGCCTTCAAAACCAATACTTGGTTATCTCTTTTTTACCAGTAAAGTATATGAATTAGCCTTCATAACACTCGCGTCTAAATAATATATTTTACATGTAAATTATATGAATTGAGATTTTAATTTTATTTAATTATATATCACCTACATGAATTTAAAATGGAATCCACTATTTATAAGTGAACTCTACACCTATTAAAATTGAGGAAAAGTGTATTATAGGGAATCTTTGATCTAAAGTATGTAATTGAATGTTGGAAATACAATAGTTGGGTTGGGTTCATTTGTAAGGCTGCACAGGAGTTGAGGAGCTTTTGCTCTATTCATATTGGTTGTGTTTATTAAAAGTGCCTCAAAATTTTGTTCAATATTGATTTATTTTCTAAATGAACAAGTCACTTCTTATTAAAAATAAAAAATAAATGAAATAAAAAGTTGGCAAAAACCTCTTATTAAACCAGTTGGAGGTGGGCATTGTATTTGTATTTGTAGTGCACCTCTTTAAGCTCAAAGGCCAAAAATATATTACCAAGATACTCATGAATGTATAAGAGCATCTCCAAGAGGCTGGTTAAACCCACCTTTTTAGCTATTTTAGATAACTTCTGCCTAAAATGTTGCTCCAAGAGACTAGTTACTCCCTTATCTAAAATAGATAACCCTATTTTCAGTCACTAGATGTAGCCAGCCCTTCTCCCTCTCTCTCTCTCTCTCTCTCTCTCTCTCTCACCGAAGCTCCACAACACAGAACCGACAAGGCTTCGTCGCAGGCTCCACCAAAGATCACTGAAGCTTCACCGAGAAGGCTCCACCGCCCTGATTGTCTTGCCTCCACTCCTCTCCATCACCAACGCACGCCTCCGTCATCCGCCCACCCTTACTCTTGCTATCTCGTTTGTGCATCATTCCTTACTCCCTCTCTTTATTGTCCCTCCACTTTGAATTCTAGATATTGTTCCTTTTTCCTTGTAAGTAAAACTCTATAATTTCAGATTCCCCCTAATGTTGTTAGGCTTTTGATTTTGTTCTTTTGTCTCAGATCTGTTAACACAAAAAAGATTCAAAATACCTTCTTCAAAGGTGGTGAGGATTTGTGGTGATTTTTTGTTTTCATGTTCTAGACTTGATTTGTTTGAATTAATCTTCGTTTATTTACTTCATTTTGGTAGATCTCTGTTTACGAACATGAAAAGAAAAAGTCAGTTTATTTGATTTGAGAAATTTGTTTAGCTCTGTCAATTAAGCAATTGATTTTTGTTCAGTTTGAATTAGTCAAAAAACTAAACTGGTTTCAAAATTGTAGTTCAGTTTATTTCTTTTGTTTGCTAAATTTTCATTTGCTAATTCTTTGTTATGGGGTTTTCTTTTAGGCTAATCTTTAACTTGCACTCCTGGACCATGACATCAAATTTAAAGTTTAAAAATATCAATTTGCTTGCACAAGATTAATTGCCATTCATTTTGCTTTTAAAAAAACTTGATGGGTGTTGCATGATTGTTCAATTGTTACTTGATGGGTCTTGCCAGATTGTTCAATGTGCGTATTGGTTTACTTGGGTATTGGTATGTCTGACATTGTTCAATTGTTCAGTTTTGCCTGTGGCATTGTTCTAGAAGCTGAGTATGTATATTTTGATCATGATGTGTACTATAGATTGGGTTGTTGCAAAAGCATTACATATGCTGGAGGGATTGTGTTTATTAGCTCAAAATTGAGTCTTCTCGGTTCATCATGGATTTGATGTTTATTAGCTCAAAACATACTGGTTTAAGACCTGTTCTTATTAAATTTGGGATTTTTTTTTCTTTCTTTTGGGCTTGTGATATTTGTTATTCTCTGTGTTGTTTTTTATTTTCTTGTTTTGTTAGTGTTGGAAATTAGACTTCAACTGGGACCTCTTATACTTCTGCTTTATCTTGGATGCTATGTGTTGCCATGGGAAATCATTTTATCTTGTTGTGTTGTCATGAAAAATCATTTTAATCTCATAATCCAATGCTATGTGTTGTCATGCTATTGTTCACTTCATGCCTTTGTTGATTTATCTTGATTAGTATGATTGGAAGCATTGGGTTTTTGCTGGATGATCACGGGCTTTGGTTTGAATTTAATTAGGTTGGTTTTGTTTGAGAGATCTCATTGTTTAATTTGAGTAGTTCAAATTGTTTGCATTGGGTTTGCTGGACCTAGAAGTTATATAGAGTCAAGGATGGTTGTTGTAGGAGTTGAACACTGTTTGTCTCATCTTATAGGCATTACATATGGATCCATTATAACATGGTGCGTATTTCACCAATCTAATGCATGATGGAACAAATTTAAATAATGAGGTTATAGGTCAATCTTCACCAATATCTCCTCAAGTAAAATCCACCATCAAAGGGCAAAGAAGCTGGAGGGGATGCAACAAGTAATTAACTCGTTTATCTGTTAGCAGAGATGAAGGAAGATAAAAAGGTAGTGAATGAGATGAAATTTGAAATGTTTGAAAAACAATATCTTCAAGAACAACAACGTCTACTTCAAGAACAACAACGTCTACTAACAAGAGAAAAAGAGAATGCAAATGGAGCAAACAAGAGAGGCAGAGCGAATAATATCGATGGATACAAGTCGCATGCCTCCATTGCAAACTCAATATTATAAATGTAAAACCTGAAAAAAAAATTATTATTATTATAAAAAAAATTATAATTAAAGGGGTAAAATAATAATTAATTGTTAAATTACAGGTCAAAAACGTAAATAAAAAAAATTAAAATATATATATATAAGTGAAAGACAAAGTCTTCCACTTTTGATTTTGTTGGAGAAACGGCGAGACAGAGAGTGAGAGAGAGAAAAGTGAGTGTTTTATTTTTTTTCTTTTTTCTTCCTTCTCAGATCTACGAAAATTTAACGTTTAATCGTTTTAGGCTAAGAATTAAAGTTGCTCTACTCAGCGAGAGCTACGCAACCACACCAAATATCGTATTTTTCTCAAAAAAATATCAAAGCCGATAATCTAGGCCTAAAACTTAGAAAGCTAAATTTGGGCTTCCTTGGCGTTCTAGTAAGTGGTCTCACGCTACGAGAGGTAGGATTTCCCCTATTTAGATTTAATTTCAACTTAAAATATGACATATGGAATGGGTAGGCTATGAGTGTATATCACATGTTAGGTCTTGACTAGTGTGACTAGTGGGTCAAATATAGTATTTATAATTAATCTTGTGATTAATAAAATTCTATTGTGATTAACTTGGTATAAGTTAATGTTAGTGGTTTAAAGCATGTCAATTGTATGTTAGCATTACTTTATATTTTAATGGCAGATCAAGTTTAATAAAATTATTAACTTGTTATGTGATTATGAGATAATATGTATGTTAAATGATTATTTAACATATAATTATTTTGGTGGACTTGTGCTTATGTTTATATAATTAATAAACATGTTGTCATGCTGCAGGTCATAACATGCTAATTGTGTAAATTGATGTGTTCTTTAGGTGTTGGATTAAATGCCTAGGTGAATACAAGTATGTTAGTTGAGTTGATTATCTTACATAACATGCTTGAGATCATGTTAAAATGTCATTATATTGTATTCATTATGTAATGAACATTCTATTGCATTATGCATGAGTTGCACTACATTCATGGGCATTAACATGGGTGGGAGTGTATGCATGGTATAAAATCAATCACCACATAGGTGATTGATCGTGGGCTCAGAAAAGTCACACCAAGGTTCGGCTGAGTCGTACGAAAAACTTAAATGAATAAATATGTTGGAGACAGCAAGAAGGGCTAGATTCTCCCTTGGGTGCAAGACCTGCTTACTTGGTTTATACACTTTTCAGCGGTGAAATTCCATAAAAGTATAACGGCAAAAACGGAGCCGCAAGTGGGATGTCCTGAAGATCCGTTGATGGTTGGTGTCCCATTGGTGTAATACCATAAATCACCTCCCCACAAAGACACAAAAAAATGAATTAATTAGTCATTGAGTGTACATAACACCAATGATGGGGACTTGGAATGCCCGGATACATACGCATGACATTGCATGTGTTATGGGAGCTCAGGATAGAGCTCGGGGTTGGTATTACTTGCACGAATCTCATCTCATGGCGTGACATGATTTATGACATTCAATCATAATAGACATATTTGAATGATTGTTGCATGTGACATTCCATATACATTTAGGTTGAGAGGTATTCTCTATAAGAATTACCCTATTGAGCGTTGACTCACCCTTTATGGGAACATTTTTCAGGTATCGCACAGACGTCTACCGAAGGCGAGGCCATGGGCCCGCTTTGACGACAGAGCCGGTCTATGGCTTTTATTTTGACATTGTAGTCCCTTGTTTATATTTACTTTTGGTCTTATATAATTTTTGTAACAAACATTTGTTTATATTTACAAAGACATGCATATGAGACTCTTTTTGGACATTTATTCTTTTACGAATAAATGTATGTACTGATAATGATTATGGTAGTATTCGAGACTATACAATTGTGAATGGATAGATAGACCCGGTGTGGTCAATATTATACAGGTTGCGTTTTGAGTAGAGCTCTTCGTACAAAGAAGACTCTGTCCAAATTTTGTTAAGTTATGGATCCCGAGAAATGGGACATAATGGAGTGGTATCGAATTATATGATATCCACAAGTATTTCGCGGGTCGATGGATGATCAATCGGATAATTACAAACACCCGGATTTTGGGGTGTCACAATCAACGCCGCCAAATGAAAATCATGGGAAAGAAGATGTATCATTTTTTTATTGATAAACAAACAACTTTACGTAGTAGTAATGAATTTGTAAAAAGTACTGTAATAACATTTGCTTAAGTAGTGCCTAGTAGTTTTCATGCATATTCCACTGATACTCGACTAGATCAACTTGGAGTTTGAAATGAGTTTCTTTGTTTCTAATGCAATGCTGAGTATTAATAAATTGTACTAGTTTTGAACTCCGCTCAGGTATAACTATAATAATGAGACTCTCATCTATTGTATCATAAGTAAAGTCTAACTCATTAGCGTTCGATTCATCTTCGACAATCATGTTATGTAATATTATGCATGCCTTCATAATATCCTTAAACACTACAGCTGTCCAGAAACGTGTTGGTCCACGCACTATAACAAATCGGTAAGAATCATGTTCATTACAAGATCCCGAGCCATAACATAAACACAAAGAAGAGTTTATAGAGAAGAAATATATTTGAGGTGTATGACAATAAGAGATGAAAGATTTTATTTATACATATCAAAAAATATGATCGTTGTAAATATGATTGTTGAAAAACTCAAATTTTTAAATTTTAAATTTCGTGGCTGTTGTAAATATAATCGTTATTAATAAAAATTAAAATTTTGAAATTTTGATGATGTAGCATAACACGTCAGCATGTGATATCATCAATATGGTGATGACATGACATACTAAATAGTATTTTAGATTTTATTATTGAAAGTTAGTTAAAATTAATTAAAATAATCAGCTAAAATAAATTATATTATTAGAGTGAATTTAAAAAAATAATTAATTAAAATAAATAATATAATATTTAAATATATTTTGAATAGTACGACTACTCACGCTCGCTTAGTATGAATTGTACAGCGTATCTTTTATGCATTTGATTCCGTTCCGCTCCGTCATCGTCTTGTCTCCTTTCAAACCGTATCTTTTCTCCATCTGAGACTGATTACATTGCCCGCCCCAACATTTCCCTTTTATAACCCTTCTCGCTCCCCCTCCCCCTCCCCATTTTTATATCGGGGCTAGCTATCCGCTTCACCATAGTAATCGTCTGTCTGGTGAAGCTCAATTGTTTGGATACCCATCATGTCTTTCTCTCCCCCCGTAACTCCTTCCCTTCGCCATAAACTCCACCGTCCTCCTGTTTCAGGTCTGCTATCTTTATCGCTCCCACACTACTTTTTTGCATGTGTTCGGGTTTTTGGACAGGACCATCTTATTCACATGTACTTGCTTGATCAGGAAAAAAGTAACATTTGCTTGATTTTAATCTGGTACTTGCTCATGCTCTATCCAACACAATATATTTATGTGCTACTTACTACTCAGCAAGAATCAATGTGCGTATCTGTGCTTGCAAAAATAGGATTCTGTATTCGAAATTCCTGGTTCAGTGCTGGACCGTTGTTTCTAAATCTTACTCTTTCTTCAACTTGCCATACTTTCTGCTGGCATATCGATGTGGTGTGTGGTGCCTGAAATTTTTATCGGACCGACACCTTTATGGCTGATTCTTTGATTGATTCCTAGTTGAATTTTGGCTTCTTTCTGGGCTTTGAATTGCTCGGACAAATGCGCCGTTAGGGTTGCGGAAATGAGAAAACAATACCATCGATATTTTATTAATTCAACCTTTAAAAAGACCCATTAAATCAAAATTCTTTTAGAAATTTTCTTCTCTCAAATGGCGTTCATCACTTCCTTGTGTATCAACAATCTCATACTAGTTTTTTGCATTCGGATTCTAACCAATGGGATTGAAACCTGGACGAGTCTTTCATTTTAGAGTTGATGAGAGAAAAATCTTGAGAAAATCAAACCTTTACCAGCAAGAGAAATGTAAGGCCAACAACAAAATTAGTGGAGGCTGCAAGGAAATGAGATTCTGTAAGAGCAACTAATCACCTATAATTTTCTAACCATTTTTAAGTTTATGGCTCTTTCTTGTACGGTTGTACCAACTATCTTATTACATATGAGTTTGTACTTTGTACGGAGTTTAATTGCCCAGAGGTTTACTCGTTTTGTGGTATGGTTTCTAGTTTAGCTAATACTTAACTCTTTACCTAACTGCAGTATTGCAGTAGGCTTTATTGAGTTAATGATATGTTAATTAGTTTTGTTTCATTTCTCTTGGATACATGGTGTATAAACAAATTTCAGTGAGTTGCCTTTGGGTGTCTCATTTTCTAACAACGTTTTTTTTGTTCCTAAATATTTTCATACTTCCATATCTAGTCTTTCAAGCAGCTCCTCTGAATTCTGGACTTGGAATAACAGCAGAAGCTAATCCTTCTGTCCTGGTATAAGCTCCTGACAACTATCCATTTTATTTCCTTCTTCTTAACTTCCATATGCTCTTCTATACCCTGACTGAATTGTTTAATACAATGTGAAACTGCATCCAGTGCCTTGATGGGAGTAAAGAAAGAATTAGGGAACTATTCAACAAGGTTGAACTTTCTGTTTCTTCATACGACACTGCTTGGGTAGCGATGGTTCCTTCCTCACATTCTTCTCAGGCACCTCGTTTCCCTCAATGCTTGGATTGGTTAATGGACAATCAGCTACATGATGGCTCATGGGGTCTTCCTCATCGCCATCCCTTGTTACTTAAAGATGCTCTTTCGTCTACATTAGCATGCGTACTTGCGCTCAAACGTTGGGGTGTCGGTGAAGAACAAATCAAAAAGGGTAAGTGCTCTACTGTTCCTGTTCAGTGTCCTCTGATTGTGTTTACTAGATATCTTCTTGTTGCAGGTCTACGTTTTATTCAGTTGAATTTCACTTCAGCTACTGATGAGTATCAACACTCTCCAATTGGATTTGACATCATATTCCCGGGCATGCTCGAGTATGCTAAAGATTTGGATCTGAACCTTTCTTTAGAACCAACGGATTTAGATGTTGTGCTTCAGAAGAGAGAGTTGGAGCTCAGGGGGTATCTTTTATTTTGATAACTGATGTTGATTTCCTTACGGGTTCATAGATCACCAGGAAGAAATTGTTCTAAAATAATATGAATTTGATGGAAGTATCGATCTCCTAAAAGATTTGTCAAAAATGATGGTGATTACCCAAGACGAGCCAGGTATCGCACAACAACCTCATCAAACTAGCTGAAACTTTGGTGTTTTGGCAGGCTTCACTTAACAATGACTACCCTGCTCCCACCCCTGCCTCCACCGGAAGGGGGGTGGAGGAATCTAATCACTTGAATGTAGACCATGGATCATGTAAATTGACAAATTTGATTGTTTGGAAAAGGAAAATAGACTCAATAATCAGTACATAAGAAATTTAAGTAACCAGCACTGTATAACTTCCATATGGCACCCAAACACCCCCAAAGTGTTTAGCTGTGTATTAATTTTGTCTGCATTTAGATGTCGTGGGAGCTATTCGGAGGGAAAGAAAGCCTACTTGGCATATGTCTCAGAAGGAATGGGAAAGTTACAGGACTGGGATATGGTGTTGAAATATCAGAGGAATGACGGGTCACTCTTTAATTCACCATCCACCACAGCAGCTGCCCTTACTTATCTTCAAAATGATGGTTGTCTTAATTACCTCCATTCACTTGTAGAAAAGTGTGGAAATTCGGGTATCTCCTACCGTAGTTGTCTGTCCATTATAGGTTATGTGTCAGCTCTATGCACTTCTAACATTTTATTTTTTTATGTTCAATTGTTGTTCAGTACCTACGATATACCCTCTAGATATATATCTGCGTCTCTGTACGGTTGACAACCTTGAAAGGTTGGGAATTGATCGACATTTTATGAAGGAAATTAGAAGCGTGTTAGATGAAACATACAGGTAATCTACTTGATCAGATATTCACCACTTATGAGGTCTTTCTTTGAATGATGCTTTGATTCATTTAAAATTAGGTTAGTATATGTTAAATTAATCCTTTTTCAAGTCATCTGTTTGCCTTCCATATAAGTTTACAGCTGTTGTTTCACATCCACTGTCAATTGTAACATTAGCCCCAAAACAGAGCCTGGCTGCAGGGGGAAGAAGAGATATTTATGGACATTGCTACGTGTGCTATAGCATTTCGACTACTACGTACTAATGGCTATGACGTGTCTTCAGGTACTTTCTTGAATTTTGGAGAGTACAAATTACCATTATTTTTTCTGGGTTTCATTGCAGTCTGTAAAAGTTTGATTATTTCTGCTTGTGGTGTAGACCTGTTAACTCAAATTACCAAAGGTGATGGTTGTTTTGAATTACCCAGAGGACATGTCAAGGGAATAAGTGCTGTCCTCGAATTATATAGGACTTCACAGTTCATTATATACCCAGATGAATCTTCTTTAAAGAAACAAAACTCATGGTCCAGCCATTTCCTGAAACAGAAGTTATCCAGTGGTTCAATTCATTCTGTTGGACTCGACAGATATATTAGACAAGAGGTAGCTTTTTGGGATATGTCGACCAACATAGCTGTTGTGACATCTTTTCTACTCGATTGTACTATCCCACTACTTGCAAGAGGTGGTAATTCTTCCTTCTTCAGGTGGATGATGCTCTTAAGTTTCCCTCACATGCAAATTTAGATCGTGTGGCCAACAGGAGAAATATTGAACATTACGTTGTAGACAGCACCAGAGTTCTTAAAACCTCGTATAGGTAGATCACTTGTAATCTTTCCAATTTGTGTTTAAGAGAAAGTATATAATCCATCTGTCGATATGCTTATGTTGGTCACTCTTTGTTTTTCCTATTCTAGGTCATCAAATATTAGTAACGGAGATTTCCTGAAAATGGCAGTGGAAGATTTCAACATCTGCCAATCCATACATTCTGAAGAACTCAAACATCTTGAGAGGTGCATATCTTTTGCAGCTTCAAAACATGATATTCAGCCAATTTACTTGATATCTTTTATAAGAGCAAGGTCAAGTGGTAGCAGAGGCAGATTTACAGCTGCCCCCACTGAAATTTTAAAAATATTTGGGGAGTAAGGTGAAATTTTAGAATCCGTTAAAAGTTGCCCACTGGAATTTTAAAAATATTTGAGGAGTAAGTTGAAATGTTTGAAATTTTAGAATCTGTTAGATGTTGCCCCCATTGAAAATATTTTAAACTCAAGGTTAGTCATGTATTTTCTCAAACATGTAGGGTTCTTTAGTCTTTAGCAACAATAAAAAGTATTTTTATTTTTACTTTTCAGAGATCATTGTGATTTTAAGAACTTCACTTCTATAATTCTGGATTTGGTCTCCCTAATCACAGATATATATATTTTTTTGTTGTGCTATTTTTGTATGATAAATTAATATAGAGAATTTCAAGTAGTTAAATTTAATGGGATTGTCATATATAGAATTTACATGTTATGGACTATTTTTTGGATTAAACCATTTGGTTCGATGGGCATGAGAAATCTGATTGTGAGAAATTAGGTTGTTTGTATGCCTATGTTTGATTTACTAGACTTGTATTTATGTTAAAAAATGTTTGACTTCCTAAACTATTTTGATTGATTGAGATTGAATAATGAATTATTTTCGATAAATACTTCTCAGTAAGGAACATAGTAAAAAGTCAAGAGATCAATGAATGAATAATTTCTTGGCTGCATATGTTGAGAAAGAATTTTCAAATACCATTTATGAAAACTTGTTGAAACAATTATGAAGATTTTCAAGAATTTGGATTTTTCCATGTATTGAATTAATTTACTATTGGGCACTATTTTTTGATACAAAAGTATTTGTTTGGTACAACTTTATAGTGAACTTTTTTTGTCGATTTTTTTTGTATATTGCTTGTATATGTTATTTTGATGAAACTACACTTTTGTAAAATAGTGTTAACACTTAACACTCCGAGATTGAGTATTCATATATTGAAGGTTGCCCTTGCTAGAGTTAGAGTCTAGCTCCGCCCGTGAGTGGTAGCATGCATATCAGGAGATATGGGCAAACCAAAGCTACATCTTATTTATTGCCTGTGTGTTTATGAATAGGCAATTACCAATGGCGGGGTTTTTTGATTTCCTTGTCACTTATGTTGCAGCTTGACCTACTTGTTAACTTTGACTTTAATTTCTTTGGGGAATACAGAGTGTTAGTTTAATAAAGAAGTTCGTCCTTGGAACAACGTTAAGGTTGCTCCATTGTAACCTCGGTGTCATGGGTTTGAACCAAGGAAACAACCTCTCCTCACATGGGAGGAAGGCTACATACATCTAACCCTCCCTAGACCCCACAATGGTGGGCATGCATTGGGCTGTCCTTTTTTAGGGTGTTGGTTTTGCAAACAAAAGCTTGATATGCTCTCCATCTCAGCAGGTGGGTTGTAGACAACAGATTAGACAAGCTACAATTTGCCAGGCAGAAGATGGCATATTGTTATTTCGCTATTGTGGCTAGTATTTCCTCTCCTGAACTATCTGATGCCCGCATTTCATGGGCCAAAAATGCTGTGCTCACCACCGTGATTGATGACTTCTTTGACATCGGAGGTTCTATGGAAGAATTAGTGAACCTTATTCAGTTGGTCGAGAGGCATGTTTCCCTGCCCCATTCTTTTTTAATTTAATGATTCAATGGTCCATTTATTGTGCAGATTCCCTTTAGGAAGGTTTCTAAGATGTATGACTCGATGGAATATGTTGTACCACAGATGGGATGTTGATGTAGGCACCGATTGTTGTTCCGAGCAAGTTCAGATCTTATTTTCAGCTCTTCACAGCACAATCTGCCAGATTGGAGGCAAAGCACTCAGGTGGCAAGCACGGAGTGTGACAGGCCACATAATTGAGATTGTGAGATAATATCTTTACTTCCATCATGTTATATCTTTCTATTTTTATTTTGTTTCATGCACATATTTTCCCCAAGGCAAATACACCATATCATTTGCAGTTTCAGATTGCAACGTCTGATACTGCTGCAAACCCTTGCATTGCCGGAATACCCTTTGAGGCTCTGTAGGAATTCAGCTTTAGGTATTGAAAGTTGTGCTTGTTTAATTAAAAATGGCTCCTTTGAATTCTTTGACCCTTAGAAGGATGCATAAAATATAAAATAAAAAGATTGACTTGGGAAACAACAGTCACAAAAACGAGAAAAAGAAGTTCTTGTTAGTTTAATATGTGATACATGGGTCAATGGCCAGTCTTGTTTGGTGATAAAAGGGGTACCATGCTGGCACACAGCGCTACCACATTCATCCTCATCGCCAACTTTCCAAAATGTTTTTTATTTTGGTTGATCTGGTTTGCTTGTTATGTTGATTATTAAACATGCTACCGTATCCAACAATTTCCTGAACACTTCTTTCTTCCTCTTAGAAAATTGTTGAGTTAACAACAGAAAAACAAGATCTAAATGGGATTCTCTGTTGGCCAATTCTTTTCTAACATTGAAACAATAATTTCATTGAGTGGATATTGTAGGATCTATGATACAGCATCAGTTCCGTTACATTGCTGTCACTTTAATGTGACTTGAAGACCCTCTAATAGAAACTGCCACTGCTTCTACACCTCTTGGATGGATTGGACAAATCATGTTTCATGACAAATCTCCTAGAGGAACGTATCTTTTGTCAAACCATTGGTTATCCTTCCTTTCTTTATGCTTTAACCCCTGTAGTTTCTGGACTTCCTTTTGCCCTTTTGGTTCCTCCACCTCAAACATAAGATTCTCCACAACAGGGAAAATTACTTATCCTAGTTGCATATAACTTGATCAGTTCAAAAGCAGGGGCTATTAACCATTTATATTTTAAATATTTTTAAGGTACTTTTTATTGTGTCCACCCATTCCACTTTCTTTTCTTATCATAGAGGTCCATACCTAAATGGCTATGGAATGATGGACACTTTTGGACATGTCTAGACAAGTTTTCTATACAAGTTTTGGACATGTCGGATCATTTTGTAACTTTTTATTAAAAACAATTACAGGTTATCTTTTTTATTGTATAAATATTAGGGCCATTATGTAGTAAAATAAAGGATTAATCATAAGTTTATAAAAACACCAGGGTCACATTAAAAGATTGTATAGAATTGATTGTATAATCGAATGGATAATGAATGAATAATAGATAACTTTTTTGTATACATGGGGAATGACATTTTTTTGGTAAATATAGAGAAATCCATTTTTAGTTGCATTCATAGTGAAGTTATCATACAACACTTTCAAAATTTGAAAAAAAATAAGCTGCATAAGTTGTAAATGGTTATAGTTTGCCCCACTTTTTGCAAAAGGTTATAACTTATAACTAGTCTCGATTTGTTGTTTTTGTTTGTGTAAAAAATATACCATGCATCAATTTAATTTCATCGGTTGAAAAAGAAAAAAAATCAGAACTTGCAATTAATTGGGGGCTCCGCCCCTGCTCAAAAGGGTTCCTTGTACATGTAACTGCTCACAAATTATTTGTTTCTCAAGTGTTCTTTCCCTAAAGGTGCTCAACCAGTTCAACATCCTCTTTTAGCTATGCTCATTATGTGAACGTGTTTTTTTTCCCTACCAGCTGGGGTTGGTCAAATAGTGTTTTCCATCTGTTTTACATGTATTTCCAACTGCACAGTACTTGGAAAGCATTTCTTCCATTCACCATCTTTCTCCAATTCTGGGGGCAAGGTTTCAAGTTCTCTGCCCTTATGGATGAACTGAATTTGTCACTTCTGGATGTTCTTTGGCCATCAGTAGTTACTTTTGGGACTGCCTCCAACATATTCAATCTTTTTCTACCTCCACTTTTCAAAAATTTAGTTTGTTCTTCCCTACTTCTGGAATCTTTAGGTTATAAATCATTATTCTTGATTAAATATTAGGTTTTAGAAGTAGTAGTCATCTCTGTGTGGTAAGCACTTGTTTTGATCCCATATTCAAATTTTCTGGAATCTTCTCAAGGAAAGCTAAGATGGTATTTGAAAAGTGAGAGGAGGTTGTTTTTTTTATCCCATGGTACCCTTGTTTTTTAAATGTTGATCAAATTGTAGATGATGCAAGCTATTTTTGCATGGCAGTGGTTGAATTTGCTCAAATCAATGTTGAAAGAAGCCGAATGGCTTAGAGATATGTCGTTGCCAGCGATGGATGAATATCTGACAAATGGATATGTGTCATTTGCCTTAGGGCCAATTGTACTCCCAGCTCTTTATTTTGTTGGGCCTAAGCTTTCTGAGGAACTTGTTCGTAGTGCAGAATTGCATAATCTATATAAGCTTGTGAGCACTTGTGGACGTCTTCTCAATGATATTCAAGGCTTCGAGGTAGATGTGTGTGCATATAATTCATCGCTTCTCATCTGTTATGGTCATCTTTCATAATTTTTTTCCTTGTAAAGTAGTCAGATTTCATATTGCTAATATGTTAATGTTGTGTTGCAGAGGGAAACAAAGGAAGGTAAATTGAATGCTGTGTCATTGTGTATGATTCATGGCAATGGTGCAGTTACTAAAGAAGAGGCTTTGGGAAAGATAAAGAATTTCATTGGCAGCCAAAGGAGAGAACTGCTGAGATTAGTTTTGCAGGAAAAGGGTAGTGTAGTTCCAAAAGCTTGCAAGGATGTGTTCTGGAAAATGAGCCAAGTGTTGCATTCATTTTACATAAAGGATGATGGATTCACCTCGGGTACGATGATCAGTGCTGTGAAGTCAATTATTCATGAACCCATTTCTCTTAATCAAACGGAAGAAGATCATCGAGAAGATCTAAAACATGTCATGAACTAGCTGTATATCCTAGTCTTGTGGATGTTACGCCTCCAAGTGTTAAACAGTTGGGATTTGTCAACGAAGAGCTTTCTTGTGGCAGTGAGGCAAGACTGACTGGAAATTTTGGTTGATACAGAGTTTTCCGTTGCGTTTGAAATTCGTATAGATTCTGTACAACCCCATTCTTGATTCGCAGTTGTCTATTATATAAAGTTTCCTAGTCCTTAATAAAATTTAGCATTGTTGATATGCAATGTAATGCAGGAAGTTGGTTCTTAAATATTGCTCTCAGTTTAAAAATGGAAAAAATAAAAAGAAGGAAAAAACGGGGTAAAATCAACAATGCTTTAATGTAATCATCTAGGAGACCCCCCCCCCCTTCTTTTTTGGGTCTTTTACCTCTTTTTGAAACGAGTGATGTTATTTAGACCTAAAAAATTAATTTTATTTATTGACTTGATAATGTAATTTCATTGAAATCACATGATGAAGAGTAAGTTTAAAATATTTAATGGATGTTACAGTTAATCCAAAAAATCATAGAGAATCAGACTAGTAAATGAAATTAAATTTTTAGGTCTGAATAGCGTTTGACAAAGAGACGAAGAGGAGCTGCAAAATGAAGAAGCCAAGTCTGCAAAAAACGTTAGCGGTCATCCTGACCACTTTTGGTATGTACTGGAGACTGAATAACTCTATCCGTATCTCTAGAAAAAACTCAGAAATGTAGCACTTACAACGTCCACGCTCAATTTAAGATAACTTTTAAGCACACCAAGTTTTTGGAAAGTTGGGGCTTAGAGCAACTCCAACAATCTTGTTAAAGAGCCCTAGTTAGCTATTTTAGATAACTTCCCTCTAAAATTTGGTTCCAACAAACTAACTATTCTACTATTTATTTCTCGTAACCCTTTTTTCGCTCGTTGGTTGTAGCTAGCCTCCTTCTCCCTCGTTGGCACCAATTTCCTCTTCAGTATCTCTCTCTCTCTCACACACACACACACATATACACACACTAAAGCTCCACAGCACCCGAAGCTCACTGAAACTTCATCGCTGAAGACTCCACCGATTGAGGCTACACTGGTATGGTCTCTTTCCCTCTCTCAGAAAGGGGAAGACAACACAACTCTCTAATTCTGATTTCATTTGAGTTTCTTTGTGTTATCAGATTGTGTTTTAAGTTTTGAGTTTCATGAGAATCGATCCATTTGTAGCTCATCTGCGTATTTTCTGTTCAAATTGATTTGTTGGGAACATTGAATTCGATAAATAGATAATTATATTATCATATGACTTTAGCTTTGCTTCGTGTCGTGTGATTTGGGTTGATGGGTTGTTCATGGTTCTCTATTTTTGGGTTTCAGAGGGTTTGATCTGAGAGGCTTCATCGTCAAATTTGTGGGTTTGAACTGAGAGATTTCATCGTCAAATTTCTAGCAACACTCCTAAAAAAATGCAACAAAACCCCCCTTAAAATCCAGTAAAACCTTCCAAAAAACCAACAAAACTAAAAAAAAACTAGCAAAACCCCCCAAATATTTTATGATATTTACTCTTGTAGACCATAATTAATTAAATTTATACAATGTATAGTTGAATTGTTATTTTTTGAATTTTATTATTGAAAGTTAGTTAAAGTTAATTGAGGTGGTTAGCTAAAATAGATAGCATTATCGGAGTGAATTTAAAAAAAGTGGTTAGCTAAATTAAATAATACAATATTTAAATATATTTTAAGTACCTATTTTAGATAACATTGTTGAAGATGCTCTTATAACAACTCCAACAATGTTATCTAAAATAGTTATTCAAAATATATATAAATATTATGTTATCTACTTTAACTATCCACTTTTTCAAATTCAATCCAACAATACTGATGGGACTTTTCTGAAATACCCTATGATGAAGACACGTGTCCTCGGTTTACTAAAACACTATTGCTAAGATCAAGCACCATCGGCGCACGAATGTCCTCGCCCCCGAGGTACCGTCATATAGGATCATGCATTCAGTATATTTTACAACCGACACGTGGCCTCGGTCTGATATGTACCTCGGTCGGCATACCTCCCTCGGTCCCCGAGATGAGCCTTTCCTCGGTGCCGAGACGTACCCCGTCTTGGACGCTTCCTCTACTCCAGGATAAGCTATTGACGTACAGGTCATTAGAATAGGCTAGTCTAGGCTATTCATCATGACCTCGTCTTACACAATTAGTGTCAGAACGTACTGGAATGCAAGGGTCACAGCCATTAAGAGATGGACGCGTGGCAAATGATATCACATCGAAACAGAGAAGACGCATGCCGTTTCTGACACGCGACTTGGGAAAGCAAACTATTAATTACACCATTCCTTTGATGAGACCGCATTCAATGCGGTAAGGCTCGGAAATGAAAGGCAATAAATGCTCCTAATACAGAGCATTTATTGCATCCTCCCCGAGAGGAGTACATTGTACCGTCGGCGTCCCGATGACACAGCATTGATTGCTCGGGACCCTGAGCAGTTAAGAAGAGAAGACATTCTCATCAGAATCAGTGCACACACCGCATGTACCTAATGATCATCTACTGACCACACTGACAGCAATCATGAGCTTTTGAGGTATAAATACTCCTTGCAAAAGACAAGACGGGTATGAAACAACAAACTCTTTACTACAATACATTCTCAGTGTTTTCTCCTTCCTCTCTCTTTCTCAAAGACTGACTAGATCGTCGGAGGGGATACGCCGAAAAACACTCCGGCGCCCTTTTAACTTGTTCTTCTTTGTTCCAGGAACCTCTTTCAGCCTTACTGGATCGTTCTTCCGTTCCCAGGATCTCCCATTGCTGTTCCAGGTTACCACCGTACCTTGCAGGCTGTTCCAAGCAGCGTGTTTGGTCACTCAACCGGCTCGCTCGAGTTCACCAAGGGAGAGATTTGTTCTCGTTTTTTATATTGTGCAGGATCTTGCACGCACAATCTGGCGCCGTCTGTGGGAAACGACTAGTTTTCCTAGTTTTTTTTCTATAAAGAACAGTGACCATGGTGAACACTCGACAAAAAGGGAAAGGACCCCACCAAAGGAGTCTCGAGTTACAAGCTCCCTGTCATCACGGAGGAAGGGATCACACCAACACGAATAAAAATGTCTCTACTCGGTCAAGAGTGGTTACCCCTCAAACCAGTATGGGAATCAGGTCAGGGGATCAGCCCCCTTGGCTCGTCAGCTGGCGGAGGTGATTGAAGAAAAATTTGGTGATAGATTACGTCAGCTGGAAAAGGACAATGTAAACGTCCTAAGCCGGCTCGACGAGTTTGCCGCCTCTGGCGGGGGGTCAAGCGAGTGAAAAGGGGATTATGGGAAATAGATAGGAGAATAGCTAACCTGTTAGAGCCAAATTTTAAGGATAGGCTATCTAAAATAGCTAAGAAAGACTCTTTTCCTGAGTCCTTTGGAGTTGCTCTTAGGACAACACTACTAGGTAGAAGTCATAACCCTAGACAATGCTCTTCCCCACCAAATATAATATTCACAAATTGCACATTCAAACAAAGTAGACAATCTCATGATCAACAATAAGAGATGTGGTGAACCTATCGACTAAGAAAAAAAATGGGACTTCCAAAGGTGTAAATATAACGGTTTTTGTGCCAAATCTAATTATAAATTCCTTCAATTTGACAGATTTTAAGTCAAGAAGTTGTGCATGAACAAACTAAATACCAATTTCAACTAATTGTCGATTCATTCAGAGAAACATTGAATGAGCTACACCTGCCAATAGTGTAGGGTCTTTGAGATGTCAGAAGGACTTCTTTTCATAAGAGACAAGCCCGTGAACTCCACCTTCAATTTGTGCTGCTCCAGTCCTTACCTGTACATGCCCAAGAGAACAAATGTGAAGTCCATGGTAACTATCCCCATTTCTTGGTAACCATCATCCATCATAGAAAAATTTGGTACAAAAAAAAAAAAAAAACCTACCAAATACATTACACATAAAACGAGCTAAAATAATTCGCCTTGACAAAAAGTTGAAATTAAAGTGATTATGGATGAGTCCAATTTTGTAGTGCATATGTATCGACAAGAAAGGCTTCCTTTGTATATTCATGAGTAAAAAAGAGCATAACTAGTCATAAAAATACTAGCAAAATAAACGATAAAAGCCAAAGGGTAATCATACCTCGAGCCTTATTACTCCTGATCTTAACAGGTGATGAGCAGACTGAAGGGAGGAAGCACCAAGATCCTGGAAACCCTGCTTCACTGCTTGCATGGCATAAGGTATGAACTTCAAAACTGAACCTTTGTCTACAACTGCCCCAACGACCCCCTGAGCAATCTTCAGCTTCTCAGTATCACCCAAGTATCTAGCATCACTCCCTTTTGTCATTGCTTCTAGGGATCCCATGCCTCGATACTTTTTAACTCGACGACCATTCTAACAATATTAAAAAGTTCATAAAAATGAGGAAAACATGTTTTTCAAAATAAAAGTAAGCATACGACATACTTCCACACAACGTGCAGGTGCCTCATCAAAATTCCAGATTTGAGATATTAAAACTCTAGACAAAATTCCAAATCCACGGAAAGTATGGTCCTTAAAAGAGCGGAATGGCAACTATGATTTATTGTAGCCGATCACAAAAATGATAGGACAAGACTATCTTGAATTGGGTTAAGAAGTTAAAACACTATACATGCCATTGACAAATCACCAATAATGGTCCAGCAGGCTAAGGACATCAGCAGCACATATACACATGAATGAAATTGTTTCAACATTCAACCAATAAAAGAAAAAAATGTAGTTATGTCCTAATGCATAGGATCAAGTCCACAGAGTTTATTAGTGGTTTATAGATTAACTCAACAACAAAAAAAAATTCACTTCCAGTGAGATAATGCTTAATATTGCCACACAACTTACAAAACCATAATAACTTTTTCAGAGACATTATGCTAATCAACCCAGCAAATTCAAGTTTTTTGGCCTTCGTCGTACAAAAGCTCCACACACTCATCACTCAAAGACAAACACTTGCAAGACACATCACAGCATGTGTAAGTCACATTGTTACGAAATATACTCCTACACATACAAAAAATAAAAGGATGAGATAAAAACAAAAAACAAATGACAGTACATTGGAGCTGACATGTTCCTGAGTTTACCAGAGAAACAAATATTGTCAAACCATATGTTAATATTAAAAAGACAAGGGATTAAAGAAAAGGGAAATAGAACTGAAAAACTTGTTTATAATCAAAACTTCATTGGTGTAAGAATCATGACAGATACAGGAAAAGGTTCCAAAACCCAAGGGCTCTACCACCAGCCAATGGTAAGTGAGTGTGCAAGTTTTCATTGTTTGGCATGGGTATCATCTCCAACAACAATATTAAAAGAGTGTGAAATAATATCACCTGATATTCATAGGCTCCAGGAGCTTCACTACTTCCAGCTAAGAAACTTCCCATCATAACAGTTGATGCTCCTAGGGTCAAAGCTTTGACGATGTGTCCAGAATTCGAAATGCCACCATCAGCAATGACAGGAACACCACTTTGTTCCGCAATAGATGAAACCTTATAGACAGCAGTTGCCTAAAAGTTTTTGACAGAGAGAGAAATACTTCATAGTGTTAAGCTCCGCTGATCATCCTAAACTCATATTACACTCTGACATCAAAGTCAATGGTATGCTCACTTTAAGACCTATCAAAAATAAACTGATACTATGTGCAACAGAAACATAACCTGCTTGCTCAATGAGAATTCATGTATATCACCATAGTATAGATATGGAAATAAAGTTGAGAGATATATTCCCGTAGCCAACTCTACCAAAATTCCAAATCCTTCTATTTCTTCGTCATACCTTCAAATTGCAAAGTGCTGATTCCTCCCCCCCCCCCCCCCCCCAAAAAAAAAGAAAAAGACCAACATAAAAGAGAGAGAAAAAGAAGAAATTCAACTTGTCAAGTGAAATGGTGTTGAAGTTTGGATTAGCAGCAAGCTTCACAATGTACAGTTCTGCCTTTTTCCGAAGTAATGTCTGAATAACAAGTCATAACCTGATAAAAGAAATGTTGCAATAGAACACCCCCCCCTCCCCCCACAAAAAAAATTGTGATAAATAGATTAGTGAAACATAAACTGATTAGTAATGTCAACAAGCAATACAGGCATATGTCCATTGCAGAAATTTCAACATCCACCTCTGGAAAAAGAAAACAAAGATTATCAAGCACAACATTGCTGTGATCTGTGGATATGATATGATGTTCATTACCTGTCCCCGACCCACGGCACAGACCTCCTGGGTGGTACATATGGAGCCAGAGCCCATCCCTACTCTCAACCCATCAGCTCCAGCCTGAATCAAATTCTGAGCCTGGTACATGGTCACAACATTTCCACCGATCAAATCCAACTCAGGATACGTCTTCTTGATATACTTAATCATCTCAGTCTGATAAATGGAATTTCCTTGGGAACTATCCAACAGCACCACATTCACCCCCGCCTTCACCAAATGCTCCAACCTATCCTTATCGGATTCCCTCGTCCCAATCGCCGCCCCCACCAGAAACTCCCCATCTGGTCCCACCGACGGCATACCCAACTTCGGAAATCCTCGGATTCTTTCTACTTGATCCGCCGTCACCACGTTCACTAGTTCCCCGTCTTTCTCATTCACCAACGGCACAAATTCAAGCTTCTTTGCTGCTAAAAACCCAGCAACATCCTCGAAATCACAGTTGGACGGAAAGGAGACCGGAGATTTAACCATGTAGTCAGACACCGTAACTTCCTTGTCGTTCAATGCCTGCCAGTCTGCCTTAGAAACGACACCTAACAACTTGGATTTCTTGGTCCCGGAGTCGGTAACGAAAATGCAGTTTGAAGAAGCGAATTCGTCTATGGAATCGATAGTATCAGAAGGCGATTTGAAGAGTGGATCAGAGACGAATGGAATTCGATGAGACTTGGCGGAGCGGATGATGGATGCCTGGTGGGAGGGGGTGTTGTTGGAGTGGACGAATGCGATGGCGCCGAGTGCGGCCATGGAGACCGCCATGGAGGTCTCGGAGACGGTATCCATGGGGGAGGCGACGCAGGGAATGGAGAGGGTGAGATTGCGGGTGAGTTTGGTGGCGAGTTGGACGGAATCGGTAGGGAAGTCGATATAGTGTGGGAGGAAGATAATGTCATCGTAGGTGTAGGAGTATCCCTGCTTGAACAACCTTTCCGCCTGGAAGCCGTCGTCGGTGAAAGCTACATCCATGGCCTAAACTTGTGAAAACACAGAGGGTGGGCGGTAGTTGTGAGAACTGAGAACACAGAGAGTGAATTATTGGAGTTGGAGATGGAGTGAATTATTGGAGTTGTATCGGGGGTTTAGCTTTATGTGCCGTTCTGTTTTTTTTTTTTTTTTTTTCTCACAAAATCATGGTGTTGCGTTGTGTTGGAGTCGGGGGTCCCACGTTGAATATGCATGCCATTGGACCTTACCTAATCTTGCTACAATTTTTTATTCCCACCAACTATACGAAAAAAAACTTGAAATTTTAGGTAGTGTTTGGTAGCCGATGATTTTTATTTTTATTTTTATTTTTTAGAAAAAAATATATATTTGGTGGGTGTTTTCGTTTTTTCTGATTCCTTAAATTTCTATCTTTCTGATTCCTTAATAAATTCGTGGATACTCTTTGCAATTTCATTTCAGGAATCAAGTAATGAAAATTACTGAGTACTTTTTGCAATTTCATTTCAAGAATCAAACAATGAAAATACAATTTTATTTCAAGAATCAAACAATGTACCAGTATTTGAGAATCAGATTCATTTAGAATCTGATACCCCTCTATGCTATACTCCATTAGCTGATTTAGTCCATCCAACAAAGCCAAACACTCTGCTTTCATATTAGTGAGTTATGTTCACAACTTTTATCTTTATTTTCTTCTATTGTCTTTTGGGTTGATCCTTTCAATAACAATAATTACAAAGTTTGGTTTTTTTTATTGAAATATTAATATATATGTCATGGTTTACTCCAAGTACGAATTATGAATTGATTTAATATGTTATATGCTTATGTTTATATATAAGTAATTATGATTTGAGAGGGTTGGTTTATAGTGTGAGAGTGTTTGATGAATATTTGGAATTGTTTGTTATGTAGATGGATTATAAAGATGACGATGTTGTTGAGGTTGGGGCAAAGAAAGGTGATGGGTCATGGGCATCTAAAAATGAGGCCATTTTTATTAAATTGATGGATTTAGAAGTATCATGTCGTCATAAAGACACATTTATTTTTTAAAAGAGATGCTTGGAACAGAATCTTAGTGCAACTAAGCGCCAAGACAGGATATAATTACAACTTTGAGCAGCTGCGAAACAAATACAATACTTTGAGAACAACGTACAATGCATTTAAAAAGTTATTGAATGAAACAACTGGAGTAGGATGGGACCCAGAGAGATAGACAATTACTTTACCCGATGACATCTGAAAGAATTTGTGCAAAGTAGTCAATTATTTTAAAACTCTTAAGCATTATTATGTTTATATTTGTCGAGGCTTTAGTATTCATTAGTTTTCATGTCTGTTGGGTGAATAAGCATGCTAGACAATTCAAGAAAAATGGTTGCCCGCATTATGACAAGCTTGGTAAAATTTTTGGTAAGATAACTGCAACCGGTGAGCATGCTCACCCTTCAACCCTACCTCCATTTGATAGCGTGGAAGAGAAAGACACCATTTTTGATCCTACAAATGAGGTTGATAAAGGTGATGACAATGAACAAATAGAGGATTACAACATTCGAGATACCTCACTGTTCAAGAGCAAGTTGTTATATTCATGCTCACTATATGCCACAATAAACAAAATCGCATAGTCGCTTAAAGGTTTCAGCATTCGGGTGAAACAATCTCCAAATATTTCAAGCATGTGTTGAAGGTCGTTTGTAGGCTTGGAATGAATATCATATAACCCCGAATTTTGAAGTCATTCAAGCACAGATCATATTCAATCCCCAATATTATCCATTTTTCAAGGTAATTGAAAATATTATTGTATCTTCATATGAATTACAAAATATATGTGTTTGTTGCAATTGATGGCATTTGGATATATGTTTGTCATACTAGAATTGTGTTGGTGCAATTGATGATACTCATGTTGATGCACATGTTACAGTAGACCAACAAATACCATACCGTGGAAAGCAAATTGTACCAACTCAAAACGTTATATGTGCATGTTCATTTGACATGCGCTTTACGTTTGTGTTGAGTGGGTGGGAAGGTACAACACATGACTCAAGAGTTTTTAGAGAGTGTGTCACTGATCCAGCAAACAAGTTTTCAATGCCGTCAGGAGGTAAATTTATCCACGTATTTCAAATAAGTAATTTGTACAAATCCAATACTTTGTCTTCCTATGATATATATTTTTTTCAGATAAATACTATGTTGTAGATCCAGGTTATACAAACATGCCAAGTTTTTTGTCTCCTTACTGCGATGAAAGATATCACTTACATGATTATAGAGGTAGGAGTCGACAACCAACTGAAAAGAGGAGTTGTTCAATTACCGTCAATCATCACTTCGAAATGTAATTGAACGTTGCTTTAGAGTTTTGAAGGCTCGTTTTTCCATTCTCAAATTAATGTCACCTTATCTCATAACCACACAAAAATATCTGCTCACAACTTGTTTGTACAATCCATAACTTCATTAGAAATCACTCTCCACAAGATCAGTTGTTTATTGAATTTGAACAGAGGGAGGATGTTGATAATGATAGAGGTGGTGCAGGATTTAGTTCAAAGCACTAATTGAAATAAATATAACGCCGAGTCAGTTGCGTGAAATGACTCATGTTAGAGATGACATTGTGGATCAATTATGGGCATCAACTCATCGTTAATATATTTCTTCCTTAGAATGACATTATACTTTTTCTTAACTTCCAATATTATATTGAACAAATTATTATGTCTAATTTGTCGTAATTAATGTTTTTGAAATAGGAATCATATAATGGCACCAATTGGACCTCCATGTTCATGTAGATATGGTAATATAAATGTTTTTGTCAAGCGAATAAAAAGAAACAACGGTCGCCTTTTTTATCGTTGTCCAAGATGACGTGATCATGTTGATTATTTCATTTGGATTGATGAGTATGATATACGCAGAGATGAATCAGAAATTGTGATCCCACAAGCCAATTTATGAAGGAGAGAGAAGAAATAGATAACACTTTTTATGCTTACTTGTTGTGGATGCAATTTCATCATGTGTTGTGGTTTACTGTTCTTGATATTTGTATTATTTATTAGGATTTTAGTGAAGTAATTATATTTATTTAGTGATACATTGGATGTTTAACAAACTTTTATTTTTGGTTGATGTATTATGCACTGTTTTATGAGTTAATATATGTATTGACATATAATCATCTGGATATGGTTTATCAAGAATTAAAATAAATATAAAATATATGGCATAAAATAAAATAACTATCAAACATATTTTTTGTTTTAATTTTTAGATTTCATAAAACAACAGTTACATCTAAATATATTTTTTGTTTCAACTTTTAACCACAAAAAAAAAAAAAAAAAAACATTGATTCTGTTTTTCATTTTTAAAAAACATAAAAACGAAAACGTTATCAAACGCACCCTTAATCAATCGGTTGCCATTTTATAATCCTTTTTATCTACATAGTAGAGTTAAATGACAAATATAAGTCCAACCTGATCATTGCCACTCTCACCATTTGAAGCTCAATTATATTAATATTGACTTAATTTTTTATTTAAATTTTTAGTCAACAATTGAATAAAAAAAAATTGATATAAAATATTTCAATGAAAAAAATTCAAAGTTAAAATAGGATAACCCCAAATTTAAATAATGATATAATATGACCATTAAATCATTTTTTTTTATCAAAATCTTTAGATTTAACAATTGGTGATTTAAATAAATATTTGAGTCTATCTTAATTTGAGCAAAATTTTGAATCTTTCATCGATTTGGTATGAATTTGAATATAGTGTTGGAGAAGGTTTTTAACCCTAATTTTAAAAAATAGTAAAGGTTAGAGATGCATTAAGAAGAACTTTAATTGTCATTTGGTTACATACAAATATTATTCAAACTTCATATAGAATTTATTTATATCTATTGTTTTCAAATGAGGAAGTCTCGAAAATATTACTTTCAATCTAATAGTTTTTTTTTTTTAGTTTAACGATCAAGGTATTTGAGTTAATTTATGTGTGTTTCGATTAATCTTCTTTCCAAAAAACAATCTAATAATTTTTGAGTTGCTCCAAATGTCCCAAATACTACGATGAATTCTCAAAATTTATCAAAATTCTCAGCCTATCCCCAAAAATCATTAAACGTGAACTTGGGATTGAATGTACTTGGCATTCATTCGTTTTCTCATTACCATATCCTGATTTTGTCCAAATAATTGTTGATATATTTTGCCTACCGAATTTGTCAATATGAACCACCAAACCAAATGGTCCCATATCAACCCGACCCGTTCTCAGCTGCTTCTCTTCGGGACAAGCTACAGGTACAGAGCAGCTCTTTTTCAAGCCCTACCACATGAAATATGGAATCAGCGTAATAAGGTTTTGGGGTGCGTTTTGGCATCCTCGTGGTGCTCGTGGAAGAGCATTATTTACAGTTGTAAACTTCTTATTCTGGTAAGAATTCCAATACCAAACTCTTCTGAAATTAACAGTAGAAAGCCCTTCTGATTTGGTTCACCATAAACCTCATTTTTCTACTCCTATTTCTGACACTAATAACATCCATGCAATGATTAGTCGTTGCCTCCAGTTCACTAGAAGCCTCAAACAAACCAGGTGTATCTTCAACAATCTTCACTCAATTAGAAAAAACCCTAGCTTCCATTCAGCGACAGACATCTCTAATGATTATTGCATAAAGTTCTGCCTTTTAACCTCTATGCATTGTTCCCATCCAAGTTCTCCAGCAATTTTTGGTTTTTTTGCAATAAAGGACCATAGATTTGCCAGAAGTTATTGTTCTGGCAAGAACAGTGACGAGTCCAGGGAGTGGACTGAAGATATAGAATACTTAGACGAAGCAGGCAGTGTTATTTTCTCGGGTAAGGGTATTAGGTCGGTAGAGCCCGGGCTCGATGATCATGTTATGGTGGGTGGGCTAAAAAAGCCAATTTTGAATTCTTCGGCAGTTTCTAAGATTGTAGAGATTTTGAAGAGGTGGAGATGGGGGCCTGATATGGAGACCCAACTGGACAAACTCCAGTTTGTGCCAAGTATGACTCATATTACTCAGGCCTTGAAGATTATTGGAGATAGTGATGCATCTTTGAGTTTGTTTCGGTGGTCAAAGAGGCAATCTTGGTACTCACCAACTGATGAATGTTACATGACATTGTTTGATAGGTTGAATGAAAGTCGGGACTTCAATGGGATTCAGTCAATGTTTGATGAGATGGTTCGCGATTCAGGTGAAAATGGGATTTCCTCATTTAGTGCCTACAACCAAGTAATTCAGTATTTGGCAAAAGCTGAGAAACTGGAGGTATCATTCTGTTGTTTCAAGAAGATTCAAGAATCTGGTTGTAAAGTAGATACTCAGACGTACAATTCGCTTATAACTTTGTTTTTAAACAAGGGTTTGCCTTATAAGGCATTTGAGATGTATGAGAACATGGAAGAAGCTGGGTGTTCATTGGATGCATCTACCTATGAGTTGATGATACCGAGCCTGGCTAAATCAGGCCGTCTTGATGCTGCATCGAAGCTCTTCCAAGAGATGAAAGAGAGGAACTTCCAACCCGGGTTTGCAATTTTTGCATCACTTGTTGATTCAATGGGCAAAGCTGGGAGGTTAGACACAGCAATGAAGTTGTATATGGAAATGCAAGGTTTCGGTCTCAGGCCATCTGCAACCATGTTTGTTTCTTTGATCGAGTCATTTGCTAAGGCTGGGAAACTAGATACAGCTCTTAGGATTTGGGATGAGATGAAGCAAGCAGGGTTTAGACCTAACTATGGGCTGTACACAATGATTGTCGAGTCCCATGCTAAATCTGGGAAGCTTGGAATTGCAATGTCTGTCTTTTCAGATATGGAGAGGGCAGGATTTCTACCCACACCATCTACTTATTCTTGTCTCCTGGAAATGCATGCTGCTTCTGGTCAAGTCGATGCTGCCATGAAGCTGTATAATTCAATGACCAATGCAGGTCTGCGACCGGGCCTAAGTACTTACACCGCCCTGCTGACACTCCTAGCAAAAAAGAAGCTCGTGGATGTGGCTGCAAAAATATTACTCGAAATGAAGGCCATGGGATATTCTGTTGATGTCAGTGCTAGTGATGTTCTAATGGTTTATATCAAGGATGGTCCAGTTGATCATGCTTTGAGGTGGCTTCGTTTTATGAGTTCTTCAGGGATCAGAACGAATAATTTCATAATCAGGCAGCTCTTTGAGTCATGCATGAAGAATAGTCTGTATGAGTCCGCCAAGCCTCTCCTTGAAACTTATGTGGACTCTGCTGCAAAGGTTGATCTAATACTTTACACTTCAATTCTAGCACATCTTGTAAGATGCCAGGAAGAGCATAATGAGAGGCATTTGATGTCGATTCTCTGTGCCACAAAACATAAGGCACACACTTTCATGTGTGGGCTCTTCACGGGCCCAGAACAGAGGAAACAACCAGTTTTGTCTTTTGTGAGGGAGTTCTTCCAGGGTATTGATTATGAATTGGAAGAGGGAGCTGCCAGGTACTTTGTCAATGTTCTTCTTAATTACCTTGTTCTAATGGGGCAGATTAATCGCGCTCGTTGTGTGTGGAAAGTTGCCTATGAGAACAAGCTTTTTCCTAAGGCGATAGTATTTGATCAGCATATTGCTTGGTCCCTTGATGTTAGAAATTTGTCAGTTGGAGCAGCTCTAATAGCAGTTGTTCACACCCTCCATAGGTTCAGGAAGCGGATGTTGTATTACGGTGTTGTTCCAAGACGAATCAAATTGGTAACTGGACCCACATTAAAGATTGTGGTCGCACAGATGTTAAGCTCAGTTGAGTCGCCATTTGAGGTTAGTAAGGTGGTTCTGAGGGCACCTGGGGATTCTGTTATGGAGTGGTTTAAAAAACCAATTGTTCAGAAATTTCTTTTGAATGAGATTCCATCAAGGGCTGATATTCTGATGCACAAGCTTAACACACTTTTCCCTAGTTCTGCACCTGAAATTAGATCTTTATCCCCTCCTAAACCTCTTGTTGCAGGGAAGTCGGTGTAACTGTGAACACTATTTGAGACTAAGTACTGTTTTCATATTTGTGAAATGAATTTTCTGTACTGGGTTTTGCTGTTCTTCAGTTCCTTCTTTTGATTTCGACCATTAATTTGGAAAACTATGCGCGAAACTTGATATCCATATCTTTAAAGGGGTAATATCCATGCACAGATATTCTCAAAACATAAACTCTTTCAATACTGACTTTTAAATATTGGAGTTCTCTTTCTCTAAGTCCACATTCAGATTTGTTGCATGAAAAGGTGAAGTTTTCAGGCAGTTTTAACAAATCAGTATTTGAAATTGCTGTTTGCCTGAGGTTTCTAACTTTAAATGTAACAAGTGTGTGAAAGGATTGTTGTCAAACTCATGCTTGTTTTTTGCTTTTGCAGATTCTTTTTTGACAATTTTACTTTTTCAGCTTAGTACCCACATTTTTCACTCAGTTTCTGGTTGCGTGACTGGTTAGCTTGTGAGAGGGGAAGAGGAAGGAGGGGGGGGGGGTCAGTGCGATAGTATTTGATCGATCAGGTATAAATTCTTCTCTAGCTGGAACCCTTCATCTTTTAAGGTGGAACAAAAGCTGAATAATGTTCTGCAAGCTCTTCTTACTTGGTGAGTTCTTTACTCTTGGTATTCAGTGGAGTTATGCTACCTTTTTTTTTTTTTTTTTTTTTTTGGTAGTGTCTGATGGCAGAATCTTACTTTTTTCTAATGATTATGAAGTGTTTTTTGTCTGTTAAATGGTCTTTTTAGAGGGTACAGGAAACAAGATATTTGCTGCGCCCCTTTTTCAAACGAGGTAATGCGATGAAGGACCAAAAAAAAAAGTTGTATTTGGTGGGAATTGATCAATTTTTAGGGGTGATATTGATGATATATATATTTGAGGCAGCTAAAATTGGCAGGGAGCGGTGGGTTTAGGTAGGACTGAGCTAGGCGTTGCATCCTCCTGCATTAATATTGGGAGTTATACATGCATCCTTTTAGATCACTTTGTTTCCCCATTCATCAGATAAGCAACATGTGTTCAACTTATTTGGGATGGATTTTTTGAAATACAAAGTTAGGCAGACAGCATAACATTTCTCTTAAATTGACAATTTCAATTGTTTATTTTAAAGATCATGCCAAAAGTTTGAGGGTGTTAAGCTTGTTAGGCCTTTTACTGTAGACTATGAACTTAGAATTAAACATGATATTGATAAGAAACACAATACTACAGTTGTTAAAATAGAGGGCTGGCTGCAGCACAATACTACAATTGTTCTATTGTGATATGGATTTCACAAATTTGAATCACAATAATTGTCTTTCTGCGTGTAGAGTAAGGTTACATAGGCTTGATTTTTTTTTTTAATTTAGTCTATAGTGGACTAATGCAGTGATGATCTTGTGTTGGAGCAGGCACTCGAAGAGGACAGTTTGGATTGCATTATCTACTCCATGATAATGGACATATGCCCAGCCCAGTAATTCTTGTCCAATCGCATTGTTTTTTGGTTTGACTATGATGATAGATAAAGTGGCACATTCCACAAACTAAAGAAGTGCTCCTGATCGGCACATTCCATGCTGGAACTGGAAGGATGATATATATATATATTTATTGAAATTTTGATATAAATTATGCTATTAAGAATAAAACAGTAACATATAAAAATTAATTCGACTGTCAAATATGATCTGTTTAAAGAATTTAATCAAAGTTATTGTATGACATTATATCCTTAAGATAAATTTCGCCTCCACTCCGGTGCTAATATATTTTTGAGCATTTATCTCCCAAGATACAATAATCACACAAATTGAAGAAGCACGATAATCAATTTGCACAGTTAACCATAAATATATTTCTATACTCTTAGAAATGAACATTGCTATAATGAAGATTATGAATGTAATGACTTTGATAATTATGAAATTTATTAGTCCTTAATGCATAATGATTCTAAATTATTTACAGATGCAGAGGTGATTGTTTAGAACAGTCATTACTGATCAAATGTAATCTAGAAAACACCAGGGATGTTCATTGATGAACAATTCTGAAATAATTTAAATTCAAAACCGGTGGAAAATTCAAATTCCAACCGGCCAGAAATTTGAATTCCAATGGACAAAAATTAAGGATCCATTTAACAAACGATTCTTATCTAAAAAAATAAGATTGAATCCAAACCACACGCACACACGAATCGTTGGGCGTCGAAGGCGTGCATGCATGTGTGGTTAAACCTAAACCTATCTAGGTCCCTTCCCTTCCATAAAAATAATGTGCCCCTTGGTGCTCAACCCTTATAGCAAACTTGAAGTATAGATGCACACCAAAATTTTTTTGCCCAACCAATGTAAAATTGATATTAAATCCCATGTCTCAATCTCTATTTCTACTTTTTAAGTGGGTCATTTTGTAACATATTTTCTCGTTCACTTTTTATTTTAGGCGAAGTTACTACGTTATTCTTCTCACATAGTAGGTATGAACCCACGAAAATTTACTCAACATGATAAGTGGATATTACTTTAATTTAGGCTAAAAAATTGATTAAAATTATATTTTTATACCCAAAACACAATTTTGGTTCAACAAAAAAATATTATAGGCAAAGAAGATTAACGTTATTACTGTTGAGGCAGGAGGAAATAGTCAATAAATAGATTGTATTTAGAATGATAGACATATTATGATAACCTTGTAATGCCAAAAAAAAAAAAAAAAAAGATTTAATCCGTGACAAATATGTTAGAAATTTGGACAAAACACCAATGATTCTTTTAAGAGAAGAAGTATAAGGTGTTTTAATTTTCGATTGCTAATGGAAATTGCCATGGCCATAAAATAAACCCCCCCCCCAAAAAAAAAAAAAAGAAGTTTAGATGTGTTTTAGGCTTACCACTACATTTTAAAGAATAAAATAAAAAAAGAAATAAAAAACTGAGGTGTTTTAAGCTTACCACTGCATTTTAAAAAAAATAAGGGGAAACTTTTTTTTAGTCTTAAATAATAGCTAACTGAAAAAGTTAAAAAAAAAGTGGGTGAAAAGATGAAAACGGAATTAGAGCACTACCGTACCGAGGACATTTACGTAAACTCACGGGCCATTCAAACTTTGAAAGAGGCGGTTCCATAGATTTATGTTCGACTGAGCACCAACGATAAAATCATCTTGTTCTCTCTCGATCGATCTCGATTGCTGCTGAATTCTGAATTGCAGTTCCAGGTAATTCTGAACTTTTTACTCAGTTGATTCGATTCTTCTCGGAATTCTTTATTTCTTTTTTTTTTTTTTAAAGAGAACTGAAAATCAGGGCTCCAATAAGTGTATTCTTTTGATCTCTTGCGGTTTCAATTAAGAACTAGTGAGCAAAGAGAGATAGAGGGATAAGAATAATTTAATGCATTTATCGTATGATCTTCTTTGCCTCTCTCTCTCTCTCTCTCTCAAACCCTACTTTCTCTGTATTTTTATCTGTTGTTTTCTTGAATAAATCTTCCATCAAAACCTTACTTTCTTTCCAGGCATCTGTTAGGGAAAAGGTATCGACTGAGGAAAAAAATCCTTTCAAAATTCTCCCCCTGTAGAAAATAGCGGTCAATCAGAGAACGCCCAGAAGAATTAACGGAAAGAACATTATGGTAGCGGTCAAGGTAGAAAGAAACTATAATCCCCTATATGCGTATATATTTTGATTCAATCCTTTTGGATGAAAATTGATAAACACACCAGTGGTGAGACTTGGTGTTCTTGGAAATTTAGGGGAAACATAATTCACTGACAAATCGAGTTGCACAAGACCATGGAACTATCAAGAATGGTAAATTATTTGTTATTTCATTCTTTCTTTTCTATTATTGATTGTAGTATATTTCTTGATTTACCCCTTCAATTCCTCTGAGAAACAGTTGGAGTCAGAAGTATCAAGATTTATGCAGAAAATGAAAAGGTTAAAATTTGCGGTCGTGATTTTGTTAATGCTGAATGCAAGTAAGTGTGTAGTTCACTATGTTTCTGTTTCATGATTTTTGTTTATGTGCATTAGAGATGTGATAATATTGCTGACTTTTGTTTGAAATTAATGATTTGTGTATAAATTGCTGGAGAAACCATGCAAAATTGAATTATGATTCTTTGTGTTCTAAGCACGTGTAATACTTGTAAAGGCCCAATTTAGGTGGTGTTCCAAAATCCAGGTAACCAAGTATTTGTATGATTCAAAATTTCAATTTCTCAATTCCTCGTGCTTCCAAAAATATCAATAAGCCATTACAACATTTAACATCATGGTCCAATTTTAAGTTCTCCAGCCTTCATTATTTCTCTAGGTGACTCTCCAAAACCTATTGTTGACTTATTTTTTTTTTTTATGTGTACTGCTTCTTTAAGCTTTTCTTTTTCGTAGGAGGAAATCTGCTCCACTTAACAACAGTATCAGTCAGGCCGATGCAAGTGGTTTAAAGGTTAGTCCGACTCTATTTATTTCTTTTTCTAATACTTCAATTGATTGAGCTGGATCTGGAGTGGTGTTCATGGGATCTTTTCAATGTTTAATTCTTCTTTTCTTTTTCTTTCAATAAAAGGTGGGTCCCAAGAATTCAGAGAGGAGTAAAGGGAAGCATGGTTCTGGTAAGGACCTGCCATACAAATTATTGAAAGGAGCTTGAGTTTGATGTTGGATCCTACTAACAATGATATATTTATTTCCAGTTAAGATAAATGTTGGAAGAAGAGTTTTAGCTGATGTCAGCAATGTGTGGGGCAACATCTCAAGGAATGAACTGCATGATGGTTCAAAGCCAGCGTAAGTGATGTTGATCGCGTTTCTATCTGAAAGAACATTTCTTTCAAAATGTTTCTCTTTCAAACTGTTTCTCAGTATTTTTATCTAGGCTTTCTCTGTGACTCAAACAGAACTAGTGAAAGTCTGAAATGAAACGACAATCCTCTAAATTTGCTTCCTTTCTAAAGCTTTTGTAGCTCCTTTATTTTCAATGATTCTTTTCAACGCTGTAACATAACTGTAGCGAAGATAGGTTTTTGAAAGGTTTAGAATCCTTATCATATTTTAACTTTTAAGACTACTAAATAAGTTGAGGCTATTTGTTGGAATAATTGGGGTTTGGTATCTTACAACATTTTATCTTAATGCGTGAAAAGCTTTTATATTTTTATTGTAGATGTAGTTCTTCTCAAGTTTTATCCTCTGTCATGATGCAGGAAGTATAAAAGTGAGAGAACCACGATCTTAACACGGTATGCACACTGAATTTTATTATCATCCTTGTTTCTTGTTGCAGTCGAAACAGTATTAGATAGGTCTAGCACTGAAGTTCTCTCTCTCTCTCTCTCTCTCACCTCCATTCCTGGTTTTCAGCAAGAAGTAATTTCCTGAGTGAAAAAGTATTTAAACTGTGATATGGGGAGTTAAATGAGGAATGACTTATTTTTTTTCTTGTTCTTGTACTGGAAATTGAAGTTCCAGTAAACTGTCAGACAATTAAACTTTGATCCTGTAGTGTTTTTCTAAAGTTCAAATGTTACCCAAAGGTTCAGTTGTTTTAGAGTACGGGTTTTTACGTTGTTTTTTAGCTTTCTTTATTGTGAGGTTTATCATCTTGTGCTTATTTATATATGTCCGGTTGTTTATTTTCAGGCCATCACTTGGTCCAGTTACTAGGACTATAAGTTCTTCATCAAGTAAACCACTGATGGTATGCTAACTGGATATTGTATCTTTTCTTCACTACTCATTTTCTCTACTTTTTAAAGAAAACCTTTGCATCAGTTTTAGCTAATCTTGTGCTAGATCCCAACATAGATTTGATCCCTGCACAATCCTACCTCAGTTGACAAAAGATACTGCTCAAGCTAATTGAGGGGTAGTTAGGGTTGCTTTATTAAGATGAAAATTTTATAGGAATACCAGTTTACCCTTACCTGTATTTATACTATCATTTGGAACCATTTAGAAGTGGTTTTTTTGAAAGGAAAGAGACAAATAATCTTGCCATCAGAACCTTAGTGAAAATTATACCAGAAGGCATGGGAGAGTTCTCGCTAACCTTCTTGTCGAAGTATAGTAAAGCATTGTTGAGTGAGGGGAAGAGGCATACACCAAATGCATGTATAAGAGGCATGGTATAGCAGAAAAAGTTTTACAAGTAGTGAGATGGGAAGCATGAAGTAAAAGTAAGAGAAATATTTGGAAAAGAATTGCTCAATAGATTCTGGAAAATCATTTTCTTAAAGGAGCTCATAGGCAATATATTCAAGCAACAATATCCGAGTTGGCAACTGCAAATTATACTTCCCTACCCATTATGTACTATACTATACTTTATCATCTATCACAAGATATTATTTTTCAGCAGGCAAATATGAACATCTTTAGTACTCACATTTTAATTGTCAATGGCTGCACTTACTAATTGCTGAAACTGTATTGTTGTAAAACAGGGAAAATTGAGGGCAAACCAAAGTCAAGCTATTGGTGGCCAGTATACTTTGAAGAAAGGTAACTTTTACTTTACATAGTTTTTTCTTTTGATTGTTTTCATTTTAGGTTCATAATGTGTTTCTTGTTTCGGACAACAGTCGCCAGTAAGGATTTGAAAATATGTTCTGATGACTTGAGAATCAAGGACCCAGGTCGTACATCAGTCAATACTTTTGGCAGGTTTGTGCAGCTTAGTCCTTTATTTTTTTTTCCTGGAGTATCTAGGTCTAATAAGTTGTTCCTGACTGCTTTTCTGTGAAACTCCTTATTATTTTGCCTCATTTCCTTTTATATGTTGTCCTGAAAATGATGTTTTCGCTTTATTCTTCTTCTTTCTTTTCTGTTAGGACATCTGAAAGGAATCCTCTCCCACCAACAAGGTTTCTGGATTTGCAGAATATTTCTTTGGTTTATGTGTTAAGTAATCTATCATGCCACTGATGCATGTGTCATTTATTCCTACTTGAAGGAAATCCCTATCGGTGATCAAGCAGGTCAACCAGGTGGTTACAAGTGATGCAAATAAGGTACTGTAAGATCTTCTATCATTATTCAGATTATTGAAGGGTATGCTTATCTTTAAAAGATATAGAAAGGTTGTTAGAGGTCTCGTTCAGATTTCATAGTTGTTGTGCAGATTCTTTGTTATAGTTCTTGTGCAGATTCTTGTTTTCTCTTCTGAAATTCTATATTTTTGCTTATAGGAGAAGAATGCTGAAAATTCGGAAAAGAATAAAGGAAGGCGTGGTTTCTCTGGTAAGATGCTGTGCTTTATGCTTATAAGAATTTGACACCTGCATATTAGAAACTACATTGAGCATATAATGTTTCTTATTGTTCATTGTCTTCAGCTAAGCCCAAAGTTGGTTGGAATGCTGCACCCCGAACAAGCAATCCCCAGAGTCAACTTTGGAGGACTCGAGTTAGTGATGGCTTCATAATTATGTGAGCACAATTTTTTTTGACAGTTTGAGTTCATGCAGCAAAGAGTTCAGTTAATGCCTGTTACGCAAATGCTGTTTGCATATATGGGATACAACCTCAGACTACACGAGTTACTGTTGCATAAGTTCTCTTTCAGGGATTAATAAATTATGGTATTGCATAGCACGAGTTACTGCCTAAGAATTGAATCTCTTTTTTATAGTGAGTTTTGCCAAGACTGTCCCAATGATGACACTATTTGAACATTTGCCAAGCAACTTTTGAAGTTATTTATGATCTCCTTGCCAGTTTGTTCAAGTAATTAACAAATCTTACAGGGTTCTTATTAAGAGTGTAGAATGGGAGTTTTAGGTGGAATAGAAGGAATCTGTTAGATATCTAGTGTATATTTTCATAATAAGAGGTCTTAATCGAAGGTCAAAGTGATTTTGGGACACCAAATATTACCGAGAAGCCTCTGGAACTGATTGGAGGATGTTGTATTGATGTTGGAAATGAAATATGGTATCTGGGTCACCGGTCTAGAAACTGGAAACACATGTATCCATCCAATTCCTCAGAAAGAGAAAATGGAAGCTGCTGAATCCAATCATATTACCCGCTCAATCCAACGAGCACATATTTTTCAATTCTCTTCATGGAAGTTGTTTTTCACTGTTTCAGAAAAGGCAGGAAACAAGGGGTATTGGATTCTAAGGGTAATATGTGAATTCACATGTTTTTTTGTGAAAGGTGAACCTTGGTTAAGAGTGATTCAAATGTTTTTTTGAAGCCCTTTTGTGACCTAATATATTCATCGTGTTGCTTAACACTATCAATTTTTTGTTAAATTTATAATGTTGTTGCTAACTACAAATGATTATGGCTGTGTTCTCTTTATTAATTTTATAGATTTGCAAATTTCATTTCAGGGCTTCAAAAGGTGAACCTAAGGTGGATGCCCGGGCATTATCAATAAAATCAATGAAGGTATTTAACATATTGAATGATGGTTGTGTTTTGTTTTTCCTTTTTTAATTTCTCCCCAGGCCATTACCAGGCAGCAATGGCGGATCATAATAATTGAGAGATCCTACTTAGAGCGATTCAGGATTTTTTCATTCCGATTTTTTTTCCTTTTGTGTATGTTATGGGGAGGAGGTGTGATGGTGCTGGTATTGGAGGATTCCCAACTGCTAGATGTACCTAAGGAATTGGGAATGGAAGAGAAACGCTTATAATAAGCAGTTTGGGGATAGGGAGGTGTCAGTCAAATTCAAATGAGAATTCTACCCAGGATTTCATGGAACCCCGATTTCGTTGTTGTCAAAATAGAATCTCATTTGAGTCTATTTTGTTTGGAAGAAAGTCGAAATAGTGATAGACAGTTGCCCACAAACTGACATTTCATTAGGTTGTCCAGAATCTGCTATTACTTTCAATGGCCGAAAGCTCCATTTTCTAATATTCTTAGTGTAAATCTTCTTGACCAGAAAATTAATTGTCAACTATTAAGCAAAGTGTTTTATCTCAATGGAATAGTTGAATGTATTATAGTTCCCTTCCCTCACAGGATGTATACCGAGCACACTTGAGGTTGTCAAATTACTTGTACCTCTCACTTGTATACTTGATTGACAAATTTCCCTTCTATACTAGAAGTGCTAAAGATAAAACAAACTATAACATTCATTCTTTATGAAATGTGATTGATCATTTTCTGAAAGGTATTGACTTTCTTGTGGAAAGCCAGGCGACCCAACGGTAGACAATGCTCCCCTTTCTTTGTGGAAAGTTATACTAATACATGCATGTGTACTTGCTGCTGCCTTAGTTCTATTGGTGTCATTATTAGGGCAGCCGAAATACCCATTTTGGCACGCATGACTGGCTTTATCATGATGTCGGCCTCCAGCACAATTTAGTGGTTCTTGGCGGAGTTAGTTTTACTGCCATTGGACCATTTGATGGACATATTTGTGTGCCATGGGATTGATCAAGACCACATTGTTTGTTGGTCGAGCTTTGATAGTGTTCATGCTCAACTCCTATAGGGTCCCACTCTGGTTTGTCTCTATATGTCGTCTAACCATTGTAACAACCCTTGTTTCTGGGGCTTCAGGGCCCCTGTGTAAAGGATGAGGCACTAAGCAAAACTTATACCGAGTTGCATGACAATATACATAGCTGTTGAAACTGGGCAGCCACATTTTCAATATTAATTATTTGCTTCATATGATGTTTCCTTCCCCTTTATGTTGCTTTGTTATGAACTGTATTTATTGTCACTTATAGTTCCGTGGTTGCTAGTTGAAATTGTCATCAGCATCTTTGTTTTAGTTTTCTACAAGGTATTGAGGCTTTTTTCCTGAACACAAACCACATTTAGGTCTTCCCATTGCTATAGCAGTTCACATCTTTTCTAATTTGATGTTTCAGCCAACTGTGGTATCCTACTGATTTAACATTCGCATCTTTGCTCGTTTGATGTTTCAGCCAGCTGTAAAAACCATGGTTACAATTTCCAATACTCGAAGGACTTCAAAATCCAAGGGCACATCAGGTTTGAACAAGTCAACATCAGGTGCTGCTCTTTCATCCAAGAGAAAACAGAACATGGCAACATCATCTTTATCTCAACATAGGGCAGCAATTTTTCCCCATGAACAACCTGCTCGAGAAGAGCTTACTTCTGATAAAAGCTCCAACTTAGGCACAACTGCGTCAGATATCTTCCCTGGGAGAAAATCAGATCGTAGGAAGTCTTATACATCTACACTGATGGCAAGATCAAAGGTTGACGTCTTTTTCAATCTCAGTCATTATTCCTTTTCGTGGTTTCAATAACAATTGGCATTGTTCTTCAGCTCCTTAAGGAAAATGGTGAACTTCTAAAGCAGGAAATGCTGCCAAATATTTATGATGATAGCAATCATCTTGAAGTTGCTGAATATGTGGATGACATCTATCAGTATTATTGGGTTATAGAGGTGACATTACGTTTCACTCTATCATCATTTTTCTCTAACCAGTGTTGCTAATGATTTGTTTAATGATTGATCTACGTTGTTCTTCACAGAATCACATTAGCTAAATTGACTTTTAACTGCAGGCGCAGAATCAATCACTGAAAAGTTACATGGAAATTCAGACAGACATTACACCTCAAATGCGGGGAATATTGATTAACTGGCTTATCGAAGTACATTTCTATTTTTTTAATGCATTTCTTTGCGCTTCTTTCTTTTACTTGTTTGTTAGTGTTACTTTGTCATTCATAACTCTATCCCATGCTAGTTTTCCAATTGTAAGTTATTTACTGCCACTCTTGTCACAGGTCCACTTAAAATTTGATCTGATGCAAGAAACTCTTTTTCTCATGGTTAGACTGTTAGACCAATACTTGTCACTTGTCAGAGTTAAGAAGAGTGAAATGCAGTTGGTTGGTCTTACTGCACTTTTGCTGGCATCAAAATATGAGGACTTCTGGCATCCGAGGGTAAATATTTACCTGTCTAAATTGCACCGGCCTTCCTAGTTTTTAATTCTAGTGATGAATTTGCCTCAGTTCATTTGTTACCATTGGATGCAGGTTGTTGACTTAATTAGCATCTCAGCAGAATCATACACAAGAGATCAGATGCTTGGAATGGTAAATACATGCATTTTCTCAAGTCCCTTTAGCAGGAATTGGGTTTCTTTCTCTTGCGGGATGAAAATTTTGGAGTACTAGTGAACCGGATTAAGCTTCAATTTCCTTCTTGGCGGATCATCCACCATTAATGAGCGAGGGATCCACCTGAATGAATGATACGTAATCCGCCCAGAAGAAATCGAAGAAAAAAAAATGTATTTGGTGGGGATCTGAGTCCGCAGTGAACCAACTTGATTCATTCCTACACTGTTCAAGTTTTATGTGGCCACTATATTGCACTTAGCCAACACTCTTTACAGTTTTACGAATTTTGGTCATAAAAATGGCATATAATAGCTTCCTTTTACAGGAGAAGGCCATTTTGAAGATGTTGAAGTTCCGCCTCAATGCACCCACTCCATATGTCTTCTTGTTAAGGCTTATCAAGGCTGCTGAATCAGACAAAAAGGTATCGTGTTCATTGAGCCGTCAAATACTCTCAAATGGCCTTGATATCGAATTCTGGGATTTCAAGGTCTGGCTATCATTTTTGTTACTTCAACATAAAATCAAATCTGCTATTCCAGAATTAGCTGTAGGCGACAGAGATTTGGATACCTTATATGTATATATGGCATCCCGTTCAAAATCAAATTGTTAATGGTTACAGTACAAATTTCACTAATATTGTTTTGCCTTGTGGAATTTGCTGTCAGTTGGAACATCTAGCGTTCTACCTCATTGAGCTGTGTTTAGTTGAATACGAAGCTTTAAAATTCAAGCCCTCGTTGCTATGTGCATCAGCTATCTATGTCGCACGGTGTACTCTGCAAAGGACTCCACCATGGACCCCACTGCTTGGCAAACATGCTCGCTATGAAGAATCTCAAATCAGGCATGTCTTCGTGAGATGGACCCTTTTTTTTGCCCATTTTTACTTTGAAGGTGAATCACTAACGTTTGTTCAGTTTGTTACTACAGAGAGTGTGCAGAGATGATCTTGAAATTCCACAAAGCTGCAGAAACGGCTATTTTGAAAGTGACACATGACAAATACTCGAGTCAAGATTACAGCAGAGCTGCAGCTGTAAGACCTTTGGATAGGCTTCCCCTTTGATGACAAGGCTCGAATCAAATTTAAATTTGTAAAAGTCTTCAACAGGAAATATGGCACTTGGGAGGGAGACGTAAGTTTCTCTCGAGTAATCTTTTTTTTTTTTTTTCTCTTTGAATGTTGCCCAAAACTAGACTATTATCATTGTCTACTCTGAGAAAACTTTTTGCCGTTGAATCCTGCAGGGTAGATATGTTAAGACACCGTTTGCATCAATCTCTTCTGGTCTTATTAGTACTTTCAATTGCATTTTGAGTCTCTGAGATGTAGCAGCGTCCATTTTGGGTCATCAAATCTGACATTTTCATGATCTACACTCCAAAGAATATTTGTTTCCAAATTGCTGCAAAGTGTGAAGTGTTTCAATATGAATCTTCTGCTGAAATAGCAAGATGTATGCATGTTATATTAAGTACTATAATTCCACATCGCAGTTGCCCACACTGCTAGTGCTAAGGGATGAATACTAAAGCTAAGAGAGCTAAAGGTAGACATGTTGTTTGATATTAGTGTTGCATTTGGAGGATTGATTTCTTTTGTGTTTATAAAGTTTGTACATTGATGAGGGTTGGTGATGCTGCCTTAAGATTTTTATCGTTTTGATTGATGAGATGCCAGTCACATCTGGTCGTATGCTTCAGCAGAAGTGAAGAATCCATCATGTTGTTTTCCTTTAGATGAACAGCTGTAAGTCTTGTAATGCAAATGCATTGGCACCCTCTGATATAGTATTGTTTCCCAAATCCACGATTTCATAATACAGTGGAGGTTGAGCTTGAATTAGAATGATGAAACATTTTATAGTATCACTATATAGATTTTGCAAACTCCAGTTGAAAGTGCTTTTCATATCTCTGACATTGGATTCAGAAACTTGTTTCCTAAAATACTCTCCTATAATGGACTGACTCCAGCAACTTGTTTCCGTCCGGGTAATACTCTCTGATAATGGACCGACTCCAGCAACTTGTTTCCTTTCCGGGTAATACCCTCTGATAATGGGCTCCAGTAACTTGTTTCCTAAAAATACAAGCATTATCACGCAAAGGAACATAAAACCTCCTTCGAAGCTGAAACAGAAAATGAAAACAAAAAGTTCTTTTTCATACAACATTCCACCAATGTGGGACCAAGTTATTTTTTTCCTCCAACACGCGTATGCGGATAAGCAAGTTGCAAATGCATAAATTTGCTCCATTCCAAACACAACATATAGAAGTTAAAAAAGGAAAGTGCGAATGGGTGCCTTGGCATAATGGAAATACTTGATTGGCAAACAAACTGTGCTTTAACTAGTGATATAGCATTGGAATCAACTTTTTTACATAAGATAGTGAAATGACTGGCAATTAAAAGATGCAACGGATATGCCGAATGAGAGATATGTGTAGCAAGAGGAAGTATGGCACTTGGATGTCCACAAGACAAATTCTAAGGTAAAAGGAAGCAAAACAAGTACAGTGGAGGGGTGGTGTAGTGTTTCCACAATTTTTTATTTTCTTACATCCATTTTCCTTTTTGAGGGTGAGACTTTTTTGGTTGGGATGGAGGCAGGCCAGTGGTAAGGGGACGGTTCAGGAGGGTTGAAATTAGCATGGATAATCAGTAAAACTAGATAAAGCAAGATTTATTTGCCAGCTCCAATTTCACATGACGATAGAGAACTCACAAAAGCAATTACAACATTTGGGACTATTGTAACAAGTGTAACACTAATAATTTGATATGTTAACACTATGCTTATGGGATTTGGAGAGCGCCCCGGGGGAGGGGGGGGGGAGAGAGAAAAGGGGAGATTTTTAAGGAAAAAGAAAAGTGGAGAAAGGAGAACCGAAAGAACTCTCCCCTTATTTTAGACTTGATAATGAAAGAAAAGAAAAGAAACGAATCAATTAATTTGTTAGTTGGAAGCACAACGTAGAAAATCAATTTTATAGAAACTATGCATAAAAACAGTAATCAACTAATCATTAACTCACTTATCTTCTCTATTCAAATTTATGCAATATTGGGAAGGGGAAAAATGGTGAGTTAACGGGTGTTCTCAATTCCTTCCATTTCCCTCTCCTTAGAAAATTCCAAATAAACAATGTAATTTTCAATCTCTTCTATTTCTTTCCTTTTCTATCCAATTTTTTCGTCCAAACAAGGGCAAATTAGAGATATACTTTTATCTTTTGGGGTTAAAAAAGGTAAACAGATCTTTATCCTAAGCATTCTTAACTGACGGGAGAACAAATGGAAAAAAGGAGAGAACAAAAGGTGACAAAAACATGAAATCATATCTACAAGTTGCGATGTTGAAGGGAGATTTGGTGCACTTAATTCTAATTAGAATGTATGTGGAGTCTTGTCCAGTAAGGGGTGAGATTTGTTGCACTTAATTCTAAAGCACCTGCAATTGAGAAAGTTAGTCGTTTGGCAAATTCTAAATGGGGTTCAATCGGCCTGCGAGTTATTCTAATGGTGAATTCACTATTCATGTTCATTTTTTCAATCGGAAAAGAAAGCCCTGAGAATTTTGTATTTATAAGATTGGAAGTTACAAGGTCGCCCATTGTGCAGTTGACAGTTTTGGGAAGAGATGATGAAAGTAGATTAGAGGGTGTTTCTCTTCATATAATTTTTCAGTGTTGGTGAATGGTGACCATAAAGAGTTAAGTTTCTAGGGGGTTAAGACAAGGGACTCATTATCCCCTTTTTTTCACTTTCGCTGTCGATGTTTTGAGTAGAATGTTTTATAGAGCTAAATAGTTGGATTTAGTTGAGGGGATGAAAGTATAAGTGTGTCACATTTGCAATTTGCAGATAATACAATATTCTTTTTGTATGACAAAATTGAGGGATTTAAAAATGTTCTTTTGTTGTCAAAACTTTTTGGTAAAGTTTCTAGTTTAGAAATTAAGAAGTCCAAGAGTGGAGTGGCAGGCATTTGTTTGGTGGATGAGGTTATGAGAGCATTTTCCACTGTAGCAGGTTGTGTAATTCATAAGTGGCCTATCAATTATCTAGGTTTGCCATTAGGGGGTAATCTCAAATCCTTATCTTTTTGGGATCTAGTTGTTGAGAGAGTGGGACTGAGATTGGATGGTTGGAAGACATATTTTTCTTTAGGAGGACAGATTATTTTGATCAAGTCTTGTTTGTCGAGTATGTCTATATATTATTTGTCTTTATTTAGAATTTCAGGAGGTGTTGCTCAAAGACTCGAGGGACTTTCTTTGGTCAAGTGTGGGAGAGGACAAAATTATTTAGTGAGTTGGGAGGTAGTATGTAAGCCCATAAATAAAGGGGGGGGGGGGGCTTGGGACTTGGTAATTTGGTGACTAAAAATATTTTTTTGGTTGAAAAGTGATTATGAGATTTCCCGTGGAAACTAATTCCCTTAGACACAAGATAATAAAGAGCAAGTATAATCTTTAGCAGAATGGTTGAGATTCTAGATCTTGGTATAATGCAATTCATAAAAGTCCTTAGAAATTCATCCTTTCTTCCCATTAGTTAGCTATAAGGTGGGGGATGGATCTAGGGTTCTTTTTTGAGAGGATACGTGGGAAGGTGTGTTGGCATTTAGTACTATTTTTCCACGACTTTATTGTATTTCTTCTCTCCATGAGACTCTTATTTCTAGTTACATTGTTTTTTTTTTTTTCAAGTTTTTTCTCTTGTAAATCCTTTTACTCCTATCTTGTTAGTACACATACTGTCCATTCTTTTCTTTTTCTTTTGATAAATTCATTTAGAAGGTAAAGAGTCACTCTAAATAAAGGCTTTTGTTTTGCCAACTGTGCTTAATAGGTCGAATAGTAATGACATGTTGAAGGTGAGACGACCTTACAAAGCTTTGAGTCCTGATGTATGTTCTAACTGCATAAGACATGAGAGTTCAATGCCCATTTATTTATTCATTGTTCTTTTGCTTGGGGATTGTGGAACAAATTGTTTAATGTGTTTGGCGAGGCATGAGTTGGAGGAAATATTGCAAACTAAATTTAGATGATTTGGGAGGAGTAAAGTAGGCAAGGTTTTGTGGAGTTGTACTTTGATGACGATTTTTTGGAATATTTGGATAGAGAGGAATTTAAAAATATTCATAAATCAATTCCTTACATTGCATTTGGTTTGGGACAAAATTATATTTCACGCTTCTTTATGGTCTAAGTCTCTAGAAAAGTTCAGAGGTTTATCTTTGTCGTATCTTCAAAGGGATTGGAAGGCGGCTCTGGTTTAATTTTTTTTTCTCTTATGGTTTTTTTTTTTGGTGAGGATATCTCTTTTCAATCTTGATAAAAATTTTATTTTATCAAAAAAAATTTAAAAACTAAACAGATATATAACAGATGGCTTCACAATCGCAGTCTTAATTTTGTCAAAACAGTTGAGACCTTCATACAAGCCAGACGTTACCATAGAAATCATGCTATAAGTATTTTGAAGAAACTTGCCTAAACAGAATGAAAGAAGCTATTTACCAATCAATCAGATCACACAACAGAGTGACAGGTGACAGCATTATCAACTCAAAAAAAAATTCCAAACTACTCATGCAACTATTCTCTTGCAAGGATGTTGAGAATTACGGTTGACAAGTATAAACCTAAAATTATAAGTCAGTTTCTAGACAAAGGTCTCCATAGAAAGAAGATCAAGGCTACAATGCCAAAGGCACTCCTCTTGATTCTTGAATGTTTTGTTTCACTGTGAATTACAAATTGCTAAAATGTATCTCGGCATTCGTTTTACCCTTTATACACCACAGGTTGCTAGAAAGTTAACCAACTGGCAGTGAAAATTAAAAAGTTCATACCTGAAATAACATGAAATGAAAAAAAAGAAAGTTCTTTGGTAACAGAAAATTTTGTATACTTACATATTTGAACCGTATGAGCTCACCAAATATGATGAAGCTTCTCTACTGCCACCAATAGAAGTACATGAACTCATTATCATCCCTGCCTGTATACATACACCCGTGCCTCTTACCAAAGATTAGCCATTGATGAATATGTGTCACAATATGTGGTAGACTAGCATATAGAAATGAAGTAGCTTGTATACATTATGCTACATGACAATACCAAAAGTAGGTCGTCCACGCCCACTATGAACATGTAACTAAGCAATCTTGAGCACCCAAAGAAGCTTCATGATTCATAGTCTCTCTCACTGCCCGATAAAATTCGACCCACGAAGAGGAATACATATCCGAGGGGCTAGGACCCCACAAAAATGTAGGGTTTGGACTCGCCGGACACGCAGCAACCAAATCCAACACGGAAGCTGCCGGTTTCAATGACTGGGGGAAATTGAATGCCAAATTATCGACTTTGTGTTGGTAAATTTTCCCATTTCGATCCAACTTATATCGCGACGTCCCCTGAAACTGACCATTGGCTTCCCAAGGAACCCTTGGGACACCCCTTAAGTTCCATCTGATCAAAATTACATTCTCAGAAGGCTGCCAAACCCTAAGCACCTCCAGCGAAATCTCGCGAAACAGAATTCTACCGTGAAATCTCAATGCCCAGAAGATCAATTTGTAGTTTTCAATTCCAGTGAACGTGTTGAGTGGGTCTACAAATGTTATATCATCCCTGCCAAAAGATAAAAACCCTAGTTGTCCTCAAACCATAACAATAAAGCTAGCATTTCAAATACCCAGAAACATGAATTGGTGGAATGAACAAAAGGGTACCGGTAAATGTCGTAATTGAGGTCTTTGGTGAAGAGTAAGGGTAGGTCTTCGCGGAGCGTCCGGACGGCCAGGCCAAGGTTGACGTAGAAGTCGTTCCTGTGCTGCTTATTCGGAGCTCCTGGGGCTTGGTTAAGCTGCGCAACCCGAACTGGAGGAGGAGAGAGAGTGGAGGAGGAGAAGGAGGTTTTTGCAATTGTATTTGTTGGTGGAAGAGGAAGAGGAAGAGGAGGAGAAGAGGAGAGAGACGCGTGGTTAACAATAAGGGGTTTGTCCACAGATTGAAGAAGAGTTGGGGAGAGATTTGAGAGAATAAAAGCCATATCCTCTTATTCTGTGTGTGTTAAACTTCAGGAGGTATACAAATACAATACATTCACGAGAGAGAGAGAGAGAGAGAGAGAGAGAGATTTTTGTTTGGCGTTCTAGTTCTTGTTGGAAGTGAACTAATGGTTTCTGATTGGATTTGGAAGGGCGCTCCATTGTACTTTGGAGTTTTTTTTTTTTTTTTAATTAATTATTTATTTTTTTTCCGGTACAGTATTATTATTGGACCCTAAAAATTGATCAAATTCCTTAAGAATGATATGGGATGGGAGTGATACAATCCACAAAGTGGACCACTGGTGCCAATATTGCCCATGTATTATGTTAATTTCACTAGTATTTCGTTTTGCCTTGAAAAAGTAGAAGAATAAAAAATTAAAAAATAGATAAAATATCATAAAGTTGGTAATAAAAGAATGCAAGAATAATGAAAAAATGAAATAATTATCTTTTCTTTTCATTATTAATATCATATGGTATCGTCAATCAATTATACAATACCATATAGATTTAGTGGGTTTTATTATATTAATATTGATAATGTACAATTTGGTCTCGTGCAAAATCAACAGTCAAAAATATGAATAGAGGCAATCAATGATCAATAAACAAATAATTAATGGTAAAACGGTAAATAATTGAGCTAACACAGGAATTTATAGTGGTTCGGTTCGGGTGATCTATTCCATTCTCGGGAACGACAGCGGTGGCCTGGATCTTTATTAATGGGTGAAGTCACCGGAGAGAGTATTCTCCAAGTGTATTACAGTGCTTACAGGGGGAGAGAGAGAGAGAGAACAATGTATGTAGGAAGATGTAGTGTGTGTAGGGATCTCAAGAATATGAGAGCATGTCCTCTAGATGTAGAGGACTTACATTATATAGGCACATCAAGACGGTGACGTGAGAAAAAAGGTCTCCATCACTTTGGTAAGTTCCATTTTAGTAGGACTCAATCTCCATTCCGAGATTCTTTCCCTCGTGCTCCTATTTGTTCGGAGAGGTATACTAGATTGATCTTAATCTTGGACTTGACTCTGAGCCTGGACTTGGAGTGGTGTGGGTTTGGACTTGCATTGGAGTGGAGAAGAGGGACAGGGAGGCAAGCCATAGGCGTTGGCCTTTGGCTTGGACTTCACTTAACTCCTTCTTAACTTGTGAGCAGATCCAATTCCTTTTAAGTTCCGGTAATTGGAACTCCTTTTGATGGATTGACCCAGCTACGATTTGGGCTCTTCTTTGAACTTTCTCGATTTATTTTTATTGGACCTGACCCAGTCAATTTTGAGTACATCATTTGCCCCCCATGCCCCGAACTTTTGACTTTTTCGAGAGGAAGGGGTCGTGGGCATGTGCTTCGTCTTCATCAAAGTGAGCCGAAATTTTTCTCGTCTTCAGGACTTCGCTGTATTGATCGATATCAAATTTTTATTTTATTTTTTATTTTTTAGCCTGGGCGTCGCCTTTTAGCTTTTTTGGCCTGAGTGGGAGCCACCCTTTTTGACTTCTCTTTTTTTTTTTTTTTTTTTTTGCTAACTCTCTTCTTTCTTTTTCTTCTTTTTTTTTCTTTTTTCTGTTTCTTTCTCGGTGGTCCTTGCTTGTTAGGCTGGGCTGGGCTGGGCGTGGGCTTCTTTCTCCTCACCGCCTGATCTCTCCCCCTTTCTCTTCCTTTTTTTGTCTTTTCTTCATGTCTTAGCTGCTGGGCGCCGCCATCCCTTTCTTTCCTTTTTTTTTTCTTCCTTCTTGAGCTGGTTGGGTGTCGCCCTTTCATTCCTTCTATTTTTTTTTTTTTGTCCTTCCTTGGTTTGGCTGACTCCCTTTTTTCTCTCTTTTCTTCTTTGGCTTCCTTGGTCTACTGGCTTGTTGGGCTGGCCCTCCTCCCGTCTTTTTTTTTTCTTTTCTTCTCTTGGTTTGGGCTGGTTGGGCACCGCCCTTTGCTTCCCCTCTCTTTTTTTTTTGGCTTCCTTTGCGCGTCGCCCCTTGCATCTTCCTCTATTTTTGTTTTTTGTTTTTTTTTTCTTCCTTGGGCGCCGCCTCCTTCTTCTTCTACTTTTTTTTTTGTTGGCTTACTTGCTTGGGCGTGGGCCTCCTGACATTCAGCTACTTCTTCTTTTCTTGGCTGCTTGGGCGCTGCCTCCTTTTCCTCTTTTTTTTTTTTTGGGTTGGCTTCCTTTGGGCGTCGCTCCTTGCATCTTCCTTTTTTTTCCCTTGGGTGCCGCCTCCTTCTTCTTCTGCTTTTTTTTTTGTTGGCTTCCTTGCTTGGGCGTGGGCCTCTTGACACCTTCCGCTACCCCTTCTTCCTCTTTTTTTTTTTTTTCCCTCTTTGGGCGACTCCTACTGGTCAAGTGAGAGGGTCTGTTGGACGCCAGGCGCTGGGCGGCGCCAGAGCAGTGTTTTAGGTTGGGCGGAGCCTGGGGGAGACTGGGATGGTGCTTCAAGTGATGCCAGGAGGCTGGTCAGGCACCTTGGGCGACGCCAGGAGACCTTGAGCACTGCTGTGTTTGGGGGACGCCTTGATCTTGCTATAGGCGGTGCCTCTCTGGTGCTTGGTCACTAATTCACCTTGTTTCTAATTATAGATGCCCTGTTGATAGAGCGATGATAGAGACTCTTGTACTTTTAGGGTGGTGTCTTCTCTTCCTCCCAAGAGGGCGAGGTTTGATACCCCTAGTGCTTTTTGGCCAAGGTCCGATGACCAGGTTGTTTCCTGCAAGCGAGAACCAGTGGTGCCCCCACTCCTTCCCAGATTGAGGCTTCTGTGCGTATCAGAATTAGTCCTTGTACCACTGTAGGAGTTGAGGCTCCAGTGTAATTTTTATGGGGACTGTGGCATCACCCTACTTCTAGTAGTGGCTCGGTTGCAGACGACCCAAGCTTCAACAGTGTGTCTGGCAAAAATAATGTTATCTCAACATTAAAATATCTACCATGATTACCTGGAGGGAGGGGTAGTTTGTTTGTATGAGAGCAATGTCAGAGTTGTTGATGTCCTGTGAAAGGGCCCGCATGAGCTGAGGCCGAGTTATATATAGTCTCGGGAGATGGACTTGTGCGAGAGCAGAATCATAGAGGCCGAACTACGTATAGTTTTGGGAGATGGACTTGCGCGAGAGCAGGTCATAGAAGCCAAGCTACGTATAGTCTCGGGAGATGGTTGCCATGATAGAGACTTGTGCGAGAGCAGAGTCATATGTCGATCTACGTATAGTCTCAGGAGGTGGCTACCATGGCAGAGGCTTACTAGGTGACTTGCGCGATAGAAGAGTCATAGGCCGAACTACGTATAATCTCAAAAAGTGGCTACTATGGCAGAGGCTTACTAGGTGACTTACGCGAGAACAGAGTCATAGTCCAAGCATGGAAGGCGCCCAAGATAGAGAGGGCGAGACCCCTCATCTAGAAGGCATCATGGGAAGTGCCCAAGGTGGAGAGAGTGAGACCCTTCGTCTGGGCAGCATTGAGGCGCCCAAGATACAGAGGGCGAGGCCCCTAGTCTGGACGCCTGGTGTTGGGGTCGCAGATGCCTTTTGTCTACACCTCATTGTTAAGTCATGTTCTGACTTTTGTAAGCTATTTGTAATTTTTAGAAAAACAAAACAATTTTGGACACAATAATATTCGCATAATTTTATTCCGTAAAATAACAAATAACAAAATAAATCAACTGAAACGATAAAGGATAGATAAAATCTTCTAGTGTTCGGGGTCCATAGGTGGGCCGAGGCTTTCTTGGCGAAGTTCGAGTCAACTCCTCCTAGCCCTTAGGAGATTGTCTGGATTTCTCCGAGGGATTGTTGGCATTTTCTATCACTTTGGTCCCGACTAGGTTACGGGGCTTGTCCTCTACCAGCAACGTACTGCCTCAAGTGACCACGTTGTATGAGCTCCTCAATCTGTCTTTTAAGATTGAAGCAGTAGTCAGTGTCATGGTCGTGGTAGCGATGAAAACAACAGTACTTGTTCGGACTCCTGCAGTTCCGGGCGGTCTTCATCTTCTCGAGCCAACGTACTATAGGATCATCCTGTATTTTGAGTAGAATATGCTCCATGGAAGCATTGATCGGCGTGAAGGCTTGCTGCTCTCTTAAAGGTAGGGGACCAAGACAGTCCTTGACGGAGATTCTTTCTGTCCTATTTCTTTTATTCTCTGCTTCCCACCTGTCCTCTTCTCTCCTCTTCGGGAGGAATCACCTCTACGGGCTTTGGTGACATCCTCGGCGTTCATGTGTTTTTGTGCCCTACACAGCAGCTCGGGCATGCTGGAGGGTGACTTCTTAAGGACGGAGAACATAAAACTGGAGGTGCGAAGGCCAGCGATAAAGGCGACCAAGGCTACCTTGTCATCTGACTCCTCAATTTGGAGAGCCTCTTCATTGAAACGGGTGATGTAGTCTCTAAGGCTTTCATCCTTGTCCTACTTGATGGTGAGCAGATGGGTCATAGGTTTCTGATGTCGACGTCCCTCGATGAAATGGGAGACGAAATACCTATTTAGTTATACGAATGAGTGAATGGAGGTGGACTTGATTTTTGCAAACCATTAGCGTGCTGACCTCTTCAAGGTGATAGGGAAAGCTTTACACATAATCTCCTCAGGCACGTTGTGAAGTTTCATGAGAGATTTATAGATGTTTAGGTGGTCGAAGGGGTCTTTGGTACCTTCGAAAGATCTTGATGGCATACATCTTGAACTTCGAGGGTAGAGGATAATTGGCAATATCAGCAATAAAAGGTGTATCAGTGCGTCTTACCAAGTAGTCCACGGTTTTAGGCGTATGTGCCTTAATGGCGTTGAGAGCATCCCCGAGTTGGTTTTGCACCTCTCTGATCTTCTTGTCCCATTGATTGGGGTACATCCTTGGTCGGGAGATAGTACTGACTTTCGTGGTCTCCGTATTGACTTTCTCTATCTTCTTTCTCCTGCACAGGTTTATGAGGATGGGGCACTCGTGAACTCTACGCACTGAGGAGGGACTGGGCGAAGGGTACCCTGGCTTGGTCCTAAAGTGTTCTAGAGAGGAGCCCCATGGTGTGGGGCTGCTTGGCGCCCAGAAAGGATAGACAGTTGCTCCTCTCCTGTGGGGGGGGGGGAGTGGGACTCCTCCTGTGAGGGAAGGGTGACGCCTCCTTGGGAGAGCATGAGTTGAATGATCTGTTGGTTCTGGCTCACCAACAGCTTCATGGTTTGGAGGAGTTGTTGCAGCTGGCCAGCGGTGGGAGTAATAGTAACAGATGGTTTTACAGGTGCAAGGGGAGGCGAAGCCTCCTCCCGGTGGGTCGGATTATTGTCTCCCGGCTGTTGGCTCATTGATCTAGTAGTGATTGTCATGGATCAAAAGAGTAGGAAAACTAGTTGATTTTCCATAGACGTCGTCAAACTGATGATGCACAAATTGGTCTCGTGCAAGATCAACAGTCAAGAATATGAATAGAAGCAATCAATGATCAATAAACAAACAATTAAAGGTAAAGCGGTAAATAATGGAGATAATACAGGAATTTATAGTGGTTCAGTCCGGATGACCTACTCCACTCTTAGGAACGGCAGCGGTGGCCTGGATCTTTATTAATGGGTGAAGTCACCGGGGAGAGTATTCTCCAGGTGTATTACAGTGCTTACAGGGAGAGATAGAGAGAGAGAGCAATGTGTGTAGGAAGGTATAGTGTGTGTAGGGATTTCAAGACTATAAAAGCATGTCCTCTACATGTAGAGGACTTACATTATACAGGCACACCAAGACGGTGAGGCGGTGACATGAGGAAGGAGGTCTCTATCACTTTGGTAAGTTCCATTTTAGTAGGACTCAATCTCCATTCTGAGATTCTTTCCCTCGTGCTCTTATTCACTCGGAGAGGGATACTAGATTGATCTTGATCTTGGACTTGACTCTGAGCCTAAACTTGGAGTGGTGTGGGCTTGGACTTACATTGGAGTGGAGAAAAGGGACAGGGAGGCAAGCCATGGGCGTTGGCCTTTGGCTTGAACTTTACTTGACTCTTTTTTAACTTGTGAGCAGATCTAATTCCTTTTAGGCTCCGGTAATTCGGATTCCTTTTGATGGGTTGACCCAGCTACGATTTGGACTCTTCTTTGGACTTTCTCGATTTATTTTTATTGGGCCTGACCCGGTCAATTTTGGACTCATCAAATATTATTAATAACAACCTTATCTAATAACAATCATGTTAGAATAGTTAGTTTTATTAATCATATTTAGTGTTTTATTATTAGTTGATGACACAACTATCGATAATGACGTGTTATACCCAATATTTACTTTGCGAGAAAATATTCAATGCAACGATAGCACCACATCATTAATACACATCACCAACGAGTTATAAAATATCATGTGAAATTTGTGGGTTCTACTATATTAATAACTACAAATAGTCACATTATCTAATAATTAGTTATAACTCATGCCTGAAAGTACGATGAAATATAAAATTTGAGTGTCCAAAAAAATTTATCCCTCCATATTAAATTATAATTTTTCTTTCCTTCGTTTCTTTAATTACATTATTTAAAATATATGTTTATCCATTATTTTTTTCAAATATCAGCATTTTTTTTAAATTCATAATTTAATAAAATTTTCTCAACATATGTATATTATTATGTATGGATAATATTTGAAATAAAAATTATATTAAATTATAAATTAATCAAATATTAAAATAATTGGACATATAATAAGAATGAGTGATATAATATTTTTAGAAAAAAATTATGTAAGATAAAATTCAACTTGTCAATTATCGTATATATAGATATACAAGCGATACCTCGTGACTAAAATCACTATATATTGAATTATTTTATTATGCATGCATTAGAATGTGTGTTAGAATATGTGTATGTATATGCAGCTGTGTATAGTGGAGTGTGTGTGTGTGTGTTGAATTTTTGAAATTTGAGGAGAAAAGCCGTGTTGGGGTGTGTAAAATTTGGGATAAAAAATATATCCCATAAGTTCAAACACATTTGTTATATAGATTGTCATGCTGAAATAATAAGATTCACCAATTCTATTTAATATTTTATTATTAGTTGAAGAAATCTCATGCCAATGTTGACGTATTACACCTGTACACCAATTGTTTACATGTCCTAAAAAAATGTTCAATAAAATTATGATACCACAAAAAAAAAAAAAAAATTTGCTATTAGGGTACGAATGCCACGCAATAAATGTGACTCTATATCAAAGATCAAAATTTCGTTTCAGTATATTATTTTGATCACCTAAAAAACAGAAATGTTTCGACGTATTTCAAAAAAATTTAGATAACATAATAAAAAAAAATTTAGAATTATTTTTTCAAAATATTGGTCAAAATATATCAAAATATTTTGAAATACTTTGAAACATTTTAAAATAATTGTACAAATACATTAAAATATAACAAAACATTTTAAAATATTATAGAACACCTCAACATATTAGAATTTCGATTTCTGATTCGTTTCAGTCTTTTTAAAAACAAAAACGTTCCTACTGTTTCAAAACTATATTTTGACCCTTACTTATGCAATCATGAACTCAATTCGAAATCAGCAACTGCTTCATCTTGAACTATCATTATCATGTATGCAATGGACAGAATGCCATAACAGGCCCACCGGAACGACATTGAGTCCTTTTCTGGGTTGGGTACGGGTACGACTGATTCTCATTTCTCACCCTGTAATATTCACCACTTGCCAGTAACTCAATTGTCCAGAGATCGAAACCTTGGATGTAACCACCCTATGTTTGATTAGGAGGGAGACGATGAAAATAAGGAAAAGGAAAAAGAAAAAGAAAGCCTACACTTTAGGGAAAGCCAAGAAAATACTGATTCAGAAAGAAACAACATCCAGAGTTGATACTACTAACATGTCTAGTCATCAAAATCCTCAATATAATTAGGGACCCTGCCCTGCCCTTGAGCGGTGAACCGCTGAGCCCGATCAATACTACCATCCACCATCTTCCGTTATCATCATCAGACATTGGTCTTGTGTTCTGGTCTGTGAGTGAACTCAAAATCAATATGAACAAATGCACGCTCGACTTCTGGGAGTTGCTCAAGCTTTTCTTGTAGTGTTTCTCCAATATTATGCGCTTGGCTGAGAAGCATGTCCTCCGGCAACACAATGTCAACCTCCACGAAGTAATGAGATCCGAAAGTGTATGCTCTAACAGTGTCAATATGCTTGATTTTCTCATGGTGGTTCCATATAAGATATGTTAATTTGGCAAGGAAATCCGGTGGAGCCGTTCTTCCAATTAGTGACCATACATTTTCAATAACTGTCTTTGCCCACGTGCTCATTGTATACAATGCTATCTGCATTACAAATAAAAAAAATTATATATTACCAAAGCTTAATCTCTACTAAATATCAAAGTATCCATATGCCCTACTGTTCAGCATGGATTCTATGATAATTCACTAAATGAGGACACGAGTAATTAGCCTATTTTGCTAGTGATGCAGTGTCCCTCAATTTGCATTATGGAAAATAATTACTGGGGGAATGCAAGAACAATGAGATGAGGGGGGGAAAAAGGAGGCAGCAAAAATCAAGGCTTCTATTCATGCTGAACCAGTTAAGTACGTGGATAAAAGCTAGAACAAATCTATGTTGGTTATGAACTCACTATTATAGCCCCAGTAGGATCAATCCACCAGTAAAATCGGACTGCAAGGACGGCCGTTGCCAATCCGACTGAGTTAGTGACGACATCAAATAAATGATCTTGAGCATAGGCTCTGACAATTTCATTTTTAAATCTCCGACAATAGACCATGAGCAGAAACTTCACAACCGTGACGGAAACCATAATCCCAATCATCCATTTTTCCTTCTGAATATCCAGGGAAGGACGAGACTGTAGCCAAAGAAAAAAGAATAGTAAAACAGGGTTAACCATTGCAAACAGTTGATACAATCTAACCCTATTCAGGCAAAGCATTGTCCCATCCAACAATGTTATCTCGTATAAATAACAAATGTCAGCGGAGAAAGCATACATTAATGGAGAAAAAATAATTCCAGTCAAACCTTGTTTTATAATTTAGGCAATCCCCCCAACAAATTTGTGCAAATCAACAGATGTTGATCAATGCATAGCCTTTTTGTCTTAGACACAGATTTTAGTTAACAGGACTAGGTTGTGCAGGAGTTAAATTTCGCTTGTTCACTCTAGGGTAAATTCAAGTATAAATTCATCACAATATGCCCGCAAAGAGGCTCTCATGAAAGTCTATGAATAACTTCCAACAAATTAGAAATCTGTTCATTTCAATGATCGAATATGAGTAAATTAAGTGTCCAACACAGCTTATGACAGTTACTATGAACCCAATGCTCAGACGTGTCCAATGAGGAACTTCATTCATTTTGACGTGTCTATTAAACATAAGCTACCAATATTCCACTTCTCCAAAGGACCAAACCCACCAATCACATATTCCTTTCAGCTCAACCCTAAAAATCTACACCAGAGGCCTTCCGAAGTGGCTGTTAGCCCTCTCTTATCACACCAAGCTTTGAATCAAAATCTCAGTCTGAGTGCTGCCATGCTTAGTGCGCTACCACACTCGAGTCAGGTTACTCATAAAAGTTTTTTTCTTACCTGCAAGGTCAAAGTCACATACCTCAGAAATGAGTTCCCTAATAGACTCGAGCAGTATTTGTAATCCAAGAGTTGCCATTACTGATGCAAAGACAATAATACCCTGCAAACTTGACTTGATTAGTCTAAATACCTTGCAGCGGAAAACGGATGCATTCAAGCAGAATCTGTAAATGGAAAGCTATGTAAGATACATGAACACTGTAACTTTCCATGTCATAACAAAGCAGCCAATACCATGGTTCAATAGATAGAAGGAGCACATATTTACCATTTCTTCAGTCTTCTCTTATCTATACTAAATTTTTAAGCCAACTGTCACTACATATGGTTTAGAAAGGGACATTTTTTTTTTGATAAGATAGAAAGAGACATTAAAACACACTGTCTGACCCTTTTTATGCAAAAAGAAGGTGACCAACGATTTAATAAATCAAATTCGGCCAACTAATCAGCACCACCATAACATCCATTAAATTATCACAGTAACTATGAATATTCAGGAAACCAATGTTATATTGCTATTCCTATGCACAGGATGCTACAATTCACATTATTTGCTAAAGTCTACTCCAAAAAACAAAAAAATGAGGAATTCATTGCAATGGCTCATCAGTGGATCTATGCACTTAAACTATGAAAACAGACAAGAACAATTTCCAATCTGTGCATTTCGCATATCCAACACACAATTTGTTAAATTCCACGGCAGTTAAAGGATAAGTAGATAAAGAATTAGGTCAGCAAAAGAAATGGTCTCATTCATTTGACTGATGTTTTCTTTGGTTGACAAGAAGATTCAAGAAAAGAAATATGAAACTGATAGTCCTGCTAGCAACCTAGAGTCGGAACAACTGCAGTAAAATTCATAACCTTTTTCACTCTACAGCTGATCATGAAGGTAACAACAAAGAACAATTTGAAATGTCTTTTTTTGAATAATTCCCCACGCAAGTTCCAAATCAAAGTCCGTGGTCACAAGGTCAACAGGCTCTCCTTCACATTATAGTAAGAGGAACAGATGCCCGCACAGAAGAGATGTAAAGAATAGGGCATTGTGAAGGCAGGAAGAGCAGTACTCACTAATCATACCTGCTCTTTCCACCCTCTCTACCCACACCCTTCAAGCAGTGATACATACATACACCCACACACCCACATTTTAGCCTCAAGCAAAAACTACAATTGATAGTTGGAAGCAATTCATCATTACTAGAACTTGTTTCCCATCAAACCCATAATACACTAATCTTGTATCGAATGCCCCGGTAAGCTGTTTGACTTACCACAGGTTGCATCCGCTTCTTTCCAATTGGATAGTGATACTGATTTGGGTTTCGCATGGCATGGGCAGTGAACCAAAGAATAAACCCAGATAAGAGGTCCAGGAGGGAATCCAAGGTTGACGCAATAACTGCCAAAGATCTGCTCGTTATAGAAGCATACACTTTTGCAATGAAAAGCACAACGTTAGCTATGTTTGACACATGGACTGCCATTCTCTCGCTCCTTGCAAGCTGCTTCATTTCATCCTGGAAATAAACATTGATGTGTTAAGAAAAAGATATGGCTCATGTCAGTTGAATAAATAAATTCAATTTTTCCCATAATTGGCAGGAGTAATATGGATGGGACGGAAATAAAAAATAATACAAGTTTTTATATTCTATAATTTTATGCTTCACCCATAGAGCAAATCTGAGAAATTGCCTTTCCTCATATAATGGTCATTTAAATAAATACAATGAAAAAATATCAAAGCTGTAAGGTCAACTGAAAAATAAACTGAGTTGACTAAGATCATAATAGAAGTTCACATGAATGCCTTGTTTTAAATGTCTTGATGTATATCGAACTTGGCAATTTTGTCTCATCCTATCCAAACTTTCAAGTCCATAACGTTTGGCTTTGAAATGTGATTTCTTCAATAAGAAAAATCCATTATCATGTCACAGCTAAAACCTATCTTCATTCTATAGGAGGATGATTACAACAACCATAACAGCAGCGGAAGCAACAGCAATCAGACAAACCGACCTCTGTCAGAATTCCAGGCAAGCAACCTGATTCGTTAATAGTTTCCATCTCATTGAACCCTTCAAGAAGCCTTTCTTGCTTTTTGTAATATTCTGCAATCTTGCCTTGTTTCCCTAATAGAAGAAATAAAGAAAGACAATTACGTGACGCCAGGTAAATAAGAAAGAATGAAGACAACATTTAAGGATGCAGTGCAAACTTTTTAATTGAAAAGTCCAGCCCAATGAAACAAGAAATGTCTTTGGGTGCTATATGTCTACTAAAACTAAGTAACACAACGCTTACATATTTGTGTTTGTGTGTACCGTGTAGAAAACCATTGAAAAAATACTAAAGAAGAAGAAAAAGAAGCCGACAAATTTCTGATATTCTAGCAAATGACGCACAACTTAATGTTCACCCTTCCACGTGTTAAATTCAGAGATATCAACTCAATCCTAGGCAGTCTTTCTGTCTTCCAGAAAACTAGTTTAGCATTACGATCCATACAAGAGACAGCTACATAGCTTTGATGAACAAAGAAAAGCATCAAGATTCTCAGTGGTGTTCAAGAGCATCTCTGTAATTTCTACACATTTTACTCCCGAATATTAACAAAATTCCAACATCCCACTCTCGCATCCAATAAATTAAACGCACAGATAGATTTTCTGTGAAAGAGCGTCATTTCAAGGGATGTGCTCATCTTCAAAGTTCCCATAAAGTTTCTCCATCGTCCAAGATGTACCTGCTTAACTCAAAACAATTGTGAAAAAATCCATCACAGCACCCTTTTTTAACATTTTGCAAAGCACACCAGAAAATATACAATAGAAAGTCGAAATCCATTGTATTTAGTAAGAGAATAAAGTCACTGATTTATGAATAGGTAAAATGGTATGGGAATGATCTTGAGAAAGTTCAAATATCGAAAGAGCAAAGCATAAAGATCTACGAGGTTTCTCCATCCTCTGGCCAAAATGAGGGATGTAATAGCATCAATGAGTGCATTATGTCCTGGTCAACCGAATCGCCAACTCGGCTAAGTCAAACCAATAAATAAAAGAAAAAAATAAAAAGAAACAGAAAGAAAGGTGATTTGGAACGACAACAACGACACTATTGGCAAAACAAACAAGAAGAAATAATTTTACTACTTTGATACGTAAACAACAAGGATTCAGCGACCGACCGTTTCTACAGAGACAAAAAATGAGAATAGGCAGCGTATCTTTGTGAGACATGACAAGTGTATGTTTGTGTGCGAGAGAGAGAGAGAGAGTTATAATAATACTTGGAGTGCGAAGGATGCGACGAAAAGTGAAAATTTGATCGGAGGGGCGACGTTCCGGCAAACGGAACTCGTTGATGTTGAGTCTCCAAGAAGAGTCGGACGGCGGTGGGATGAACTCCGACGGAGGAGAGAGCAACTCTCTCCCACTACTGCGGTCATCTCGTATTTCGTTACCAGCAGTATCACCACCACCCTGCGACTCCATTCCTCTGTCAAATCTTTGGGAGATGATTGTTAGTAGCAATGGAGGGTTAGTTAGGGTTGGGGGCAAGCAAGAAAAGAATGATTTGTTTCGAGACAAACTCCTGTTTTGAGTAGTAAACCACCTCGCATCCTCCTTCCCTTAATAAAGGAATGAATACTAGTCCTAGTTAAAAATCCGAAGTTACCCCATAATATTAAAAATTAAATATTAATTATGTATTATTTATATTTTAAATTATATATTTTAAAATTAAAGTGAACATATCAAAAATAAAAGAGGGGTAAGAGAGAAAAAATAAATTATAAATATAAATTAATGAGATTGAGCGTATAAGTTGAACTGTGGGATAAAATCTGTATCATTATATTAAATTAAATTTGACAATTAATTTTATAATTTATGTAATTCAAGTTTCTAACTGTTTTAATATACTATTAAATAAAAAAAATAGGGAAATTAAATTAAGCATGATGACTGCCACAGAGAACACTTTCCATTCCACCGCACCGCCCGCCTATATGTTCTCTCACATCACACCAGTTCACCACTTCCTTTATACGTTTCGTTCCACTTGCACCCCCTCCCTCCCTTTGATAGGTTTGTGAGTGTTTTTGTGGATGTTTCATTCATAGGAATAGGAATAGGAATAATATATAATATTACACTTCCTCCATCGCATATTATTGGATTGGATTGGATTGAATTTTGTTAATTGTAAATTTCACGAGTGTGAATTTATTCCCGTTACTCAATCCCCACGTACGTAAACGAAGAATTCACTTTAATAACCAACTTAGATATGCATGTATGTATAATGCATGTATATTCTTGCTTATCACAGAGTCACACACAATACCAAATAATGGAAGTTTCAAGGAAGTTTACCCTCTATTCGCTAGCTATGACTTGAACCAACCTAAATCGTAGCTACACAACAAAAGCATTATTTATTTATTCTCTCTACTTTTTGCCTTCCACTTTCACACATTTGTATTGTATTGTTTGACGCCTTCCACTTTCACACATTTGTATTGTATTGTATTGTTGACGCCGCACAACCACGAGCGATCCACTATCCACTACTAAATGAGGACAATCAGCATGTACACATCAGTATGTGTACAAGTCATTCATTGATGTTTGCTTGGACTTAGCTCATCCATCAAATATTCCTTCGTTTCTCACCACAGTCAAATGATCAAGTTGTAACTATAAAATTTTGTGGTGTAATATAATATAAAAATAATGTCAAAATTATAATTATTAATAATTTAATTTAGACTTAATTGTAAATTACACTCTGAAAGATTGTTTGAATTTTAATTTATACCCTCAAATGATAGAAATTTGTATCAATGTGTATTTAAAACTAACCGTCGTCGGTTTGCTGTTTAAAACTAAATTGATAAATTATACTTAAATCTCCTCATGCTTGTTACTCAATTATTTGGACTATTCACATTTAGAATATTACTCTTACATCTCATGACGTTTGTGCACATGTAACACGTAACCCTTTTTTGTTGATATCTGTTAATATAACTGTTAAAAAATATGATTTTATCATAATAAAAAATTATAATTTCATATTAATTTTTATTTTATGAATCCGACATAATCTAAAGTTCAAAATCAAGATTATCATTTGAATGTCCATGTAGATATTTATATAATGTTTTTTTATATCCAATACAATATATCACTCAATGTGCAACCCTTTATTCTATTAAACATTCAAATGGTAACAAAAAGGGGTTACATGTTATACGTGCATAAACGTCATGAGATGTAAGAGTAATATTCTAAATGCCAAGGAGTCCAAATGATTAAATGACAAATATGATGAGATTTAGATATAATTTATTAATTTAGTTTTAAGCAATAAATTGACGACAGTTAATTTTAGGTGCACTTTGATATAAATTTATATTCTTGAGGGTGCAAATTAAAATTTTTAATATTTAGGGGTACACATTGATATAGATTTCCAGTGTTTTAAAAGTCGGCCAGCCCGACGGGTTGATCTAGTGAACCGGAGCTAAAACCGGGCCGGGTCCTTTATTTGATCGTTTGAGCACCAAAACCGGAATAAACCCGCAGGATGGGGCGGTTCATCAGCAAACCATTCAATCGGACGGTTTTCAATAAATCGGACGGTTCAATTAAAAGGGTATAAAAATGGCAGTTTTGGCCTTTTGGGTATTTTGCCCTAAATCATTTCCTATCCCAAATTCAAATACGTTGCCTCTGGTAATGGGCGATGGCTTGCTTGACTCCTCTATTTCTCTATCTCTCACTATGGGAGTTGCGACTCGATCAAAGTGGAACTCGAAGTCTGGAACTTTCGAAGTTGATTTGTTTCACTCAAACTTCGATCGAAGGGATTCTTCACTCAGGCCTCGATCGATGATTTGCTTCACCCTTATTGTCTGTGTCTTTCCTTCCCTCAAGTCAAGTGAGACACAAAATCACACAGCAAGCAACAAGTCAATAACCAGTAGGTACTCTCTCTCTCTCTCTTGGTTGGTAACTTACAATGGGTCCTCCATCAATGACTATTCAAATTTCAATTTTTTTACAAAGCCCACAGACCAATTACAATTGCACACACAGAATAATGATAATTAGTTGTATTTTTTTGTTTAATTTCGTTCTTTGTTTTTTATTGTGTTTGCTAATATATCAAGATTATCGCAAGATGATTACTGAAAATGAATGATGTTATGCATAATTTTTGGTGTATTTTTATGAATCTAAAAATGAGAAGAAAATTAGAACTCACATTACATATAATGCATCTGGGTTTTTCCCTTGAGTTACTATTACTAATGTCAAGACAAGAAATTGATTATTGGGGAAAAATGAAGAAGAGTAAGGATTTAATCATAAATATTTTGTGGAAGAATTGCTCTACATTCGGCAGATTAGAAAAATTGAATGCATTGGATACATAATTGATGATTTTTGGGATTTTTTGTTTGATCCAATATACATTAAGCATGCTATTTTTGACATTTATTTTGATTTTTAGTCTATTTATTATCATTTATTATTATCTTTTTATTATATAACCGGTCCAACTAGTGACCTAACGGTTGAACCAATGATCCATTGATCCGGTCCCTGTCCTGGGTTGATGTTCGGGCTGGGTTTTAAAACTATGCAAATTTTTATATTTGGGGGTGTAAATTGAGATTCAAACGATCTTTCAGGGTATAATTTGTAATTAACCTTTTAATTTAATTTAATAAAGTGGTGTTGACTCTCTTCAGCGTGCTTCTCATATGCATTGTCATCTGATTCTCGGTGTATTTGGTGATGACGATGGTCTAATTGGCTCGTTTCTCGATCTTTGATTTGATGTTGAATTTGATTAGGGTTTGACCAACATATTTCTCGATCTTTAATTTGGTGTTGACTTTGATAGATTTGTTGAAGACGAGAGTTGGATTCATGGTTCAAAGTATCGGTTGAGTCCGATACGACTCGGCCCCTACCGATCCGACATCGATATCCGTTATGCAAAAATTCTAATTTTCACTTGACTCGGCGATATCTCGGTCAGACTTGGACGTATCGACACAAATCGGAGCAACTCGGCATGAATCGGACGATTCATAGCGGGATCGGTCCTGTATGATCGAATCTTGTGGAAAATCTCCAAAATCCTGAGCAAATAGCAAGAATCCAAAATAAAAAGGAAAAAGATGAAGAATTCAAGACTCACATCTGTAAAAGGCCTTCAACCAGTCCGAAAATCAAAGGCCCACTACCATAAAGAGTGTAAGTATTTGTATGACATACCTGTAGAATTTAATACAGATCAGAGAGATCCCCATACCGCTTTATCTTCTTCTTCTTTTTCTATTTTTTTTCCCTAATCTTCTTTGCTGCGAACTAGTCGCGATAGATAGAGAAGTAGTTGCGAACCAATCTTCTAATGATCGTCGATACACAGCGTATCAAACCACTCTCTCTCTCTCTCTCTCTCTCATACACAGCGTTTGAAGACTGAGCTCTGAAGGACCGACTTTCAAACAGAGTTATAAAAGACTTTGTTGTTGGTGAATCAATTTTTTTTTTGAGAATTACACTCACACCTTTTAAAGTTTATCACTTAATTATTTAGACCCTTAATATTTGAAATATTATATACAAACCCCTAAAGTTTGTACAAGTGAAACAGATAGACCCTGCTGTAAATATATCCGTTAATAAATTATTTTCAGACCCCCCTAAAGTTTATAAACATATATTACTTAGGCCCTTTAAGTTTAAAATATTATACTTAGACAAAAAATACTTCAATCAAAGATAGAATATTAAATATTTTTTAATATAATGATTAGATACATCAATATTTTTTAAAAAATAAAAAATATTAATATTTTTTAATCCTAAAAAACATCGGTACTTTTTAAATCTAATATAATAATTAGATATATCAATATTAATATTTCAATTTCAATTATTTGAATATTGATAATGATTAATATTTTCGGTAACGCCCTTATGTTTCATTTTAATTATGTTTAATGTGTTTTTTGATTTATTGTGGGCATATGATGCATGGATGATGATGTTTATATTTTTCAAAATTTTTTTATAATTTTTTCAAAATTTTTTAGAGCTTTTATCTAGCGTTTTGAGCGTATCGGCCGATACTGTACCGTGACGCCGCGACCGATGTGTATCAGTACCCTCCGAGTTGATGACCGATACCACGACTTTGAACCATGGTTGGATTGATATGATTCTAGTTATTCAATCTTTAATTTGTCGAAGACGATGGCCAAATAAACGTGAGTATCGTTATTTGAACTTTGACTTGTCTTTGTAGAATCTTTTTCACCGTTCTTTGTGTTGAATGGTTTGAAGATGTTTTGAATCTCTTTAAGAAGTATCTTGACGGTGTTTCTTCTCCTTAGAGATGATTTTGCAAAACCTCAGTTGGGGGTAGACTCCGACAGAGCTTCACTACTTCCTTTCTTCTCTTGAGGTGGTCTTGGGTAGAGCTTTTCTTGATCTTCCCTCCTCATTGGTTTCTCTTGCTCTTCATTCTTGACCTCCTATTTTTTGGCCTACCACATACATCTATTTATAGTGGAAGATAAAAATATTTTACCTGAATATCCTTATGCGGACTTTAGATAATGGACTATCCATAAATTTGTGGATTTTAGTTAATTTATGAAATTTAAGTACAACATTTTTTTACCTTTTAAAGGTTTGTTTAGTTTGGGCCTATGACATTTATGTTCATTTTAATTCAATTTAACATGCCTTGTTAATTATATTTGGATTGTGGAATTTGGGTCCATCTCAAGCTTATTTAATTAAATTTAGACTTATGAAATTTAGGTCCAATCCCAATTTCATTTATCTAATTGATTTGAGCCAAATTATAAATATTAATTTATTAATGTTTACACATGTAATCAAGTATCTATAATAATAAGATAAAACCACATTTAAATCTTTAAAATTTGAAAAAAAAAAAGAAAAAAACTCTAAAGTTGGAAAAGCATAAGAAGGGCTCAGATTTAATCTACTTTTAATTTAATGGCCCAGATTTCATCTCCATTATTTTAATTTAATCCAAAGGCTCACAATGCCCAAACCTTATGCACAATACCCAACTCAATTATCTGACACATTATCCCCAACGTCTCTTTTCCTTCGTCTCTTTGTCTCCACCGCCTGTGCCACACCATGCCACTGCCCATCGCCGACGCCAAGTGACCCCTGGTATCTCTTTTTTCTCCTTCCTCTTCCTCTGCTATTTGACTCCCTGCTCCTCTTCTCCCTCCTCTCTCTTTCTTCCACCATCACATTACCCCCTACCCCTCAATCCACCATCAAACTCACCACCGAACCCACCCCACCATAGACCCATCAAACCCACCCCACGATCATAGTTTGGTTATAGTTCGGCCTACCCATCAAACCCACCCCACCATCATAGTTCGGCCTCCCCTTAAAGCCCTTTCTCCCTTCTCCCCCCTCTCTCTCTCTCTCTCTCTGTTACGTTATCTCAAGCGACACCACCATCCCCTGCGACATCGCCACAGTTACACCCATGCTAGGTATGCCTCTTCTCTCTCTCTCTCTCTCTCTCACACACACACACTACGACAACCCCCCACCCCATGCTCTCCAATTTCTGTGCAAACCCCACATCCTTTACTTCTCTCTCTCATACACATACACCCTATGTTTCTCAAGGCAGTAATGATTTCTTATGTTAAAAGGCTATGATTTCAAATTGTTTGTTGTTTTGCCTCGATGGAAATTCAGCCATTTCTCTCCTCTCTCCGGTGATCTAGCACCTCGGGAAGCCCTCTGACCCTCTAAGGTTTGTCTACTTTTCTCCCCTTCTCTCTTCTTTGTTCTTCCTCTTCTTCACCACATTTCGCAGACACACTCACAAACCCAGCACATGCACATGCAAAGAACGTATAACACACACTCAATTGAACATACAAGACACACACTCATCGTACACACACACATAACACAAGCACACATATACACGGGTGCTTTATCAAGGTAGTAGATTACATGATTTTTTAGGTTCAAAGGGTATGATTTCAAATTATTAGTTTTTTTCCCTTAATGAAAATTTTTCAAGGTTTTTTTGGGGTGTTTCCTTAATACGAGAGTTCAATTTGGGCCTACAATTGAATTCATAAAGCATAGCAATAAGATTGATTTGGGACTTTAGAATTTTAATTTTATTGCATTGTGTGGACTGCCACTACCCCCAACTTGTGTTCATTCTGTAATATTGTACAACAAATGATTAATAGTTTTCTTTTTAGATTTTGGTATTTGATAAGTAATTCTAGAATGGTTATATAACAAATCTTTACTCTTCAAGCACACTCAACCACACGTTTTACTGATTATATAATGGAGTGGATTGAAATTGTTACGCTAATGTGTGTTCGATGAAATGTCTCAATGAGTGTTGTTTGGATCAATAATTGTTAGCATAATGAGTTTTCGATAAAATGTCTCAATGAGTGGACTGATAATTTTTATGCTAATGTGTGTGCAAACTCAATGTGGACCCTCACCCCTTATACATTTGTTTTTTCATTTATTCCAAGGACCAACATTTTATACCTAGGTATGCTCTATTTTGATGGCGTGGTGTGGCAATGTTGGTATTATACAAAATATAGGGTTCACATGTATTCTAGGTAACAATGGGTAGACTATTTATTTGCCTTGAAAATTTTTCCTTTGTTCATTTGATATACATACGTAACTAATGGTTCCTTTGTTCATTTGAAAATTTTTCCTTTGTTCATTTGATATACATACATAACTAATGGTATTGAATATAGTTTGAGATCACAGGAAATATATGTTTTATTATTTTTTCTCTATTATTTAAGAGTGAAATTGTTGCCGATTAATTCTCGTTCGATTGATGAGCTAATTGGGAAGCCAATTGTAAGTTGTTATCGGGGGATTATATGCAAAATTCTAATGCTTGCAGTATGGTGTTTTGTATTAGCTTCTTTGATGTTGTAGTAATTGGAAGGAGACTATCGCGTTATTATGTAAAAATTGATTTGGGTGGAAAATTGATCGTTTAACCTAAATATACCAAGATACCAAGAAGCAATTCAACTAAATTGTTATTTGTGGGTGTTATAATTTTTCCTATTTACAAAGAATCAGAGAAGTATAGCTATTATTCATTGTTTCGTATTTGCTCTTATGATTTTGATTTGCTTAGGCTTAAAAAAAAAGTGCTAACAAACACATACCATATACCATATATTCCCCTTGATCCCTTTTTCTCTTTCCCCTTTTTCTTACTTCTCTCTCTCTCATCATCTCTCTTTTTCTCAATTGGATGCTTTGTTGTTTTGCCTCAACGAAAATATGTCTTCATTTGGTTATCTTTTTCTTTCATTTGTTTGATATATTGTTGTTCTCTTTATTTGAATTAAAGTCATTTAAATATTCCAAATTATATTTCATTTTGGCTTCAGATACATTGGCCTCAACGAAAATAGTTTGGTTATTGAGAGAGAATTGGTGAAAATGGACTTTAATTTTTTGGCTTGGGAATATATGACACATTGTAAAACTGTGCTTTGATGATAACGTGTGATTTGTTGAATTCGGTCCTCATTTTAAACTGTGTTTTAAACTTTCTTCAAGTTTTAAACTTCGTGAGTGAATACTTTTTTTTTCTTTGGAAATTGTTTGTCGTGTTTTTTAGCGTTGTTATGAAATCAATTGATGCAAATATATGGTAAATTAATTGTGCTTTCAATTTAGTAACTCTTATCTATTTATAGTTTCACGTTGGTTGTATTCCAAATTATCTAAGCTTTGGATGTAATGGATCAAAGTACATTTTTCCAATGTAAAATTAGTAAGGTTCCAAGAAATGATTAAGCACTATTATTGTGAAGGGGCGTTTGTGATTGATTTTGATTAAATGGTTATTAGTGTGATCACTTGAAAGACTTTTTTTTAATAAGAAGTGAGTCTCTTTTCAAGTTGTGATTTACAAATATCTTTAATATGTTGTTGACGAGAATTAGGGTTACGTGACTATGTACAAAGTTGGGTCAAAGAGTTCTTACTTGACTCCTTATTTGAACCCTTACTTTTTTTATCGATAGAATTACCTTTATCACCCTTAAATCTAATATTGTCTTCTAATCGTAATCGAACTTTATGAATTTTAAATATTTCGTATTGATCGCATTAAACCTTAAATCACGTTGTCGAAAACTTGACTTAACATGTAAATACAGAATCTGTTGATTTTTTTGTTGTGACCTTTACATTTGATTTTGGTTATAGTAAATTATATTATTTGTTGCATACTTTTGGTATTTTAAATAACTTAATATTGAAATTGGATAATTCTTCATTTGACAAATCTTAATGTGGAGCTGTTTTAGGTGATGTTTTTGAGCATGCAGGTGTTGATATTGTGCAAAATGCGATGGAATCGGAGCGGAACTGGAGCTTAAACTGTCATAGAAGTCTTGATTTTTTTTTTTTTTTGTCTCTTTTTGTTATTATGTTATAAACATTATTTTGGATATGAAATGATGTTTGTTATGGTGGTTGGGTATGTATTGATAATTGTGGTGGTATGGTGTATTATAATGATTGTTATGTATAATTGTAAATTCTGTAGACAAATTTAGATTTTTCTTAGCTCTTATTTTTTAGAGGAAATTTTGTCGAAATTTCTGAAAAATAGTATAGATTAGCTTAATATCAATTTCTTATATTAAAGCAAATGAAGTAAAAATTATTTTAAATTGACGCTTTGTTTTAGGTTGCAAAATGTCTTTAGATAATGCAATATTCTTCGAGTTTTAATTTAATTTTTTATTAAAGGCACAGGACGATTACTAATACATTTACATTATGCATGTCATGTCATGGTATGGTTTGTTGGGAATGCTTTGGAGTGGTGGAACCTAATTAAGCTGTGGAATGTTAGTAGCGGTGAGTTAGTGCACTTTTTTAAAAAAGTGTTATATCTTTTTAAGATACTAAAGTTAGATTGAGGTGTTTAAATTATAATCAACCTCTCTTTATTGTCTCATTTTCTAACCCCAACACACACCTTTTCCATATTTAATTGGGCTTAGAAAAATAAGTTCAACATTGTCTTTTTTTTTTTTTTTTTTAATTTTTGATAAAAAAAAATCTCGAAAGTACTGAAAAATTCTTGACTTTACGAGTGAAAAGGAGGAAGGTGATTTTAGTAAGAACACAAATATGAGGGATCAAACAGCTGAGAATTGCTATCAAATTTTTTTACCAAATTTTTGTTCTAATTGATGTGGTATGACCTTTATTATTAAATAATGATTATAACTACTTATCTGACGATAAAAATTGTTTAATAGAGAGATTTTGTACAAAACAAATTACTAAGCATAACTTTACTTTCCTAAAATAACGAGTGGCGTCATAGCTAGTAGCGTCTGTCGACGCTCTCTGGGGTCTACCGACAGTTACAGAGAAGCGAGCAGCCAGAGAAAAGAAAAGAATACCGTGGGCTGTGTCTCGCGAGAGAGAGCGACAGTGAAATCGGAGGCCTTCGAAACCCTAGTTTCTCTCGATTGCTATCCTCGCAGTACCTATCATTCAATCGTATTTGAGAATTAGGGTTTCAAGTAGCTCAAAATGGTAAGTTGAATTTCAGCTAACATTCTTTGATTACATGGCGAAATTAGGGACTCTATTTAGCTCTTAAACTTGAATTTTCAGCATAGCTTTAGTGTACTTGCTCTTTATTTCTGCTTTGCCTTACTCTTAATCTAACTGTTTCATTTTCATATCACCGTTTGTTCGGTCAAGTTTGGAGATTCATTTCTTCCGATTGGACCTTATTAGTCTTCAGATTTCATTTTTTTGCTGTTATTACGTGAAAGTCTCTCCCTGTATCGATTCCATTTTTTTTTTGGCCCGAAAATTACGGTTTTCAATATGCGATGTCATCGTTCATACCTTCTTTGTCGGGCTGAATTCAGAGCGTGATCTTTATTAGAAGACTTCTGTTTGTTGAAACTTTGTCTGAATTTGTTCGTGACAATTTCCTCCTTGCATGCATGCCAGTGTGAGAGTTCTAGTAGACGGATTGTTCAATTTGAATTTGATTTTGTACTGATTTAGGCTGTATGTATTGTGGCATGACAGAACAAATTAGGTAGAGGGCACCGGGACAAAGTCCAGCAGTTCATGACCATAACTGGGGCAAGGTAACCTTACATTTACATGAGTTACTTGGTTTTTTTGGGAACCACAAAAATATTCATTTAGCTCTTCATCCTTTTGCCTCGGTGTTTAGTGCTATTGTGCGAGTGTGAAATTTGCTCATGTCTAGTTTATGTGCTGTCTTTAATGGAGTGGTTTTCATTTAGAATGATTTTTGCTGGTCAATGTCAACTTAATTTTCTTAAAGCAACAATTATTTTTTGGGAATATGATTTCTAAATGATGTTCTTTGACATGTAATCAAGATATTATGCATGGTTTATTTTATTTTCCTCAAACTTTATGTGCAAAAAACTCAAAATTGATGCCTATGACTATCAGTTTTTGATTTATTGTTTGCATTCTATTTTATTTTTGTACATTTTTATCGTCCCTGCTGTTGGCAACCCATATATGGTCAGCTCAGGTTTGCTTTATCATTCCCAGCATGCTTTTTTGCTGCCTTTTGTTGCAAGTTAGTGAAAACGGCACCAGATTTGACAATATATATGTTTTTTCTTTTTTGGTCAATTAGTTCGATGTTTAGCATGTAGGTCACCCTGAAGTTCTGGGATTTCACTTTCATTTATATATTTTTGCTGTATGACTGAGATGCCATCATGGAAGTGGGCCCCCTTTCTAAACTCAAAGAGCTGAAGTTTCTAGCTTTTAGTTTCTTCTCGGATGTTCAATCTCTCCAGTGTAGAAATAAGATGTCTTGGTCGTTTTTGTAGCACCCTGGGCTATCCTGCCTGTGGAGTCATGACTTGATGTGGCAGTCTTATATGAATGGTTGATCATCATGTGGCAGCTGATGCCGGTTATTTATCGTAAAAGTAAAATATGTCCTAATAATAGATCAAGACTGGATCTGAATTGGGAAATTACCTGAATTCTGAAACTGTAACGTAACTTTGCTTTGGACTATTTTGATACTCAATTTCGGGGCTATAGTTTTTTTTGCTATTATTAGCCTTATTTTACGTTGTTTGCAAGAACAATTCATAGCACTAATTAAGTATGTGTTGTTTTTCGATTGTTGTGTTATTTTTTACTTGAACGGGTGCTTAAAATTCTTTTGTTTGTTTCATCTACCTGTGTTTATTTATTTTAACAGCAATTTTTTTTTTGGGTCTTTTGTGGATTTTTTGTGAATTGATTTATTTTTGAGTTCTTAGTAATCTTTGGAGTCGGAGTTGGCCCAGTGTTGTTTGACTTATTTCCCTTATTTCTTTTTTTGAACACAGTGAAAAAGTTGCCCTTCAGGCTTTGAAGGCTAGCGATTGGCATCTTGAAGGAGCATTTGATATGTTCTACAGCCAGCCACATGTTAAATCATTTACTGATTCAAGGCACTTGGAGGAGCTTTACCGTAGATATAAAGGCAAGCTTTATCATAGAACTTCCACTCCTATCCCTCATCCCCCTACTTAAATAGTCTTTCTTTTTTCCTTTGAAATTACATGACTGTCAAGGTTTGGTCCTTATTTTCTTGAATCCCCCTTTTTATTTCCCTTTTGATTTTGATCCTATTGTATGAATATTGACACCCACATGAATTCGTGTTGCGTGAAAAATATAGTAGTCTATACTTTTTATCTTGTTCACTGAACTGGTATACTTGGTGCACGGTTTTGTTTACATGATGGTTGTGTGGAGACCTACATATATTGGGGATGTCTTCATAGTTGATCTTCTGATTGTAAGACTTCAAACATTCGATGATTATGACATATAGGTCTATCTTCTTTGTTGGATATTTGTCATATCAAGGCTGAGAAGTTTCCAATAGCAAATGACTAGACTCGATGCATCTTTTTTTTGGTTTTTTTTTTGGGGGGGGGAGGACGCTCCTCCTCAAGCACGAAGTCAATGCTGAGTCAACAATCATCGAGAGGAGTACTGCCACACAAGATCTAGACCAGCCCTTTATATATGATTCCGAACTTGTGCATCTTCAAATAAATAATGAATTAGGGGCTTCAAACATGACTATCGGACTAGAAACTTGACTTTGGGAATAAAAAAGATGGATTATGGATCTTCAATATGCCATTCTTATAGAGCATTTTTGCTTGTATATAGATCTGCTGCTCATAGTGTAGACGTCTCAGACTCTAATAGGTGATAGGATTAGTTGAACTTTTATTGGTTGGATGCAATTCTGATACTGAAATCTTTTCTTCGTATTTCTAGTACATTAATGTATTCAACTGATTTATGAATTTTTTTCTTAATTGTAAAAGCATCTTAAGAATTGTCGTAATTTGCAGATCCATACGCTGATATGATTTTGGTTGATGGTATTACTCTCCTCTGCAATGACCTTCAGGTAGCTCCTCCAGTGTGCTGATAATTTTAAGTTATTGCAATTTGGTTGTTCTTATAGTGAATTGTGTTTACATATTGAGGATGCGCAGAAGATCATCTTCAAGCACTACAAGCATAATACTGCTTGTATCTTATGAGCCATTTAATTGTTTAAGGATTTGCACTTATCGTTCTTGATGGATATACTAATTATTTAACCGGGTTTGACATGTGAACCTTGGTTTCATGGCAGGTGGAGCCTCAAGATATTGTCATGGTATGTGCACATTCTTGTATGTTATGAAACAAAAACTGAAATTTTTTACCATGTCCATGTATTTGTTCATTTTTTCTGTTAATTTGCACAAAGAAAAGACCATTCGTTTGAAGAATAATTTTTCTCAAAAAACTTGGTGAGATGTTGGTGATGTGGCATTTTGCTTATGCTGATTTTGTATGGCGTTATTATTGCCTTTGCTCGGTTATCATGTAAGATGTGGTCAAATTATGTCCTTAAGAATTAAGATTAAGCATTCTTTCCAGATCAGGAATTCATGGCTTGTTTGATGGTTATTGAGCTCTTTCTGATCATCCCTCCCCTTCCGCCCATTGTGTGCTTATGAGGATAAATCATCTATCTTTTTATCACAAATATTTTGTCCCCCCCCCCTTCTTTTTTTCTCCATAGCAAAAAATAAAAATAAAAATAAAAATGGCAAGGTATTAGATTTTGCTACAAGGTTCATACTTCTATTTTGTAGCATTCAATCAGGCTATCTTACGTAAAAGTAGTTTTTTAGCTTTTCAATCTTTGGCCTGTATATGTAATATTTGCCATTAGTCTTTTGCTTTTTAAGTTTTTAAAATATTAATTTTCTGACATAAATGCACTGATGACTTCGTGATCTTTGGCTTACATGGGCTTTGGCCTCAAATGTAGTTGGTTGTTTCATGGCATATGAAGGCTGCTACCATGTGTGAATTTTCCAAGCAGGAGTTCATTGGTGGATTACAAGCTCTTGGGTCAGTATAGATTAAGCCCTTCAGGCTACTTCTTAGTTATGATGATAGAATCTCACCGAAGTTTATATTTTCTATGGCAGGATAGATTCACTTGAGAAGTTCCGGGAACGAATACCATTTATGCGTTCTGAGCTGAAAGAAGAACGTGTGTATAATGACGTGGAAGTTTAGATTTTTAGTTAAATGAAGTTACTCCCATGTCCTAAGTTGAGAGTCAATCTTTTCATCATTTTTAAAATATTCATTTTAGATCTTTCTTAATTGACCCTAATTTATTTTATATTGGAAAGATGTATTATAGGTGAATCTTCAAAATTGGGGGATAATTTAAAAAGCAATACTTGCATATTATAATGCAAAAGCATTCAATGCAATTCTCTAAGAGTTGGAATTTCAAAGGAAGATTTCAAATATTGGGTTATATGTGATGTTTCTTTTGGTAGAGGTCAGCTAAAATATTGATGTATCTCTTTATGGAAACTTGTACCCTTTTGTTAATATTGTTTTGACTTAATGAAAAAAACCTTGCGTCATTTTCTCACGTCTAATAATGTTTGATTCTTATTTTGTCCAGAAAAGTTCCGTGAGATCTATAACTTCGCTTTTGGCTGGGCAAAAGAAAAGGTATGTGTATTTCAGACATGCAGATACGGATTTTGCATTTACTTTTAAAATTAAACTATCTTGAATTGAATCTCTTTTAATTAGTTGATGCTGTCAAAAATCCTTCAAGTTAATCCTGGCTGCTTCGGTTTTGTTAATCTATCCTGTTGAAAGTGCTGAAATGGTCTTTACATGACAAACATCAAACCTTGGAAACTTAGATTTTTACTAGAAAGGGGCAAACAGGAATCCTAGTTGACTGCGAGGAAATCCTAGTTGATTTAAAGGCTGATTATCCATACCCCATGTGCTTCTATCTCTGTCTAGGTCAAGATAGATATCAATTAATATTCAGCCTTTATAGTGTTTTATGTCTGATGCATAGTTCACAGACAAGACCACAGATAGATAACATATGATTCTTCTTTTTACTGAAAAGAAAGGCTCAAGTGTTAATGTTTTTAACCTCCCTCTTCCTTCTAAATGATCTCTTAGTAAGACCATGTTCCTAGACCCACTCTTTTCTTTTGGATACCATCCCATCTTCTAACCAGAGTGCTCAACAGCTTTGGCATTTTACTCTCTCTCTCTCTATGGTGCAGAGAGGTTAAATCGTGGTGATTTTGTGTGATGATTGATGACAAGCATTTTATATGCGCAAATCTGAGCCAGATAATTGCCAGGCTTCTACTATTTTGTTGGTCTGAGATTTTGTATGATTTTATTTTGAATAGCATAGATATCTCTAATGCAGGTTGACATTCATGTGTTGAATGCAGGGTCAAAAGTCTCTGGCTCTGGATACAGCAATTGGGATGTGGCAGTTGCTATTTGCTGAAAGGCCATGGCAATTGGTTGATCATTGGTGCCAGTTCTTGCAGGTAGCCTTGCAGAACATACCTTTTATCAGTTTTCTTAATTTTGTTTGTAGGTACCAAGGATAAGATCAAGTTTCCTGTTGAATTTGGATTTAATTGTTGCATCAAAAATTAGGTTACACTTACCAATCATTAAGTTAGTAGTTGCTTTTGCTTATCAGATTGTTCAATGTCTGGAAATCATATCTTCCTTCATGAATATTATCTTTTAAGTAGACCAATTTTTATTTGTCTTTATTCACTTCTGTATGCAGGTTTGAACTTTTTTAGTATATTTGTACAAACTAAACAAAGTCCTATGACCATTATTTCTGGTTGGTCACATGCACAATGTCATTGTGTTCTATCAAGAGCCTTATTTTTTCTTAAATCTTAACTTGCCGTTTCTGTTTTTACTTGTTTTTGGTTGGTGACGATGGATATGATGTGCTGTCAAGGCCCAAGAGTCAATATTTTTTGTCTCAAGTATCTAAATAGGTTATCTTTTAATTTATCTTTGAGCGGTTCTGCTTCTGCATTTCACAATTGTAATTTCTGATTGTTCAAAATTTTGCTATCTAATAGGGTCTTTAAAAAACAAAAGAAAACTCTCTCTCTTTCCCCCAGGCCTTGATTTATGGTTTTCCAAGCATCCATTGGTCTTGTCTGCTGTTGATTTACTGCAGCTCCTTGAGTTTGCTTGTAATAAGTTCTTCTGCATTTAAATCTTTTAACCCTTAACCCCCTTTCATTTTGATGCAAAAATGCAGGCACGGCACAATAAAGCAATTTCTCGGGACACCTGGTCTCAGCTCCTGGAGTTTGCAAGGGTAGCTTTTTTTTTTTTTAATGCAAGGATAAGATACTTGTCTAAAAGTCATGTGCAATTGCATACGCACTTGGTGATTGCTTCAATTGTTTTTGTCTCCAAAAATCATGTCCCATATGCCCACCACATCTCTCTTTCTCCTCCCTCCAGTTGTCCATTTTTTGCCACAAGTTCCTTCATGTTACAGCTCATTTTTTTTTTTTGGACCTTTTCTGGGGCACTTTTCTGTTTTGATCCTAATATGTAGAGTGTGTGAGTTAATCGAAGTTCAACATTTCAGAGCTGCCTCATTTCGATTCCGGACAGAAAGTTTTGGCTCTTTAGATTCCATTTTTTCCGTTTTCTTGCTGGAATTATAAGGAGTCTGAGTTCAGTTGCTAGCTAGCTGGTTTCTAGATGGAAGTGAAGACGTAAAATTATGGATCTATTGTACAGTTTATGATTCTGTTTTTCTTTTGTAATGGTGGGTAGGTCGACTGGATCAATCAATGCTAATCATGGGCGTACTAACTTTAGTGTTGTTGATTATTAATGCAGACTGTGGATCCTGCACTATCAAACTACGATGCTGAAGGTGCTTGGCCGTATCTTATTGATGAATTTGTTGAATACTTAACTGAGAATGGCATAGTTCAAAAGGGACAGTTGAATGATTGGAGCCAGAGACGTTGAAGGGTGTTGGTGATGTATGCTATGGACTGATTCTTCTACTTGCTATTGTTCCCCACCAGGTTTGAACTCAGTTGGAGCACCCCCGTCCCTTTGCCTTTTCTCCTTTTTTCCCTGGCTCAGCCAATCCCCAAAAAAAAATGAAAAATTGGGAAAAAAATCATGTATAAATTATCAAAAGGAAACGATTGCTGGAGATCAAAAATCGACTTCCTCTTTATTGACAATTGTTGCGCTACATTTCAGTGTGATGGGGTGTTTTGTATGAATTTGTACGAAATAATTTATTACACCTTATGTGCTTACAACGCTTTTGAGACTTCTTCTTGTTGTTGGGTGGGATTCCTAGCTAGATGTGTATATTATAGAGGACTAGAGGAATAAGGGATGAGACAATTGCAGCGTGCGTGCTTCAATGCATCAGCAGTGTGTTTGGTATCTTCCAAGCTTTGTTATAAAACCACCGCTGTTCAAAATACTTTTGGCTGGAGGGCTGATCCATAACCTCAATGTTGTCACCCACACAAACTATGAGAGTCCGTTGCTTATCTTTGTAGTGAAGTATCCAAGTCTGGATAGTACAAGGATCAATGCTATATGAGAATTTAATCAAAGACTTAATTTAATGTAATCATTGTAATGTTAGAAGGAGTTTGTTTTCAATTTAATGGTTATATTGAATTAGACCTTCAACTGCTGACAATATGTATGTATATATATTTATGTATTTGTATTAGAGCAATGCTATATAGATTTGATTTGGAAATTTAATTTAAGGATTTAATTCAATACAACTATTGGATTGAAATATGGCTAATAAAATCACGATTTGGATTTTATGATCTAGAACAGATAGATTAATTTGAGTCTCGTGTAAAATTTCAAATTAATAGGATCATAGTGAATCGGGATCTGGATTTTATAGGATCGTAAAATCTCGATTCAAATTGTTATTTTACTGATCCTAGTTATCAGATTTGGTTATTAGGCGCTTTTAATTATTAAGCTAACTCAATTCATTCATATTATTTAAACACTTATAAACTCAATTTAAATATGATTATTTCATATAATTGCCAATCTTTTCAATAGATAAAAAAATTCCTTAAATTTCTTTTTGCTAAAGAAATCTCTCTTCTCTTCATTTGTTTTTCTCTCGTTAAAAATTAAAAACAACCATTAAGTTTAATAGTTTGATCCCCTAAGTAATAATTATCAAATAGTATTTCATTTTCACTCTTTTATTTTTTTGTTGGGTTAATTACAAATTACACTTTGAAAGATCTCTCGAATTTTAATTTGTAGCCTCAGAGAAAAAAATATCTTAATTTGCACCTTCAATAATATAAATTTGTATCAATGTGTATTTAAAGTTAACAGTTGTCTACTTTATCATCTAAAATTAAATGTATAAATTATGCATAAATTTCCTCATATTTGTCACTTAATCATATGAATCCCCTCACATTTGAAATATTACACCAACACGCTAAGACAAATATGACTAATAGTGTTCCCCTAATTGAGCATTAATATAATTCCGTTTAACTGATGTATTACATTGAATATAAATAATATTATATAATACCAGTACTCTTGAATATTATATAATATGTGCATTGTATTGGACATTAAAAGAGTAAGTTTGATTTTAAATTTTAGAGTACAATGGACCTACAAAATAAAAAATAGTATGGAAATTAGGATTGTTTATCAGGATGACATTATATTTTTTAACAGTTACATAAACGGATATTGACAATAGGGGATTATGTGTTACACACGCATAAACGTCAGAAAATATAGGTGTAATATTCTAAATGTGTGGAGATCCACTAATTAAATGACGAACTTGAGGAGTCTAGGTGTAATTTACCTATTTAGTTTTAGACGACAAACTAATGACTGTTAGCTTCAGGTGTAAATTGATACAGATTTATATCTTTGAAGGTACAGGATAAATTTTTTTATCTTTGGGGATACAAATTAAGTTTCAAAAAAATCTTTTAGGGTACAATCTACAATAAACCCTTTTTTGTTTAGGTATAGTTTTTTATTGAATAGTCTCTCAAATTTATAGTTTGTCATCTATATATATCCACAAAATTAATAGTATGTGTTTAAATTTTAACCATTTTCAATGCTCTTCAAATTATAATCTTATCTCTAAGATTTATGTTTTTTATGATACCTTGATCTGCACACACACACACACACACACACACATACATATATTGCATGGGAGAATTTTTGCGACAGTTTGAGATAGCGACCTTCAACTTGGTGGACTTGCAACAGCCACAGCGTCAGAAAAAAGGGGTCAGGTGAACACCCGACTTATCCCCTCCGAAGCTTAAGTCAGTATAAAATTAGAGGCTTAAGCTCATTGCATATAATATTCTGGTTCAATGTTGCATAATTTTGTTCATTTTTCTAGGGAATATTTATACTTAGAATAGTAATGATTGCAAAAATTTCAAGTCACATCTGAATATTCAATGCCTGACACCTTTACCTAGGAAGATCTGGCTGTCCTCCCCCAAGATCTTCACCCATTTAATGCAAGGGTGATAGGACAAGCGCTCGAAGATGAGCCGAGCACTTATGGCTATTTCCGAGCACTCAAGTGTCTATGATCGACACCTGACACATACTGATGTGTTCAATGCTCGAGGGAATCAATACCTCGGGGACCTCCGGGGACATATACTTGGTGTAATAATCATTAATATTTAGCCATCATGACTGCAGGCCTAGACTTTGAAGACGTAGGAGCTCATTAATGTCACTGTCTCCATCACTCGCATCGCCATAAATGACTGGTCAAGTCGCATTTAATGCGGGTGTCAACTTGTGCACTTGGCTCCTCCGAACCATGGTCTCTTGGCTTGAGCCCTCGGCATTTATTTGAGCTTTATAACGACTTCAATTCATACGTGTCACATCGAGGACGGCTAAATTGCCCAGAGTCCTGTCATATATATTAGTGTTGTATTTTTTTTTATCTCATTCTCTTTTTAATTTGTAAGATTTAACGATTCTCATCCGATCCTATAGAATTCCCTAAGGTACGATCCCAATTTTATTTTAAAAACATTGATTGAAAGTAAATTCCATTTAACTCTAGTACAAGTGCATGAATATATACATTCGCATTGGCCAACAGTGGTTTGGATTGGGCCCTTTTGAATTCACGCAATAAAAGAGAACTTGAGGGGTATGGAGGTTGATTATTGTACCAACAATGTGTTAAGTTGATGATGCATCCATCCTCCAACTCCAAGCCAAAGGAAAGGCAACACAACACAATACCAAATAAATCTATATATGTTTGTTACCCACCGAAAATTATTGGATTAATGATTTATTTATTCATGGTGTATTAATTGTTGTAGTCTTAGTTAAAAGTAGCAGCAACATGTAGCATTTGTTGATTGATCTTATTCTGATTCTGATCTAACAAGCCTTAGTGCAGAAGCAGCGCTGTCGGAAGCCTCGGCACCAGCCATCAGAAAAGCCTTCATTCCTGCAGACAAGCCCACAATTGTGGTCACTCAGGCACAGCCCCTGGAACCCATGGCTCTGCGATTCGCATGTCCTTCCCATCACCATTATAACACCAGTACCACTCTCGTCTCCTGATCAGATTAATTTACAAGCAACAAGTCATCATCAACTTCTTTTTTAATGGCAGTTAATTATCTATCTATCTAACGAGACAGAGACAGACTCACGAGAAGCAAAAAGAAACAGCAGCAGCAGCAGCAGCGGAATGAGCGGAAAGAAACCCTTAGTCTCCATTGCTACCAAATTCCCCCTTACATGCGTGCATGCATTTCTCTACCCTAATGGTAATAATGTCCGGATGGATATATATAGCAATTAAGTAACTACTACTTTTGGGCCGGAGTGACACTTTTCTGAGGGTGTGTGAAAAGCCTTGTCACAGATGGCAACCAATAACCACATGCAAGTATGCAACGCTACACGTAAGTTGCACTCGGACCAGCTCATCACAGCAGATTAGATCAAAGTTGGGGTTGATTTGTATTAAACATTGTTAGCTACATTGCGAACAAGGAAAACAGAAAACAAAAAAAAAAAAAGGTGAACGAGAGAGAGAGAGCAATTGTTAGTTCCCAAAGGAGTACAATAAGTAGGAGAGAGAAAAGTTATGTTAGGGGTGTGTAGAGAGATATAGAGATGCTCTTGATAATTGAGAAAACTTACAATTTATAAGCATAAAGATTTAGTTGAATTGAGACGGTGACTTGAGGGGGAAGACACTAATTCTTCGGGAATGATAACTACAGAAGGTAAGTACAATTAAAAGGTGTCTTGATTTTTGAGAGTAGATATCCGGATGATTGCTCCCCGTGCTTTAATCTTTTTGGATTTCTTGGACTTTGGACTTCGTCAAATTCATGAACTAAACTTGACTTACCTTTTAGCTGATTTAGGCTCGCTTCTTTATTGGACTTTGTATTAAACATTTTTAGCTACATTACAAACAAGGAAAATAGAAAACAAAAAAAAAAAATTTAAAAAAAAACCCAAACATGTGGTTGGTCGCAAAAAGAAAAGATAATAAAAATATTATTTCCTTGACTCTTTAAAAAACAAAGCTATTTTCAACAAATTAAAAAAGCGGATAAATTCTGATCATTTCAATATAATTTGAAGATCCTCTAAGTCTTGTGAATTTATGAAAAAAAATACCTAACTCAATATCTCTTAATTAAAAGTTATGCATACAACATTTTGAGATGATTGGCACAACAAAAATAAATATTAAATTTGTTGAAAATTAAAATCATTGGAAAACATGGCATTGAATTTTGAAAAATTTATGAAGATATCTCTTGGTACAAGGAAAAAAAAATTAAACATAAAAGGTGAAAAATAAAAAATGGGATTGGATTGCCTTTAATACATTTCCAATTAATCGTAGCCTAGGTAGATCACCAAGTTTAGTGAGAGTGAAACTCTTAGAAAATGAATTGAGTTAAAAAAATCTGATAAAGGGTTTAGGTTAAATGAAACGCCCCAATATGTTTTGGTCTTTAACAATCTTTTCCCAAATGGAAAACAAACAAGGAAGAAGATCGGGCGTCATAATTTCTGGGAGATTTGTTTCAGTTTCGGCAGCCGCTAACTAACCCGCAATTAACTTCGACCTAATCTGCTGCTGCCTGTGTTTGTTGCTCATCTCATCACCAGTTACATTATATATGGGGGCAGTGAGTGGAAAGCCTAGACATGCACGACTTGACAAAATCGTAGGATCATCCATCATCATCATCATCATCGTTGATACTTATGGATAATAGGCGCTTCTTTGGCCTCTTTCTCCTTCTGCTCATATTTCTCATGGCTTCTGGTAACTCTCTCTCCAACGTCCATACTGATTTTTAGTTAACCAAAACATTTATTTCCCCACGAAAGATATAAGAAAATTTTAGTAGTGCTTTTTTGATGGGGGGTGATTGTATTTTGCAGAGGAAAGAGTGGTGGTAGCAAGGACTTGCGACTCACAGAGCTTTGGGTTCAAGGGGGCATGCTGGAGCAACCACAACTGTGCGCTTGTTTGCAAGAATGAACAATTCACAGGTGGTAAATGCAAAGGCTTCCGCCATCGTTGCTTCTGCACTAAGAATTGTGATGCATGAAATCCTTCAACATATATATATATAATTATTTACACCCTCTAAACTAAACTAGTAGTGCTATGCTATACCTAAATACATACATAGAATACTACTAGTCTAGTTCTACTTAAGTTGTCATCTTATCTTCATATCATGAAGATATTTAAATATGAATAAAATAATCCCCTCTATCCATATGTATCTCTTTAAATAAATATTCCAATGTGGGGTGCGTGTGTGTGTGTGTGTTTTCTTGTTAGCCATCCAATTCTCAGGATACGTACCAAACAGCAGCAGAAAACTTGAAAAAGCAGCATCCAGCAGTTCACAGACATAACATGATATGCAGCCACGCACTTCAAACGGAAGTTGTTATTGATATGAACCCATACATGTCGAGGATGCATTATTTTTAAGTTGCATCATGCAGTGTCCCCGATAAAAGTGATGATGACATCAAAGGCCATTCAAACGCAAAAAAATGGAACTCTATCAACCTTATAACCACTTTAACCAAAATCATTGTTTGTTAATAACAAAATAAATGCAGCAGGTGCTGCCTCTCATGGGACTTAGTTGCTGGCGGCCACCAATGCCATGTGCTCTATCAGGTCTAACACTCGGTTGCTGCAAGGGAGACGAGCAAAAGAAGTGTCATAACTCACAAGGAATGTATATTTGTTTGTGTGTGTGTGTGAGAGAGAGAGAGAGAGAGGTGTCATACCTGTAACCCCACTCATTGTCATACCAAGAAACAAGCTTCATGAACGAGGCACTCAGCCCGATCCCAGCCTTTGCATCAAATATGCTTGACCTGGGATAAAACATCCCAATAGAAGAAAATGAGGACAATAAAAGTCTCAATCAGAACAATAAAATCCATCTGATGAAGCTTGTGTAATCATCCACGTTGGGGGCATTTTAGAATCACTGACTGGGAAAATATGTTGATGAAATATATAGCATGCAAGTAATGGAAATTGGAGGACAAGCACCATTGTTGACTCACGAGTTCTAACAGATCAGTTATTGGGTTTATTAACTAGGCATTGATATATACAGTAGTTCCATCCGTAAATGTGATTAACTCTCTTTTAGAGAGAAGTCAGAGAATTGTACCTTGTGTCACCAACAAAATCATTTGAGACAACATCATCCTCTGTGTATCCAAGAATGCCATTCAGTGGACCCTCGGAGGCATACCTTTGGTTACAAATTTTAAGCGGGACTTAGTGATTTACCATTATATTGAGGTAAAGCTGGCTGAGAGAGAGGTGGAACATGAAGCGCATACATACTTTATAGCTGCTTTCACATCTTCATAAGAAGCACTTTTCTCAAGTCGACAAGTTAAGTCCACAACAGAAACATTAGGTGTTGGGACACGGAAGGCCATTCCCGTGAGCTTTCCATTGAGTTCTGGAAGAACTTTTCCAACAGCCTACAAAATTAAAATAATATACAAATCACATCCTCTAGAAATCTGCAAGGGCTCATTTCCATTTAAGACTATCACTACCTTTGCAGCACCAGTTGAACTAGGGATGATATTTTGCCCAGCTCCACGCCCCCCACGCCAGTCCTTCGTTGACGGACCATCTACAGTCTTTTGTGTAGCTGAACATCGAAGTGCACAAGATGATACAGTACAATTCAAAAAGTCTGCAAACAATGTTGAAACGTGTCTCTGTGTGAGAGAGAGAGAGAGAGAGACCTGTGGTCGCATGCACAGTGGTCATCAGACCCTCTAAAATACCAAACTCCTCATGGACCACCTGTAGCAACATACCAGAATGGAAACCTATTATTAAGAGACACACTGATTGCTCAGGCCCTGGCTTTCACCAAATCCTTTATTTTAGAACATTTTTCATGCGCTCTCATGTTGCCACTTATTATTTTTAGGTTTTTTTTTTTTTTTTTTTGGGGGGGGGGGGGGAAGGGGGATGAGAGGGGAAACGAATCTTTGTCGAGAACATACATGATGCTTTGTATCTTATGGACATCAATATTTGGCTCTCACCATAGGCCAGGGAAAGTTAGTATGGTTAACAAACAAGATCAACAATTCTTTAGATTTGAAATGCTATTAAACCTTGGCAAGAGGAGCAAGGCAATTGGTTGTACAGCTAGCATTAGAAACAATATCCATGCTCGGTTTATATGTTTTCTCATTTACTCCCACCACAAACATAGGTGCATCAGCTGATGGAGCGGAGATCACCACTTTCTTTGCACCACCCTGCACAATAAAGTCAAGAAGGGCTCAATTTGTCATGCCATGTGTGTGTTTGGGGGTGGGGGCAGAAAGAGAGAGAGGAAATGGTGACCAACAATTATAACTAACCTTCTTGTGTGTTGAAGCCTTCTCAACTGTTGTGAAAACTCCAGAAGATTCAACAACATACTCAGCCCCATAATCACCCCAAGGAATCTCTGCCGGGTCCCTGAGTAGACATAATTTTGGATATTAATGTTGGCAGTAAGAAAACAATATGTCAACATTGGGCTTGAGGTTCATTAGTGCTGCTACAGGACAGCTATTTTAGATTGACACAAGAAATCTGACGACACCTTTTGTTAGTAACTTTAATCTGTTTTCCATTAATTTCCAAAGCAGATTCATCCAAGACCTTGATGGATCCCTTGAAGACTCCATGAGTAGAATCATACTTAAACATGTAAGCCTGAAGGAAGGAACAACACACATCATAGCCAACCAATAATGTAAATCAATTACCAATACACGTAACAAATAGAAAATATACAATCAGTCAACAATGACAACACTGTGAAGAAAAATAAAAGGAGAACAATTCTTCATTACAATTCGAAAGCAACTTCTTTGTGATGTAGATCGTATTAGGGAAGAATTAGGAATGAGAAAGGAAGAAGAAAGGAATGAGAAAAAAAAAAAAAAGGGATGAGAATAGAAAGAATTTTAGGAAGAAGATTCAATATCAATAATCAATAATCAAAGTCTCCCAAAACAAATACCATATTCCCTATATATATATAGGGAAAGCACAAATCCTAAAAGAACTCTAAAAGAAAGAGTCATAATGACAACTAAACCCTTAAAAGTTAAAAGAATTACTTAAACGATAAATATTAAAATGATCTAAATAACTATCATAATTAATCTATCTAATTCCTACACGATCCCCATCATTCTCCTCCGGTTGAAAAAAACTCTTCTCCAGAAAGTCTTCAAAGTAAAAGTACCCCAAGAGAGCGAATGAAGATGACATAATGTCTCATCTAGAATGAAAGAACCATTAATATCTTTCCATCGATCAGAATAAATGCAAGAATTTTCATCTGCAGCAATGTAAATCTGATCACGTAACACATCATCTATTTGCCCTGAAATATGCGATAGAAGTGGAAAGATAAGAGTTGGAACTAATACTGAAGAAGAAACAATTCCACTTGTAGAAACACCTGATAACAAAATAGGAGGCTCTGTAGTATCTCGATTAAGTAGCATGTCCTCCAAATAAAAATCTGGACTAATACTAACATTCAATGAAAAATTAAGCAAATAAGCATTAGATCTAAACTCAAAAATAACAAAACAATTCTCATTAAATTTGAACAAAAGAAATTCACTGGGATAAGACATCAATGACAAAAAAGTAACTATAACACCCTGGTGCTGAAAATAAGAAAGTACAGACTCAATTGAACACTTGACTGCAGGCAAAGAAACAAAGTTAACACTCTCAAGTAGAGTAGAATCTAGAACAATGTCAACAATCTCAGGTGGAGAAAAATCCGAAACAAAATCAATAATCTCAAATGAAGAAGAATCCACAACAATGTCATCATGATTCGGAATAGTAGACATAGAATACTTGCCAACAGATTGTAAAATAGATAGCTCAATATGCTCAACATCTTACATAGGAACCAACTGAATGGATTTTTCCTCAACTTCAATGCTTAGTGATGTTTCAACTTTTGGCACCGATGAGTTAGGAAACATGATAGGATCAAAAATAATTTCATCACTAGTATCAATGTTCAAAAAATTGAAAGTATGTTTTGAAAGTTGTAAAGCATGAGGGTCCAATGAAACAAAAATATGGCTATCATTATGCGGGCGTCTAACATTAGGTGAAACTGGAGACTTGTTCTTATTTTCTTCCATTTGCTGACTTGCAAGAATTTTATTCAAGTGAGAAAGTTGACTTGTTAATTCATATAATTGGTTTTTCACCCCTCTACATTCTTCACGTAATTGGCCGAGTGAATGTTTAATATTGACAACTTCAATTTCAAAGATTTCAACCTTTTTTCTAGGGTAGTTTGGGCTTTTGAATGGTCACTAATAACATTGAAGATTGATCTAGATTGACCTTGATGACGACTTTGGGAAGCATGACATTGGTAACTGTTATGTGACCTAAGTGTCCCACAGTAGTATTCTAGATAATCTTCATAATAAAACTCAAACTTATTATGGACTTTATGATGACTCCAAGAAGCTCTAGGAGTGGAATAGGTATAGTGATGACGTTGTAGAAAAATATGAACTTGAGACATTCTTGATGTTGGATAAGTATATGAATAGGCATCATAATGATCATATGAACTCATGATTGACTTTGAAAGATGAGAATAACATAAGAATGAGTTCAAGGATGCAATTGATAATTACGAGAAGTGAGAAAACTTAAATTAAAAAAAATAAGTTTTGGATCCTTTGCAAATTTTTTAATTTTTCAATGAATAAAAATATTAGTCTCAAATTTCATTGGAGTATGTATACCATAATCAAGAAGAAATTCTGAAACTTTTGGGGATGATTCTGCAATTTCTGAAACTTCTAAGAAAAGATTCTGTAATTTTTGAAACTTTTGGTGATAGTTCTACAACTTTTGCAACTTTTTGGAATGTTGCTGTAATTTCTGGAACAACTGGGATTTTGTTGTAATTTTCTAAATCTGCTGGGACAGTTTTTTTTTTTTTGCTGGCTCTATTTTTTTTTCACTAATGAACAGTGCACGGATGAACAGTGAATTTTTTTTTTTTTTTTTGTGATTTGTACAAATCAAAGTTTGGCTTTGATACCAAATTGATGTAGATCGTATTAGGGAAGAATTAGGGATAAGAAAGGAAGAAGAAAGGGATGAGAAAAGAAGAAGAAGGGGATGAGAACAAAAATATAAGGGGATGAGAATTTTAAGAACATTCAATATCAATAATCAATAATCAAAGTCTCTCAAAACAAATACCATATTCCCTATATATATAGGGTGAGCACAAAATCTAAAAGAACTCTAAAAGAAATAAATAGTCATAATGATAACTAAACCCTTAAAAGTTAAAAGAAATTACTTAAACGATAAATATTAAAAGTATCTAAATAACTATCATAATTAATCTATTCAATTCCTACACGATCCCCATCACTTTGTTAGTAAAGAATTGGTAAACTAGCATATGTGTGTTCTTAAGGGCTACCAATCGGCTACTCATTGCTTTTTCAACAGATATGAGCTTCTTATGCAATGAGTTACATAAACAATAAAAAATAAAGGACCAGTGGGTGAAAAAGAATGTAGGAAAACACTAAGAATCCAAGACTGCACATAAAACACACTTTTAAACACTAAGACTTGCTGGCCCCAAATACTGCCACTATGAGGGTAGTCACTTACAGATTAATAATATAAGGAAAAAATTATCTTGTAATTCATAGATTGCCATGTAGAGCACCATATTGGCTTATGGAATGTGCAACTTTGGCAATACTTGAACGAAGTGGCTGCATTCATATTTGTGCCTACACCCTGACAATTTCAGCACTACCCTAGTTTCCTAACAATGCTAAGAAATTAATAAAAGAATGGGCAAACTAACAGCTAATTACACACTCTTACCATGTACTTAGCATCAACAAAGGGATCATTGACTGCTACCACATCCATATCATCCCTCGAAGTTGCAATTCGTAAAACCAACCTTCCAATCCGCCCAAAACCTGTGAGATTTTAGAATGTCAGATCTGCGATTTTCAGTAACAAATGAAACTATATATCAAGAACCAATGAATCGCAATGCAAGATGACACAATTAAATGCTAGTGATTTATATTCTCCTTATTCAGTAGGTAAAAAAATTGCCTACACATGCAATGATTTTTCATGCACTGGGTTCTTGACTTAAGCAGCACTTCAAGTTTCATAAGACAAAACGGGAGAAAAAAAAAAGGAATCAAAAATTGAAAAATAAAGAGCAAAATGATGAATAACCAAAGAACTGAAACAGAGCCTATTAAATTAACAATGCGTACCATTGATTCCGACCTTCGTTTTCCCACTGCTTCGTGATCCTAAGCAAAAAAAACAAAGAAAAAAGAAAAAAAGGAAGACAAATTGAGTTCATCAGAAAATACAACTCCCATCAACTAACCTGATACAAATTGGGCTACAAAAGTAAAAAAACTTTTACTCTGTACTGTAGGAGGCATTTCAGTGGCAGTGGCCTTGATCGGCTGGATACTCCGGCCCTTAGCTATTCTGCATGGTTTTAGACCAACAAAACCAATGCATGAACCAAAATAAGTGAATATTTCACTCCTTTCCAGCGGAAGGATAGACATGAAAAGATTGAAGGTAGAAACAATGGGAATACTCAACTGTGAGGGTGATGACTCCCCGGGAACAGCAGCACCAAAGATGCTTGACTGGAACTTTAAAGAATTAATATTGTGACTGAAACCAAGGCGTAATACCTGAGGGAACATGCAGATTAGATTGATTTCTTCAGACATCCAACACAGTTTATAAGGAAAAGTAAATCTAGATGGATGATATTCTGAGCTCTGTCTATTTCTAAACACCGAAGAGCAAACATGAAAACTATAAATTGGGAGCCCCATGTTTTCCGTGAAGTTTTCATTTCCAAGAGCCAATAACCCAGTTCAACAAGATCAAGTGTAAGGATTTTCCATCTTTAACTTATACTCTCTACAACTTTATTATTTTTTGAAACCGAAGAGAATCACATTTCCAGATAAATTTCTTTGAAACACTAAACTAGCTAAAGGCCAACACAAAGTCAAAGTCCCGACTCCTATAAGAATTGAAACATATACATATTCAAATCACAAGCTAAAAAAAAAAAATCAGTCCTGAAACAGGAAAAGTGACCTTGGATCGATTGTATGGTTGATATGCAGAGATCTCTGGACGTGAAGCTTCAAGAAGAGGGGACGTGGTAGATCTAAGGAGAGAAGAGGACGCCATTACGAAGACAGGAGCTCTTCTCTTTTGATACCGATCGGGCGACTGATATAGCAAAAGTGGTAGTAGTTACAGCAAAACCCTAAGAGAGAGAGATAGAGAAGGGTTTGGCTTTTGAGAGAAAGCGTAAGCCAGGAGCTCAGGTTTTTAAAATGAGCGGAGATTCTAAGGTATTAATATTATGTCCAACTCAACAGAACAGAAGCCCGCCCACCATCTCTCTCTCTCTCTCTCTCTCTCTCTCTCTCTCTCTCATGACTAACGTTAAAAAAGCTGTTTCTTTCTCTTTCTACAACTCGCAACAACTTTCTCTGTTTCAAACGTTGGTGAGTAACTTTGTCGTGTTGTCCTCCCAAAGCTAAGCTCACATTAGCTCCTCGATAGCCACGTCAGACGGAACCTGGCCTGGCACTGCTCCAGCTCAGCATTTTCTCTGCGGCTTACACAACGAGGAGAACCAGGACCCTTTCTGGAAAAGTGTTAGGGGTCTTGGTAGTTGGTGTTGTTACTACTCTCTGGAGGTGGAGGTTCTTTCTTTAGACACCAACCCACGCAACCCCACCCACCCCTATTCTATTCTCCATGCGCAACAGGCCTCAGGTTGAAAAATTGCCTTATTACTTGTTTAATGACTTAATTCACGCTTCCTCGTTTAACTTTATTTTTTCGTACATGTACCACATGAATGTATCATTTATGTGTTGTGCTTGCCGATATTATTATATATATATATATATTTACAACTTTTCAAAATCACTCTAACTTTAGTTGACCTGACATAACCACAAATTTTGAACGAAAACAACTTGGAATATATTAGATTAAATAGATTAGGATTGAGATTGGGGGTTGTCTCAGTCTTTTAAGTAATATTAATATACCAAACTAGCTTGTTTGTTACCTGCTCTGGTCAATACTCAAATTTAAATCACTGTAGCAGGAGGTTGTTGGCCTCTCAAATTGTAAAACCATGCCGATTGATTGATATGTATTGTCCAGGCACCTACTTACTTAAAAAAGAAACATCATCATGCAAGTTGAAATCCTTAGACAAATAAGACAGCTATGCCACATACTCAGCATTGGTGCAACAAACACACCGACGTAAGAGATGCAACAGATCAAGGACAGGACGATTTTAGTGATGCAATTTGATGAACATTAGACTCAACCGCCAACAAGTGGAGACATGGATGGATGTAAGGCCATGTAATTAGAGGAAAAGAAAAACCATAACTGCCAACAAGTGGGAAGTGGTTATGATGAGGAATATGGTGGTTCCTAGCTAGGAACAAGAATGAGGCGATTACCATACAACCTTTTTTGAGTAATAGTAGATGTATTGGAAGAATGGACTCTCTAGCAGCTCCAACAACTCCATGCTACAGACCAACCAGCTTCCAAAAGCTTGATAGCCTTTTTAGTCTTCCAATCTTGCAAGCCTTACCTTAGATCCCTTCTCATAACCTAATCCTTCTAGGTGCTGCAAATTCAGTTACCTGTTTGATTACATATACATTGTACAACGCGCTTCAGGTGGCTAAAAACTCTATTTGGTTCATCTAACGAGATTGTTGTTCCATACACTTAACACAAAAATAAGAGGCGTCCAGTAAATGTTAAGCTCTTAATTGCAAGGCATCCAAAAAAACCTTAGAGTTATCCCTTATTATCTGAAAAAATTGCGTGGACAGATATCTATCCAAGACCTACACACTGGTCCACACCTAGCATTCCATTTTTTACCATGTTTCATCTTTTGATTTTGCAATTCTTCTGGTTTGGAAAAGGAAATAGAGGTTTTAAACTGGCATATTGACAAGATCTTCTGAAGTTTAATCTATATCTCAAAAAAAAAAAAAAAAAAACCCAAAATCTGTTGCTCATTTATTCTCTTCATGTCATTGCCTTTTTTCCTCTTTTATGCTTATTCTTTCTCCTGTTTTATAAATTTATAGGCATCTTGATCGTTGAAAGCAGACTATAATTTCCATAGATGCAGGTTTTGGAATGGAATATTTGCACTCAAAGAAAATTGTGCATTCTGATCTGAAATGTGACAACTTGTTGGTGAACTTGAAAGATCCTTCATTGCCCATTTGCAAGATTGCCTCATTCTTTTTTTTATGTCTGATGAATTTTGCTAGCATCATATATTTATCCTGTAGACATTTTTATTAAGAAAAAGATTGGTTTTAGACAGAGCAGAGTCTGATATTACAGTAATACAATTCTTTCTGGGGTAGGTGATTTTGGCTTGTCAAAAATAAAGCGAAACACATTGGTTTCTGTTGGAGTTAGGGGGACCTTACAATGGATGGCTCCAGAGCTTCTGAATGGTGGCAGCAATAAAGTTTCTGAAAAGGTAAGATGTAACCCTATACATTTTTGTATCACTCCAATAACATAGAAGTTAACCAAAGAATTGATTTGGATGCGACTATGCGTTGAAGATCTTAGAGACATTGGCAGTTCTCAATTTGAAGTATCTCTTATTAATTGATGTCTATCCCGGTTTATAGAAGTTTTTTTTCCAGGTAAGTAGGTTTATAGAAGTTTCTTCTTTACTGCCCGTTTATTGAGAAGTTTCAAACATCATTTCTTTTTTAAGAATTGAATAACTGATTGATACAAGTGAAAGATCAAAAGAGAAAAAAACTTGGTTTTCACAAAATTCTCAGCACTATGCTTTCTCTCACTTTCAAGCTTATGAACTTCTCATCCTTAACCTCACAGGTCACCCCCTCCTTTTTCCCGTTCTCTGTTTTTTGTTCATTCAATGGGTTGATGTTTTCTCCTTTGGTATTGTCCTTTGGGAAATTCTCACTGGTGAGGAGCCTTATGCCAACATGCATTATGGTGCAACATAGATGCGTTTGTATTAATGTACTTCAATTATTCTCTAGATATTTTGGTTTGAGTCTCCATTGCATTTGATTTATTGTTCTCACAAATTTGGATAAATCCTGAGCAGCCATAAATGGGTTGGAAATAGTTCCCTAAATACCTCATAACTGTGGCAATGCCAGTTTGGGGTTGACAGACATACCTATGCTTTATAATGAAGTGCCCAATGATCACAATTCTGAAGAATGTTGTGTATTTATGCATTGTACAGTGGAAAGTGCTTCTTGCAATTGTATCAGATTTTAAAAGTGTGGGGGTGAAATTCACTCAGCTGACAAAATTTGCTTTTCTTATATCAGAAAATGAATTCATTTTGTGCTTATTATAGCGGTAGGCTATGGGAACCTGTTATGCGTTTCATTGGTGGAAGTTATTTATGGATGAGCTAAAGGTTTAGGAAAATGATATCTAAAGCTGAAAAAGGAAAGAACATCAGTAGGGTACTTTTCGAATCACAGTTGGCTCTCATGTCCATCCGTATCTGACCGATAAGATTCTATCCACCAGACTTCATGAAAAAAAAAAAGATTCTATCCACTAGTATTCTTGAAGGGTTTTGGCTCAAAATGTTGTTCATGGGTCTCACGTTGGTATTTCAAGTTGGTTGTGGCCCATTTATACACGTCATCTCCACAGGTTATGGTTAATATCTGTCTTTCCCTCGTATGCAGGAGGCATTATTTGGATTACATTGAGGCCAACCATTCCCAACTACTGTGATCCTGAATGGGGAAGGTTAATAGAGGAATGTTGGGCGGCTAATCCTGCAGCCAGGACATCTTTCACAGAAATTGAGAGTCATTTGGGTGTTCTGTCTACTACTGCCCAGAACAAAGCACAGGTGCAAAAATGTAGCTTGTTTTTAGTCTGATAAGTTGGTGCCATATGCGCCTAGGACTTGGTCGTCTTGGGGATTCCCAAAAATGGCATTGAGCCCTTGTATGCTCTACTCATGATCTGTTTCTATGGTGTTCCAGCTTTTCACTCGAGTCTCTCTTAGGAGAGAGTGCCCTCTTTCCACAGGCTTAAGATAGTTTCAACATCAATATAAGTCCACCACCAACACCTTGAGGTTGTCTCTATCTAGTTTGGTACATCACTATGCTTGGTGGGTGCATTAGGATAAGGGTTTTGTTGAGTTGAATTGTGATGTGCATTGACAATCAATTCTTAAAAACATATCTTAGTAAGAAAACATGAAGAATGAATATGGAATATTAAAACAAAAATGGTGAAATAACACTGCACAGCAAACTGATGAATGATGGACACCATAGGGAAACCTTATATAGAAGGCAACAACAGTCAAACTATGATGCAATATCTCATGAAAAATTATGGGTTCTTTTTTTTTCCCTCTCTTTTTGGGTCTTGGAAAACATTTGGGTTTGATAGAGCATTTTGTTTTGGTAAAGATCCCATAGAAAAGAGCCATTGGGGAGTATTGGGATCATTGCGAACAAGTTATTTTTTATTTTTTTGGGTTTTTTCAAACAAGTTAATTTGTCGCATTTTTTATTTGTGTAATCCATCATGGCAAAGCAAATATCAGCCAAGACAATTTAGGACGACTGGACGTTCTGTGGTTGCCATGCAGATGCTAGCATTATGGGCCTGCCCTTCCAACCGAGCAGAAGGCAACCCTTCTCATTAGCTAGAGTGTAGCCATCGCAGCCATAGATAGATAGCATCATCCTAACTTGGCTCATACACTTCAAACCTACCACTTGAAAACCGGCTCGGCCTAGTTGCCTTCGCCATCCATCTATTCTTTCGTGCCTTTCAATCCTGCCATAGCCCTCACAAGCTACAATATTGTGAATTTGCTCCGCAAAGTGATATCTCTCTATCTTCATCCTCTGTGGACTATTTCGTGGGAAAGTAGCTTCAAGTGAATCAAAAATGGCAGAATAATAGTGCAGTGATTCTAGGAATCTTCCAAGAAAGAAAGGCCCATTATGATTCGCATCTTGTTCCACTACTGTAAGTAGGGTTGGGTTTAGTTTCTTGATTGATTGAAGGATTATCTTTAGAGAGCCTCTACTCTCTTTGACATACTTGTGCAGATGCATGATGCTGTTGACAAACAATGCTTCGCCTTCCCTCAATTTGAGATTTTCTCTAGTTAAAAATGATGGTGTCGCTGGCTCTGCAATCATGTGGAACTCCAGAGGGATGCCAAGTGAACTAGCTTCATCGACAAGTGCTGTCATACTGGCTTCAAGATTCGGGAAATCTTGACCTCCTCCAATTATGCTTGTGATACGAAGTAGTTTTGGAGGGCCTTCGGTCCGTGAAGCCAATGTTCTCAACAAAGAAGGCCACTGAAAGGTATTTTTGATTCCTAGATCAATGATATGGAAGGAATCCTTCCCTTGTGCTGCTTGACATATAGCTTCATTGGCAGCCATGAAGCCGAAAGCAATATATGGAGTTGTTTGGTGAAGTAGATGAAAAGCTTGTGTTTTCTCCTCCCTATCGATGGAGGACATATCCACCATGATACAGTCTGTGAATGAACCATTTGCGCTGACATTGTGAAGGAGTGAGAGCCTAGATTTCAATCCCACAGTAAAGCAATAGGAGACCCGTTGCAAGGAATCACCCCAAGGACTTAAAGAAGGCCAGATTTGGGTGAGCAATGAGTTGGCAAGTTGGGTGTCCCTGCAACCCACGGCCTCAGCACAGGCCAGCAACAAGTGCACCAGGTGAAGTCCTTGGTCCATCCCCTGGCTCACCTTTTCTCCACACTGAGGCACCATCTCTAAATCTAAAACCACCCCGAGATCTTCACATGAGCTACTCATTTCCAACTCGTCTGCTTCAATCATCATTGGGATGTCTCCATAAAAATCATTTTCCATTGAAAAGCTTTCAAGCTCATCTTGAAATTGATCGATTAATGCCTTCTGTTGCTCGGGGAGTTGGTTTTTATCATTGTCATAACAATCCATGTTAAAGAAGCTGCCGACAAATTCCTCCTCCTCGGAAGGGGCCAAGAGAGGAGTGCTAGTGGCATGAAGGGGAGACCATAGCTCAAGTAGCCGATCTGTTAGAGTTTCCCCCCATTCTCCTCCCGATTGTCCTTGCTCGACCCTTGCAGGGCAAAAGCGACGTATGGCGAGGTCTTGATTGGGACTCTCATGGATGGGGAAGGAGAGCCAACCATTGATCTCTTCCATTGATTCTTGGAGGAGTTTGTGGAAGGAGCCTGGGGAGAATGAGCTTAGAGCTCGATTGGTCACAAAATATAAAAAGGATAGGTCTTTTTAACGATGTTGGTTTAATAAGAATATTCTCTTTGTTTGAGGGTGAGGAAGGACATTTTCAATATTTCAAATGAGAATAAACTTTTTTGAAGGACACCACTAAGTCTTCTAAGATTGTGACTCTTTAACCTCAAAGACTTTTTACATCACGGTTGGTCCCTCTAGGGTTGGATAACCTCATGACCTCCCTTCACCGTTAAGAGAAAAAAAAAAAGAAAAAAGGTGAAAAATTAAATAATAGTGAAAAAGTAAGTTGACAAAAGAAATGTGTATTAACACGTATATATCTATTTTGGATTTATTATTGGAGTGTAGTTGATTGCCGATGCAATTGGTAGTTACTGTTCTTAATGCCACATGGTGCTATGTCAAAAATCATAAAAAAAAAATGTCCTAAATATGTGTCTCTACTTCTTATAACTAGGATGGCATAGTGGTATTAGGATGATTGGAAACATCTTGATCCATGGTTGGTCTTGTGTTTGAGTTCTAATCCACCTTTCCCTGGTTCCATGACTAGAGAAAATGAAGGATTTTTTTTTTTAAAGAAAAAAATTCAGTACTAAAGATATTAGGAAATTAAAGAAAGAAAATAAAGCCGTCATGAGATTCTGATCACAAGAGTAAGTACATTGAGTAAAAGTGAGGTTATTGGTGGGCAATGAATACAACTTATTGGTCATTTTTGGTGAATCTTCGTTTGGTATGGTTTGATTTGGTCTTTAATGAAAGATTATGGGAGTCAATGAAGGGTGGGTGAGGGTGATATTGAGATATGGTGGGGGTCCGTTATAGCAAGCTAGAAGAATTTGCAGCTGCTAAGTAATAAAAAGTTGAATTAGTATGGAGAAGAGTTATAGGAAAAGTAATAGCAAGTGCAGAGCCGGCCATAAAGACAAGAATGATGGGGAGGATTAAAATAAAGCATTTCGAGAATCAAAGATGGATCCATCGGTTACTACAACAAATGCTTTTATGGTGTCATCTGTTTGTCGCAACTTACATTCCCCTTGGTCGGCCAACAAGCAATGAGACATTATAGGTGGCCTAGGCTTATAGCTACCTCCTGCAAACACTATCTATACACATATATAAAGCATTATTTTAATTACTAAAAAACATATAAATTAAAATATTTGTCCAATAAGCAAGCATCTTCAATTGATGGTTTGATAATGTGCAAAGACTCTCCTATTATAACGGACAACTCATAGTTATATGCATGTAGCCATCACTGACAGGTGGATGTATCATGTATGTGAGAGAGAGAGAGAGAGAGAAGAATGAAGGGGAGTGGGGTGGGGGGCATGGAATGAATAAAAGAATTGAATAGAATATTCTGTATGTGAAGCAATAGCTATGAGTGCTGCATAAGATTTAGCGAGAGGAATGGAAATGGAAGTGATTGCTACGAGAGCTCCACCAAGTACCATCAATCGTTCTGCTGAGAAGCTCTTTTCAAATAGTACATGGTTTTTTCCCTTGCTACACTATTAATCTTTTCCCCTTCCTATCCTTCTGTGTTTCTTGAATTGTTTGTTCAAGCCTTCGTGTATTTTGTGGGTGAACACTCATGAAAATTTTCTCTCTATTTTATGTAGGACCCGTTGTACATAAAGTATATCCTTATTAAACCCTCTCATAGCACAAACATGTATTCTTATACTGGAATTTTAGATTCCACACTTGGAATGGTACTTGAATAACAAATGATGAATTTCTAAGCTACATCACAGCTGCTCACTGTTCCACCCCAAATGAGTCATATTCGCATACAGAGCAAGATTTGTAAAAATTATAAAACAAATTGGATATATCTTCAATAAGTTACTTTGTAGAATTAGCAAAGTAGGTTTTAACAGAAATCTGCAAACTATAAAAGAAGTTGCTAACATAGCCTCAACTAATTGAGCTCAAAATTTCTCGGCTATAAGAGGTCCAAGTTATAACCCAAACATCTGAAACGCAAGCTGCTGCACAAATGCAGCTTACAAAGACATTAACGTATAAACAGTGTGCAAGGGTTTTCAAACTCCCACTACATGGCAGGTTTATCTCTTTTTCTCTTTTTACTCCTTTTCTTAAGTAAACCTTTCTCTGCTAATGTCTTCAGCTTTTGTGCTTTCCTTGCTTTTGCCTTCTCCTCAAATCCATCATCCATCATCTTCATGGTTGCTAAGCGTTTGGCCTTGTAAACCTGCAAATTTGGACAAAAGTCGTCTGGAAAATGGGAACTATGCGATCCATGTGGAGACACACTTATTTATACTCCCTACAAGCTAATGCTAATAGACATGCAAACTTTGATATTTGATACTGGCTACCATGTTTCAACCCATGTCATTTTATGACAAAAAAGGCAAAAGCTTACTTTACTACCGTTTATGTCAAGGTCATGCTACTTCACAACCATTTATGTCGGTTTATTACTGGGTACTTTTAAGTTTCCAACTAGCCATATAATTTTGAGATTTTTGGGTGTAGTTGGGGAATCAATAAGTTACATAGAACTATGCTGAGGAATAACAATGTATAAAGCCTCATTTCAAGATCAGCTGATGATCAAGTCATTCCTGGGCAAGGTTTAACACCTGAATCTTGGACTGTTTGTCGAGCTTGGGATTTGCCAGGACAGTAACCAATTAACATTTAACACGAGTATGATCCATTAAACTGCACATGACTAATTATATATTTTGAATATTAATAAATACGACAAAAGCTGTAGCGAATATTTTAATGGGCAGTACAAGAGTCTCGTTGATAGTAATTGAAATTAGCAGATAGTGCAACCACCTTCCTTAAAAAAGTAAACTTCAAGGATCTGGAAACCCTAATGCTATAATAAAGATGATAATAGAAAAAGGAATTGAAGTATTCCAGGAAGAAGAATATGCACTCAAGCCACACATGTTCAACTGATAAATGGTTCTGAAAATCAAGTATAAAATATGGCAAACAGCATTTAGCATGGACCATCCAATAATTCACTGCAAAGCTAGCTCAAATGTTCCAATCGGTCTTCCAAAAAGACTCACCTTTGTAATGTCATCAAGCACCTCATTCTCTTTACATTCAAACTTGTCTAACTGTTTTCCAAGAACACCTTCTATTTCATGAATAAGAATTACATCGTTCTGCAAGAAATGTCTCAAAAGTTAGCAACGTCATCTCCAATTTTAGCACATTTATGTACTTAGCTTGGTAGGAAAAGTAATGTGGAGAAAGCATTTCATACAAGCTATTGGATCCTCTTGTATATTACAAACACACATAGAGGAGTCAAGCAATAGTCATGAGGGAGAATCAGGGAATTTTTTTGTGCATCTAACACTTCAATATTCTGTTGAAAAGAGTGCCTTTCCAAAAAATGACGAGCAAGTGTAGGAAGAAAATATCTATTCTAAGGAGACGACAATCACAGTAAAAGTCCTTAAAAATAGCATCCTCCATAACTAATTATTCCACACAAGCCATTAATCGAAAAGGATGATTGAGATGTGTTTATAAGATCTTGCAAGTTTGGGAAGTGCCACCATAAAACTAAAAAAAAATACCATGTCGCATACATCGAGCACTACAACAATCTGAGAAATTCTATTTTGTCAAAATCAGAACTTATCTAGAGTCCCAATGGCGGAAACTGCCAACAGCTAAGACAATATTCCCTGGAAACATGGACAGGGAAAAAGTACACAGGATAGATAATTTTTTCTCTTGTAAAGAAACATCACAAGCATATCAAAAGGCGAATTGTTATCAAAATGTTGCATGATCGACACAGTGAGCACACTAACCAAAAAACCAGGGATTATTCTTGGAATAGTAGTATTTAGTTATCCTCTTAACTGCATATATACAAGAATGAAGAAGCCAATCATAATCTCCATCACAACACCTATAGGAAACCTTAATCACATATGGCCAATGTAATGATGCATGGATAGACATTCATAAAAGCCAAAAAAAAAAAATATGACAAACTAAAAAAAGAAACATCCATCATTCCCAAATTTTGATTTCAATGGTAAACCTCTAAAGAAGAACAATCCCATCTTTTATGCAGGAAAAGGGGTACGAAAATTAACACCTTCAAAGTTGTATCTATTAAATTCACTTGTTACCTGGGTAACAAAGCTCACAGCCAGACCACTTCTGCCAGCTCTCGCAGTACGCCCAACACGATGAACGTAGTCCCTAGGAAACCTGCATTGATGAATTGTATTTCACTGAAAGGAAAAGTTACATGGAAACTTAAGTCAACAAAGATCTGTTACAAAACGTAACCTCGGAATATCATAATTGATTACAAGATCAACCGTAGGAATATCCAAACCACGACTGGCAACATCAGTTGCAAGCAATATAGGGGCCTGTCCAGATTTGAATCGATGCAGTGCAGCGAGCCTTAAAGATTGGGATTTAAATGAATGCAATGCTGCAGCTTCTATATCAAGCTCTTCCAGCAATAAACTTAGAAGATGACATGTCCTGATTTTTTTTAATAAGAAACAAAGTTATTTCACTGATATTGATGAAGTACATAAAACAGAAAAGAGGTTGGACAAGTCATCCAACCCCGAATCATTAAAAACACAGAATAAGAACAAAAAACAGTGAAAATAGCAGTAGTAACAAAGCAGAGCAAAGAGTGCTTAGAGCAACATATAAATCACTGCAAATTTAGGGAATTATAATTCGAGGTTTGTTACTAGATTATCAAATCCGATATAACTAATGTAAATTTCAAGCTTTAAACAAAAGCGTTGTTACATTTTGTTAAAAATTAGACATAACTGACATGCCAAACTGGGGAGTACACGCAAGGGTCTGTAATGGGAGAAACACAAAACTTAGTACTTAAAACATTAATGCTAATATTCTTTGTTCTAATGCTGATTTTCTTTTAAGATATTTATCCACAATTGATGAAACAGTCCAACTCAATAAAGATGACCATACATATTCAAAAATAAATAAAATAAAAAATTAAATCTATCACAAGTCTATTAAACAAAATATTGATGTGTGAACAATCTCATATGTCACAAATAAATTGTCCAAGTCTAATATATGGAAACAAATTAATCTAAAACCTTATTCATAATAGGCAAATTTCCAAATACAAGAGGAAAGATCGAGAAATAGAAACTGAAGATTGAGTCATGACATTGAGTTGTCTGAGACAGTTTAAGTCCAATTTTAATTTGTGAGAGAGTTTCACTTATTTTTAAAAATTAATAGGGACAAGTTGTAATAAATTCTAATTTTAAAAAAATAATCAAAAGATACTAAAATTTTTATTAGTTTCAATGGGGGCAATTGCCCCCACACCTCCCTTCCTAAATCCACCCATGCCGAAAGGTATGCAAATGTCTGCATTCATAACTAAAGTTTACCACCTATTGAAATAATGACAATAATTATTTTTATGTGTAAAATAATGGTGATAACTATTACCAGAGATGAATCCTTAACAGACCCTGCCAGTTTATCTGATCACACATACAACTTAATAACAATCCAAACATAAAGACATTAGAGGGACATTTAATGAAAATTGTACCTGCATGTGGAAACAAAAATGATGGCAGATCGAATATTCATCTCTTCCATTTTGGTCAAAATGTATATCAAATAAACATCCTTCACATTTTTGGGGATAAAAACATACTGCTGTCTAAGAGACTCAACTGTCTTGAAGCCTTCATATGCCTCATAGAAGTATGCCTTATTTGCAGAAAGCTCAAGTAGTGTTTGTAGGTTGCTTGTCATTGTTGCAGAAAATAATAAAGTTTGCCGATTCTTTGGCAAGCACTGGAACACCACTCTCAGCTCCTCTTCAAAGCCCACATCAAGAACTCTATCTGCTTCATCCAAAACTAAAAACTGAAACAAAATAAAAGTGATAACCAATATGAAAGAACTCATGAACTGAGGTGACATCAATGGTCTGCAGTAAGTGCACACAATAGTAGAGGGCGTTAAATCGTAGGAGCATGGGAGAAAAACAGAGCAATGGAACCTCAGGGCTCGGTAGGAAATTTCCCTACTATAAGAAATGTATGCGCCAACATAACAAAAGGGTAAACAAGAATACAAATAACATAGTGTAGAAGTCTAAACAGGAATAGCAGAAACTAGGGTGCCAAGGTGTTCTGTCACACCAATAAAGCAATCTCGTGTGGAAGCCCATTTGGGTATGAGCACTGAACTACATTATGTGTCAAAATTTCAATGTTATCTAAGGCACCCAAAAATCGCAACGTAATTAAATTAAAACAAATCGTACCTTAGTTTTGGAGAACACGGGAGGAATATCAGGATTTGCTTCAATGAGAACCTTAATCCTTCCAGGGGTTGCTATAACAACATGTGGCCTCTTCATCAGCGTCTGGGCCTGGTTAAGCATGTCCATCCCACCCACTACAACCGCACACCGCAAATTCAAGCACGACCCGAGAGCACGAAACTGCTCGGACAGCTGGTATGCGAGCTCACGGGTTGGAGTCACCACCAAAGCAAAAATCCCATAAGGATCTTCCGCTATTTTGTTCAGTATAGGCAGTGCAAAGGCCGCCGTTTTACCACTACCAGTCTGTGCTAACCCTAAGACGTCTTCGCCGGCAAGGATTCGGGGAATGCAATGGCATTGGACCGGAGTGGGCTTTTTCATGCCAAGCTCTTTGCAGGTATTGACGGCCCATTCGGCGAGGCCAATGTCGGAGAATGAGAGATGGTTTGGGGTAGAGCTAGGGTTTGTTTCTTTTTGGAGATAAGGGCGTTGGCTAGGGTTTTGGGTAGTGGTGTTATTACGTTTGGGGGAATCAGGATGTTGTTTCTTTGGGGCGATTTTCCGGGAAAATAAAGGAAAATTGTCATCCACTTCGACTTCTTCATTCATACTGTAGCAAAGATTGGGATTGGGATTGGGATTGGGATTGGGATTTGGAAGAAGAATTGAGTGGGGTTGGTTAATAGATAGCTTCACTGGAAACCGAGGAATGTTTTTCTTTGAGTTGGTTATTGTTGCTTTAACCCTAGTCCCATCCCACTCGGAGGAGGACGTCTGAATAATTAATTGTTTCCTCAAACATTCTATTTCTAGGAATAAAAACTCTTTATTTCATCACTGTTGTCAATTCATAATAGTCTCTCTATTAGAAATTCATTTGTTTCCCCAATTCACAAATTTCTGCCCTTTCATTGCTTCATTATTAGAAAATCAGCAGGTTGGTTCTGTGGATCTGGTGACTGAATCTATGGTTTACTCACTTGTCTAATCTATCAAAGGCTATTAGAGAAGCCTGACCTTTTTCTTCGACTATGGTGGTTAGGACACTGCTTAGGTTTTTTTTTTTTTTCCTGTCGTCACAATGACTTGAAACATGATGCTTTACGAAATTTTCGTGCTCAGATAAATCTTTCATCATCAGTTTTTGCTTCCCTATATATGATTTCCAGGGTTTTTTTTTTTTTTTTGATTAGTAGTTACAACGGAGGGGAAGAGAGACATTGAAATTCAAACCCACAAACAACTATGAGGTGATGGACATGAGGCAAACCTCTGAGTCCTCTACATGATTTGAGGTTGCACTAGCATTGCCATTCTAATCTCAAAGCATGATCATGATGGATTTGAATAGTCTGTTAAGATCATTTGCACTCGCTGGTCCAAGCGTTTCAGGGCTTATAGCCTATTCCAATGAGGCAGGATATGGGTTCAAGGCCATCAACTATCCATGAAAGCATCCTCAATTCATGTGATCATGCTTCGTGAGTAGTTTTATTGTTGTATTAATTGCGAATTTTTTCAAAGACCTCTTTATCTCGTTTATTGACATAATTTTGAAGTAAAATTAGTGTGAAAGGAATGTGGAGCTATTGGTAGAATAGAGTGTTCCCTAATAAAAATCCCCCCCCCCCCCCCCCAACTCACACACCAGCAAAAAAAATGAGTATTTTTTTTTAAATTCTCAATTTATGCTTATCATGTGCAATGACTTTTCCATAAATAAGAAACACTTGTTTGTAACTTCTAAAGTTTAATTCAATTCCCTATATGAAACTAATTGATCCATTTATGTAACTTAATTGGCAGAATTGAACGGTGTCAACACGTTTAACAACAAGCTTGTGGATTCATGTCACTCAATGTCTCTGTCCTGTTTTCCTGTTGCTATGTTGTGGACGTTGTTGATGGGCCAAATCGATGTGGGTGAATTTTTTATAGTCACTCAAATTTATAATGTAACTATGAGATTTTCGATATTTTAGTCGTAAACAAGTTTATTTATTATTTTTCTTTTTGATCACATTTGAAGTTTTTCTTATTGTTTCTAAAAAAAATCCAGCATTTCATGTGTTCATATAATACCCAAAAAAAAAAAAACAAGGAGAAGCTTATATGAATGATTTATTAAAGAAACAGTATTTAGACTCCTATATATCTTCATCTCAATGTATAATTATGATTGACAAAATACCAATACAATTAAAAATAGAAAACCTCCATTTACTTTATCTAATTTGGTCCTTGTTTATAATTATTACTCACAAAATTCGTTATTGACAGAATTTTAAGTTCACAAGGTATAGATTTGTCCTATAATTTTTTTGTCAATTTATTATGTGTTTAGTTCGAAGGTTATGTTGTTCTGATGTTGAAGAATGTTCATGGTTTAGAAAGAAAAAGAATGTAGGAAGAGAAAAAAGAGTAAAGTTGGGTAATTTTGTCAATTGTTTTAAAAGGTTTAGAAGATAACAAGGGTCACGTTATGTTTACATAGCTATTAAGAGTCTAAATTCAATCTAGAATACAAAATAATTTTTTATGTTATAAAATTATTTTCTTTCTATAAAAATAGAAATAGAAAAAGAGTGTTTAGGTTTTTGAAGAAAAAATATTTACCTGCTAAACCATATTTATCATCCATTACAGGTCATGATATCCTCCATCATCTTTAACATACAATTTTGCCATGCCTTCTCTAAAATATAAAAACAATTACAGGTGGACAAATTGGAGACTATGAGTTTTTTAGTATACAAGATTTTTTTTTTTTTTTGAACAATAGCATATAAGATTAGATTGGGCAAAAAAATATATATTTTTTTTTTTTTGAGATCGGCCGGTCTTAAATTTTTAGTACTAAAATAAATATAAATATGCAAAAAAATTATAATAAACCCACCAAAATCTTATTTCATAGCAACAAAGACACCACCATATATCTAAATTCAAGCTTCAAAAGCATCAACAACATCCCATCAAATCACATATTCAATGTATAAAAAATCCATGCATGAAAATAATCACAAATCACAAAATCAGATCCAATGTATAAAAATAAAAAATCATAGATTCAATAAAAATATTAGAGAGGCAGAGGCAGAGTATGATTGCTCTTAATTACAGATGCAATGTATACAAATCAAAAATCTAATATAGCAAGAGAGAGAATCGAGAAAGATAACGAGAGAGAGAAGCAGAGTAGTACATGCTACTGTCAATGAGAGTTGTCGTTGGCTGCCAGAATGGAGATCTGAAGCTTGAAGCAGCTTCTTTTTCGAAGCAAGAGTCCCTGAAGCAATGAATCAGGAGCCCGTGAAGTAGAGTTCCTTCACCCTTGAGCTTTTATTGCTCGCTCGTAGTCGCAGCAGAGACTCAGAAAGAGAGAGAGAGAGAGAAGCAAAGGGAGCGTTTGAGAGTCTCAGAGCAGGGGGTTTGGGAACGATTTAGATTTTAGGGCAAAATGCCCAAAAAAGGTAAAATCCGAGAGAAAGAAAGAGAGGGAAACTCACATCGTCACTGGTTCTGTCCACAATCGTTGGACAGGAGTCGCTGCTGGTGCTGGAAAGTGAATTGGAATCGATGCTACCTACGTGCTGGAAGCTAGACTAAAGTCATCGCTGCCTGCTAGTGCTGGAGGCTGGACTGGAGCGTGGAATCGCTGGTGGAGGGTGCCTCTTCTAGTCTAGTCTGGCCTGGTCTGGTCTGGAATGATTTAAAGCAAAACAAAAGGGCAAAAACACAAATTGTCAAAACAATGCAGAAGATCTGATATTTATATAATTTTAATTAAACCGTTCGATTTGGTTCAACTCTCCTGATTCAAACGAGTTCACCAATTTTTAACCAGTTCAGAGATTTGATTCTAGTTTTCAAGCACAAAAGATATTTTATGAGAACCGGTTTGATTCAAACACTAGTTCAACGAGTCAACCGGTCAGACTGGGCTAATTTTTAAAACACTACTTCTATGTGCTTCTACAAGAGAGATGAGTGAGATACAACGGAGTTGGAGATTGAATTTCATTTCTAGGGCTTCAAATAGGATGTTATAGTAGAGGAACCCTAAGTCGTCTAGAACGGGTTTAAACGGGTTCAATGAAAATCACGTGGATCATACCGTTTTTGGACGGATTGTGGTCTTCATAGATTCAAACTCTGACCCAAATCGGGTTATTTTATTCTTTTACTTTGTATTTTTGTATAATTAGATATAGATTTACTTGATATTTTGAAGAGAGAAATAATTTTTTATTTAATGAAACACTTGGGTAATTTGTTCTCGATTAAAGAAAGAATGAGCCCTAACTTTCGATTTTTAACTCACGACTTTAAGTGTCAATATGGACATGATAGAACTAATAAGCGTGCAGTATCAAACCATTTGGCACAAGTGATTAAGCAAATCAAGTTACAATTGATAAGTATTTGATTAGAATTCAAATAAACACTCAACATAACTAAATCAATACCTTTATTCATATTATATTATGTATTTTGTAGAATTAAAATTTGTTCAGTTCAGTTAGGAAAGAATGGAAGTTTAAGTATGGATTTCTTGTTCGTGGGTTATGAGTGTCAATCTAAATACAACATGATTAATTAATAAATATATCAAGTTGGTGTTACATTATTTGACACAATCAGTTACGTAAATTTAATTAAAAATAAATACTGTATTGTCTTGAATCACCAGTGCTAATTATTCATGTTAGTCTGAACCTACTAACAAATTATGTGATTATACTAGAACTACAATGAGGTGAAATAGCATTGATATAACCAAACCATGGGGAGATAAAATAGCATTTACCCTAATCATATTTGAACCATAACACAAGTTAAATGCTATACAACCAAACCAAACCAAACCAAACCGCAAATACGTAAAATAGAATTCAAAGTAAAAGCTTTCTAATCAAGAAGGCATGATGGGCTTTGAAAGCATTCAAGGTTAGACATATCTCACATGCCTCGGAAGTTATCCTTTTTGGCATCACCATGTAGCTACAAACTTTATTGGTATCTGCCTTCTGTTCTACTCTCCCAATACTTTGCAACTAACAACCTAAATTGCCATTTCTACCAATATGATATCTTCATGTTACAATAACCCCCCTCCCCCCCTTTCTTCCTTCCTCAAAATTCAGGCAGACCTGTCTGATGTTAGAAAAAGGAATATAATACACCCACTAAAAATCACAATTCGCTCAAAGGCCGACATAGACCAGAATAAACGGCTCTCCGAAATAGAGGATGCACATTTTCTGTTAGCACCTCTGCATCCAATTTCTCAATGTGCAGCCATATCTGTCAAAAACAGAAAAAATACAGGAGGGTAAAAATTTGAATTAGTCAGGGACGACAAAAAGCACATATTCATTCGGCGTACAATCTCAATCTATTGTTACTCTGGCAAAAAAGGCCACTGATTTTGCAGCACAAAGGGGTTCAGACTTCCCAATTCATCTTCATTTTCTTTGTGTTTTTTTGGAAGGTTCATCCTTTTCTTGTCACCAACTTTTATCTTTTCATTTTTTTAATCAATAATTAAAGAAACAACTTAACATCTGTCACATCCTCTGTTCCTCACCAACTTCAAGAACCAAATT